TAATTATATCATCCGGTTAATGCAACCTGTTACATTTCCGACGAGGCGTTCGCGCGAAATTCCACTTCAAATAAGCCATTAGTAGACGTCAAAAAAGTCGAAAGAAATCGGGGAAACAATTCGAGAGCGAAACCGGCTCGACGTCGCGGTAAAATATTCGTTTTGACAAATCGAGCTCCCAGGAAGTTGTATCGGCTCAATATTTATCTTTTTTGAATTATTGCTCAGTTTGCGAAGCGGGAACTGTAAATAGCGCTTTCCCAACACCTTCCAACGCAAACGTCTCGAAATTAATTCGTTCTTTCTTGTTTAGTTATTGGTGAAGATTTTTTGACGGGAAAATCGGTTTATTTGCGAATGGAAAGTACCTAAATGTATCCTAAAATACTAAAATGGATGTAAATTGGGCGCAGTGTCTGACGCAGAAAATATCAAATAATTCTTTTGATGATTGAGAAATTATATTTACAACAAAGTATTTTCACTCTTGATTACTCTTCTACTCTCTTCTATACTTTCTTCTGCACTCTCTTCTATACTCTCTTCTACACACTCTTCTACACTCTCTTCTACACTCTCTTATACTCTCTTCTACACTCTCTTCCACAATCTCTTCTATACTCTCTTCTAGACTCTCTTCTATACTCTCTTCTATACTATCTTCTATACTCTCTTCTATACTCTCTTCTGCATTATCTTCTATACTCTCTTCTACACTCTCTTCTATACTTTCTTCTATACTATCTTCTATACTATCTTCTATACTCTCTTCTATACTCTTTCATACTCTTCTGTTCTCTTCCACTCGTCCACTACTTCACTCTTTCACGAAAAAAATTTCATCAAAACAGCTCGACGTGACGGGAAAATTTACACAAAAATCGTCCGAGCTAATTTTGTGTCTATTCCCGGAAATATCGGCGAACTATTTTTCAGTTTTTTTTTCGCCATCACCCTTACCGTGGTTTTCGGATTGACCGCGACAAGGCGACAGAGCGTTCCAATTACGTCTCGAGAAGGCTCGTGTTACTGTCACACTATCGTGTTTCCTGTCGTCTTTTCCAGCAGTTTTTCAACCGGCCCGATGATATATGAAGTTCAATTAGATTCTTTTTTGGATGCACGACCCAAATGCGGAACATCGATTTACTTTTAATATTGTAATGCGACGAGCAGAAAAGACGATTGTATTTCGCCGTGCTTAAATTCAGCACGAAAAAAAACGGGGCTTTGTGCACAATGATACATTAGCTATACAACTTAGTAAACAAGTTTTCCTAAAATAGCCCAAGACAAAACAGCTCCGGCAATAAAATAGTCCAAACACAAAATATCCGGAGACAAAACAGCAGATACCTGCGCGTGTATAAATAAAAATGCTTATTAAATAAACGCATATTACTTATCAGTAATTTTACGTCCGGCGTAAGCTGCTTTCCCGGCAAATAAATGGCGGGTTGCAGTTTGCAGGAGGTCAAAACGTTGCGAAGGTGCAAATAAACAGTGATATATGGGGCGAGGAATCTGAAATGAACCGAGAAAACGGCGTTTACAGTAGGGAAGATATATGGGCCCAATATAGTCACATTACCTTTAGAATGTTTATTAAGTTTCGGATTTTACGGCCGTCTATCGGTGAACGTTTTGAAAAAAAAAGTCGTGTCTCGGATTTTTCCATCAACAGGAAAGCTTCAGATCATCAAAGTCGCTGAACCCGTGTGGTTTAATCCAGCGAATATTGAATAATCTTTTGCATGGATCTCCATGCGTCTGTGGGCTAACAGAAAATTTGATTCACCAAGTCTTTTACTCTTTTTTTATATTCAGGGTGAGTCACACTCAACGGGATGAAGTGCTCAATTGAATTGATCTATTTTGTGAGCATTCTACGGAATTAATTAAATAATATGATCAGCACATCCAGTATATTAATAAGTGATGATTATCTGTTATGTAACTGAACAAAGTTTCTATATCCGTTTAAACAGAAGCTTCAGCAGATCATCCGTTCAATCGACAATGGGGTTTTTTGATACATGAAAATTAAAAATAGAAATAATTTGAGTACGAAATAAACCTGAAAATGCCGCTTTAATGGCTCAACATTAAGCGAATATAACAATATTCGGCATAGAAAGCTCAGTTACCTAAATAAGTCCAACACGAAATATTCGCATTAGTTCCTTTGGGAAAACCATTGTCTTCGCGTAAATAATAACGATCGGTGATCACACTTAATTTAATGATATCATGAACAAAAAAGCTTCAATACAAAACGGCTTCTAAAAATACCAAATTAATTTAATTCGTATTGTTAATCACGATCTAGTCGCTCTACAATATGACATTAGTTATGAATAAGTCGAGGTGAACGATGAAATAAAATTGGATTGCAAGTTTAGTTCAATTTTCGCAAAACTCTGAAAATTAATAACATACCCTGTCAATGTTTTGCGCGTTACCGAGCTTTGCTTTTCACTTTTTCGAAAGTTCGTAATTCAATTACGCGCACGTTTAAATATTAGTTTTAAATAATGGATTACTATTAGTGAGAACTCTCTAAGGGATTATTTGTAATTGACACATGTGCGATTGACAGTTTCGATTGGTTGTTTAGGCTTTGTTTGCAAGATATAATTCCTGACGAATTCGATTGGGTAATATAGTTCAGGTAAGAATATTACATTAATTAAATTGCTCTCTGATTTTTTTTTCCTTTATCAAAGACATATTTTACTCAAAATAATCCATTTAACATGTTGAAATCATTTCAAAAAATCTTCTGCCCTCGAGAAGATAAAAAGTTCAATCAATTTCTGCCCATAAACTGAAAAATCGATTTAATTGGATCTTTTTAATAATCGCAAATCAATTCGTTAAAATTAAAGAGTCCTAATTTATGATTGACCTCGTAACGCCGTAATCCTTGTTGATAATTTCCAAGTGTCTACAACAAATTTGCATATTTTCTCAATCAGTTTAGGGACGAATTCGTGATCTCGGTTTTCCCGATTCGAAGTTGTGCATAGACGATGAACGTCGGTCGAATTTTGCATCCAATTTTGAAGCCAATTACTTGGCTCCGAGAGATTATTATTCAGATGATTGATTGTTGTTTATCTATAGGTAGACGTTCTCTATTAAATTTTTAAAATTCGTTTTTCTTTTACGTTTACCCAAGTAATGGCGTAATGCAAATAAATTCGAATTTCGATTAGAATCCACTTCGGCTTTATCCGGCTTCTCTACTCTTGCTTTAAAATAAATTAGACGACATTTTTTTATTCATCTTATTCATTTTTACTTATCGACTACGTACTTTTAATTAATAAACTGTTAAGAAAGTTTACCTACAATTTTATATAATCTATCTAGGTAAATGGGTAGGTAGTTTGTTTTATATTTTACACACATTTACATGTAGAATAATTTAAATTTCTCCAATTTATTTTCGTTCGAATTTATCGTGTGCCATCGGAACTGTTGTATCTAACGGACCTCGTTCCCGTTCCTCTGGCTCGTACTTAATCGAATTTTCTATTGGGTAAACTAATTCGATTACTTTTTTGCAATTCGAGTCATGTTTGTAGTTTCCTTAATGTATCCGAAAGCAAAAGAAAGAAGTATTTCGGGTAATGTATTGCCCATCGCGAAAAGTTAAAACAAAGCCGGGATGCTTGTGGAAATTTAAACGCATTTAAATGAAATTAGACAACTGTTCATTGCGGTGTGCCCAAATTCGAAATTGGGCTGAGTATAAAACTGAATTTTCTTATATATTTGATTTATTAAATACATATTCCTAAAGTATTGCAATTTTCGGGTTTCTTGATTTATTTTAACTTTAAATGGGTGTCCCACATGAAGGGATAACTTATTTAAAAGTGTATACAGTTTCTTTCTATATAGGCGTTACGTTTCTATACACGCTATTTCTTCTAAAAGTTCTAAATAGTTCTGGAGTTTTCTACCATTCTAAACAGTCCTTAATATCTACTAATTAATTTTGTACAGTTCAAAATGATTCTAAGATGGTCCTGCACTGTTTCTAAGATAGTTTTAAACGGTTCTAAAACTGTTTTGAGCAATTTGAAAACACGAGCAAGTTTTTTATACAATTGTTTGTTACTTTTTTATTATTCTTCATAAGACATCGAAATTTGTGAATTGGCACTACGAGCATATTGTACTTCAAAACGAGGGTAACTAGGAATTAAATATTTGGAGAAACTTTAAAGCCACGAAGTATCGATTTGCTGGTGGAATGAATGTTGCAATGAATTCTGCAGCATTTCGGGGGATCAATATTGACAATGATGGATTGTCCTGGGATCAGTTGCAATGAGGATTAATTTTAACTACCAAAGGCATTATTCCAGGTTTTTTTTGTACCTATTCTTTATTTATATTTTGTTCGACGTTATTGTATGGTTATACAAATTAATCCAGTTATACCCCACTTTGAAAATAGTATTATGAATATGCACAAAATTAGGTGCTAATTAAGTTCTATTTATTAATAGATAATTGAAAGATATTTCTTTTTTTTATAAAATATAAAATTTTTCGCCAATATCTCCTATTGGTCACCTAGAGATGTCTTCAAAATTTGTGTTAATTTCATAATAATGAGCGTACTTATCTTCTAATTGGGTGTTTAGTATACCGATTTTTTCAATAATACCGCTATAAAAGCACAGAACAAGTAACAGTGATAGTATAGCCATCTACAACTAAGTTAACAAACCTGAACCTCTACGTTGAAGAAGTTATATTATAGTATACTAGTGGTTACTTCGAAATAAATCGAAAGATGGCATAGGCAGGTTGGAAAATCGTGAAAAATTTGCATTGTATAAATGTGGGAAAACTGTTTAAAAATTGGATTCAGAGTAGTTAGCTAAAAGTGGGGATTATCTAATGTACCTAATTTATTTTGCTTGCAATTTTAATATCGCTCTAGCTAAAGTAAGATCCAAATCAAGCAGATATATAATATCTAATCAATAATCTAATAGATATTTTATAACAAATAATTTCTTTGTTTAACTTTTAACTATTCTAATTATGTTTTATTTTATTTAAATTTAAATGTAATATTTGAAGAATTCGTTATAGTAGTTCTTGGTTCGATTGATGGGTACATCAACTCCACATAAACCGGGAAATCTCTTATTGGTTTTTTTCCCAGCGCACTTGGAACCGGTTTTGCCGATTTTGTACACCGGTTGTCCTAAGTAGTTTCCACCAGGCCCATAATTGCAGGCCAGTTTTAAATTGTACCATTTGTACGTACCGTCGTGGTGCGCGAAATACGACATGGCGCATCCGATTTCTTTGGTATCGGCCCACACTAATTGCGTGTAATGGCCTATCATAGCATCCCTAAAAATAACAAAAATAAGCGACCGATTTTGTAGCATTTATATTTACATATGTATATCGCATACCTCTCTTCGTGCTTGTTGACCCACGAGGAACTAAATTCTGCTACTTCATCATACCATCCCAGGATCATTTTTTTTATCATCGATAGTTTGTCCAGTTGGCTTGGATCTGTGGATCCCACGTATGCTAAATTTTGACCAACCCACGAAAATTCAGCTAGAAAATATAAATTTATAATTAGAAGCCAACTCGTGGATGAAAATTAATTAAAAATAATTAAAACTTTAACCGCAATCTTTTTAGAGTGATATGAGGAAAGGTTTTACAAATGTTGTTTTTGTTTTCCAAATTTCGATCCAAACGAAAAATTTTCAATTTCAAAACTTTTTTTAATGCTATATAGGTAATTTAAAATTTTATATAATATAGGATTGCACGTCTATGTGTTTCTAAAACGGTAAAACATGATTTTACGCTATTAATAATATTCATTCTTTGGTAAAGTTTGATTACTAAACATTGCGTTATTAATGTAGTGGTTTTTTGTATACAACAATAATTAGCGGTTTTTAGCATCTAACGGTATTTTTAATTTAAGAACATTGTGGAGTTACGGTTGAGTACCTAAGAAATTAATTTTTACTATGACTTTTGACGAATTATGGGATATCTTGGAAGTAAGTTAATCTTTTTATTCGAATCCCATAATTTCTGGTTCGTTGAACTGAAGCCAAATATTATCAATTAAAAAATGATTAAGCCAAGAACCACTAGCAAAATACAAGTGTGTTACAACAAATAATTTTCATTGTTACTATTATTACATCATTATATTCTTACTAATTATTATTTAAATTTTTTTATGTCTAGTACCTATACTGCTAAAAAAATATGACTTCACATTTAATTCGCTTCCAGAGGACGTTATTTTTCGTGCATTTCCCGCACTCGCGCTATGTTATTAACTTCTCTTCCGTTCTAAAATTGTCGGTAACGGCGGAAATGTTTTAATTGTAATTTAGATTTATTTACAACGCTCGACAAACTAGTTTATTTTTTAATTTTCTGCGACTCCTGGAGCTCCGAAAAAAATGAGCAAAAGAAATTACAGCTATTACATAAAATGGAGACGCCACGAAATCGACGAAGGGGTCAAAGGTTTGTGAAATATTTTTTACAGATTGTTTAATTTTCTCTTTCTTATAAGCTTGTATTATTTTTGCATTCGATATTTACTATAATTTTTAATTAACACGGAATTAACAGAAATTACCATTATAATATTACAGATCGAATTAAGTAATTTATAACTATAATATGAAGAGATATACGCGAGGTCACTTATAATTTACTCGCATAAATTCCTATTATTAATAATATTGTGAGAATACCGATTTTTTAATAAAAAAAAAGAACATAAAGTTAGATGTTTATTTCCGCGTATGATTTTTAATAACTACAAGTATTATTTTTTTTCATATCGAAGTAAGTCACGAGAAAAATGAAGAATAATAAATTATCGATTTTATTTTAAATTAAACCAACTTAAGTATGCAAATAAGTAAGTAACGCGCAACAGAGTAACAGCAAAAAAGTGTAAAAAATTGCAAAAAAATTACAGTGCTGAAAAGTATTGTTTAAATTCTTATAAATTGTTACAAAATAGAGAGTTAAATGAAAATTAATACTTACCAGTTCTTCGGCACTTATCATGGACCAATATGCTTTCCTTGTGACATTCATTAATCCAACATTGAGCCATAAACTCCAATTCTTTATTATAACTCTAAAAAATTTAAATTAATCAAGAATCACTAAATGAATATAGAAATCTTTTATATTTTTTATTTTTATGACTTTCTGCATGGATTTATCCATTTTTGCTCATTATAAGAACCATTCTATTTAATCTATTTTTAAACTTATAACTTATTGATAATTATTAGAGTTGGATCTGCTAATCCCTCATAGTGAAGAAAATATACCGCTAATTGCCTGCAGTTAAAATTAATTGGCACAATTGAATGCAATTGTTTAACATTTTTCATTTCATATTTTATCATTCAATGTCAATTGAAACTAAAATTGTTATCGAATGACGGAATTGCAATTTTATATTTTACATAATAAAGAAAATTGTATGTCAATCACAAATGTAATTATTACTTGTGTTGGAACGAATAACCAGTGCGTGACACGAAGATTTTATTAATAGAGGAAATTAAGTATATTTACCATTTCGAATGCGTTTCTGCATTTCTTGTAGAAAAAATATGCATATTTCGCCGATTAAAACACACCTCAAAATTTGTTTAAATACGTGTACACGTGTCTATACCATTTTCAAAAGGGAAGATTCACGTTATTGAATTATTGTAAAAGTTTGTACACCAAATTGTTTTATCTTTGGATGTAATTTAAAAAAAATATCAACTTTCCTACTGGATTGATTTATTTATATCATTAAATTATTATCGAACCAGATAAACCCTATCGTATTAAACTTGACAATACACGTTATAATAATTAAATTGAAAAATTGAAGTGTTTGTGCATTAGTGAAACGATTTGTGACAGATTCATACCTTAAAATAATATAAAAATATAATAACTTAAAAATAAAATAGTTTTTACATAAAATATAAAAAGTTTTGGTAGTGTTTCTAATTGAAGAAAATCAGGACAATGATCAACAATTTTGTAAGTTTTTCCTAATATGTTTTTATTTACTTACTGAATCAAGCATGGTATCAAATTAACTATGACAAATGTAATCTAAAAATTGATAAATATCCAATATTTTCTTTATGTTAATTATTAATCCAGTCATTATTTTCCATTCGTCCTTGGGTCTATTTAATTGGCTTTATTGATTTATCAATTTTTGTAACAATAATCAATAAAGTGCAAGGAATAGAAACAGCAGTTTGCAACTCATTTAACTAGCGTAACGCATCAAATACATTCCGTTAAAGTGGTCAAATTTAAGAAAGAGGTATGTAATTAAAAGTAATTTTAGTTACAATAAATTGCAAGAATTATTGAAGATTCTGATATTCAAATTTTTAATGATACCCTTAGAAAAACCGGTTAGAACTGTAAGCGAAAAGGAATATAATAAAATAGAATATTTCCTTCATCGAATTCAGTTGTAAATTGATTAAAAGCAACATAACCGTATAATGTGGTAAGTACAATAACAAAGTATTACATAACACAGCATCGGCACATTATTGATACTGAAAATCTAGTTATAATCGTTAAGTTATACGGTTAGTTTAATCCCGGAGTGGAAGAAAAATAAAAATTACTACAATTCCATAATTCGAATGTCCTTGATTGCTTTAGGCGAGCGAATAATTTTTAAACGCCTTATGTATTATTAATGTTAGCATCTGCAAATTGCACAGCACGATTATAAGTACCTATACTATTTTGTAATTTCTTAAAATGATGAAAAAAATTATCCTGCACCGAGATTCGACTTATATCATGCTATTCCTATACTTACAAGTGCATTCATATTTGCCGCTGTCGGTTGGGATCCCCTCGTCTCCCTTCCCATTGCAACTTTATTCCTCAAATAATTGTGAATATCCAACATGTATTGCCTGTCTGTATCATTCAAAGCAACCACTTTAAATTCTTCTCCGCACTTCTGACCACCTTGGCACATCTGCAAGTAAATTTTAGAAATCAGTTTAACTATTTTCAATGTCTCTACTTTTACGCAAACATTTGTAATATATAAATCGACAATTAATTCGTTTTACTAGTAGATTATATTATTACGTGTATTCATCATTTTCTTATGCGTTCAAACGTTCTAAGAACTTGTTAGGTAACAAACAGTTTTGTTGCATTGATAGTTCTTAAAAAAACTTTTTCTTGGAAATAAAAAGTCTGTAGATAAATAAATTGGTACAACTGAGAAGTGATGAAGACAATATTAAAGAGATACATTTTCTGGTATATTTTCAACATTGTATCTAATATTTCTTATAACTTATAACTGTGGCTGTTATTGTAGGAAAATAAATGGATGCTTTCTTAAGTAAACTTTTTGTGTTATAGATATACTATGAGTAAAGTGTATCTTAAATGTAATAAATGAAAAATAACTAAGTAAAATTAAATGTGATAATATTATTCATATAGGACTATTTTGACCGAATAACAAATATGTGTAACAAATTAAATAACTGTAGAAAGTTTTTCATTTTTTTATGATTCATAATTTCTTTTAATTTTCTACTAAACCATGTAAAAAAATTAATTGAACACGAAACTTACGAACGAGTTACAAAAGTAGTTCGCGAGCGTCTGCATGTTAATTAATAGTTTAAAATGCAAAGTTCGCTCTACCTGTTAAATACAAATCGATATTTCAATCTCGGACGAGACAAATAAGATCCTTCGTCAAAAATATAAAAAATATGGTAATTGAAAATTCAAGGCTGAGTATAAAATCGCACGAAAATCTTTTTATTACCGCGAAATATCTATTCAAAATTGGATAATATTTTGTTTACTTTGAACCTAATTGGACCTAATTTAATATTACTGAAAAAGCTAAAACAATTAATATTAATTTTAAATAACCCTTATTTATATCGGTTTAATAATAAGAATTACAAAAATATTTGATTCAAAATATTTTCCAAAATATAATTAAATAAATACGAGTACATACCACATTTTGTCGTTGACAAGCCGTATTCATAAAATAGGAGCCCAAGACATTTTTGCACGGCAAATCGCAAAAATAATTGGGATGACGACCGGCCAGAGAAGGTCCTAAATTTCCCAATAGACCCAAAGCTAGAAGTAGCAAACTTCCGAAGCGATTTGTTCTTATCATGGTTGAAGAGCGCTCTGAGACTGCCGAAGACTAAACGAGAGTTTATAGGCGATCCTGCAAGAATTATTTTATACTAATAGCATAATAACTGATGAGTAAAAAATTTATGCGAGTCTTCCGTGATTCAGAGATAACGCGTATGGAGGGATACCTATAAAAAATAATGAAAAAGAAGGAATGGGTATAAAGTCGGGCTTGTTAACGATACATTGGTGTGGAACTGGGGAGAATTTTGCGAGATTATTATCGTAATTTTTAAATATTGTTTTAACGATTTAAACGTATTTTAAGGTCACAAATATTGTTACTTTTTTGCGTTTTAATTTCTAGGGTCTAGGGTCGATTTAACAAAAAGTAGATGCCGTTATAAATATAATAGTAACGCCAATGAAAAGCATTTACCTTACATTGAGGTAGCGTGTGCAATGAAAGCACTGAGATTTCAATCAGTTAATGGTCAAATGAAAATTGTTGAGAATATTAATGATTTTGTTAGTATCTCAAAAATATTAAATAATTCTTCATCCCCAGTTAAAATATAGTTCTGCCACAAGAGCTCAATAAAAACAATGATAGATAATTGAGGGTTTTTCCAAGAGTACCGCTTCTTCATTATTTATTATTTAATATTGCACATAATACAGGAAAGTGTCCAATGTTTTTGTTTATAAATAATATTTTTGAGTTTAGGTCTTTAAATGAAATATCTAAACTTGTAAAGCATAGACAGTGTATCATATTTAAATCAGAAATTTTCTAAAACGCACGACTACAATAATATTTAGTTCCTAGTGTAAATTTGAATATTTGTTTTCTCCGCCAATGAAAAACCGGTGGAGTTGCATAAAATAAAGGGAACAACTATTGTGGCTTCATGTATACCTGGACATTTCTATAGACGTCATTGGAAACCTGTATGATCAATTCGCCTCCAAGAATTTAAATTATTTGTAACAAATTCACTCTCTGATGAGTAAATACTAGCATATACAAGGCATACACACATGTCGCTGACTGTTTCATTAAAATAATTACTGAATGAAAATTCTTGAATAATTAATTTTGGTTAGCAGGTATTTAAATATTATCGCATGCTAACTTACTTAAAGTATATTCCGTGAAATACAGAGTACAGTGCAAAAATTAAACTTCGATTTACAGTTAGATTTTTTAAACCTATTTAAAAAGAATAGTGGTAAATGACCATTGTCATTAAATAAATTAAGTAAATTTGTACTGCATACATTAAAATATATGCGGCAATCTTCTTAGTAAATGAGCGTATTGATAATATCTTTGAAATTATTAACAATTATCTAATTACTATAATCAAATTTGACCCCTTAATTAGGTCTATTACTTGCATATAGACATTATTATTAAGAAATACGAACAAAATATTCCGCATTTTCGTTTGAAATTTTACTACATTATTCAAATAATTAATTTATATATTCCATTGATATGTGCAAACTACTAATTAAAAATGTAAATTATTTATAATCACAGACCTTTTATTAATTCATAACAAAAATTTCAACAATTTGATACTTTATTAGCAATTATCTTCAATCGCAAAGAAATAAATAACGCTAACACACGCGATAAATTTTAAATAGAAGTGTTGATATTTCTGAATCTCAGTATGCTCTACGAGTATCGTGATTAAGTAGTTCTCAAATTAATTTAGGCAATTTGTTGTCATAATAATTAGCAGTTTGTTATTATTTTTAAAAGCCAATAATAACTTAATAGACATTTAATCTGAATATTTTAGAATTGAGCCAATGCACAGGTTACTACCTCGTACCGAAAATAAACTTACTAAAAATATATTTTATCCGTTTTAGAGAGAATGACCCGACACAACCAAGTCGATTTTGATGATGTGTTGGAAGAAATTGGCGAATTGGGACGTTATCAAATTGTTATATACATTTTAGTTTGTTTGCCAGTATTATTTGGCGCTGCAAATAGTTTAAGTTATGTATTTACGGCAGGAGTTCCTCAATATCGGTAAGTCTTTATAATACAAAACTCATTCAGCATCTTTATCTTCAAGTATTGTACGACAAAAAGTTACAAATTTGTATAACTTTCTTTATAAATTTATCGTTGCGATGTAACAAAATTTCTGAAGTAGTGTTTAAAAAATAATTGGAACGCTTTTTATCTTCTTTATCTTCTGTTTTAGGTGTCTTATTCCTGAATGTGAAACGCCCGATTCCGCCAAGTTCGATGCTCCGTTTATCAAATTTGCAATACCCCATGAAACAGAGGGCAAAAGAGTCCTAGCTCTAAACACAGAAGCTTGCTCAAGGTACAAAACAAAGCCTAACGACGATAGTTGTACACCAGAAGCATTCACCAAGACCATTGAACAATGTTCGGAATTTGTTTTCGAAGGCACAGAAAGGACCATCGTCAACGAGGTGATTTAAATAGGTTCAAAAACTGTGCAGGTTGAAGTGTGTTCACGCTTTTGGTATTTTAGTGGTTGCTTACTTGTTTGGAAAATCAATGGAAACTCGCTCTGGTCGGATCAACGCATTTTGCTGGTATAATTGTTGGTTCCTTCTTGTTCGGTGTACTAGCTGACAGGTAATTACTTGCAATTTATGTCGCCAATTACTATGACTTTAAAATGTATTAATTATACCCCAATAGTAATAAAAATGTAGTAAAAATGAAGAATGTGTGAAGTACATTTAGGTCAGAGACTTTAAGAAAATTGTTTACTGGATCTGATTTACTGTGTTAACCAAGATAGTACAATGTCTTCAAATTTCCTCTAGTTCAAAATCCTCTAATTTTATTGGAAATTGGATTTAGTGTGTTTCATTCTCTCAAAATTTATATTTTTTTTAGATATGGTCGAAAATTGTTGTTCATAATAGCCATTTTCATTATGACTGTAGCTGGCATATTACAAGTGGTATCGCCGAATTATTGGGTGTTTATATTTTTTCTTTTTTTGAACGCCGTGGGAACATCTGGAATTTTCCCTTTGGCTTTCATCATTGGTAAGCATGCAGAAAAAATTTATCCCATTCTTTTAAAACAATATTTCACAAGAAGATTTTTTGTTAATTCTATGTCTAACATTTTATAGGTATAGAAATGGTCGGGAAAAGAAAACGGGAATTCGCGGGATTCGTGTTAAATTATTTCTACGCAATAGGAGAAGCTCTTGTGGCGCCAATTGCTTATTTAGAGCCAAGGTGGAAGAATATACAACTAGTTGTCTCGGCACCAGCTGCAGTTTTTCTGGTATATTATTGGTAACGTTACTTTTTGAAAACAAACGAAATATACTTTTTTATTAGAGACTTAAAAGTAACCATACGTTTTGTTCTGCAGGTTCATTCCGGAATCCGTAAGATGGCTCCTTGCTAGAGGAAAACTGACTAGAGCCAAAAAAATTATTCTTACCGCAGCTGATTATAATAACGTCACGGTTACCGATAACCTACTAGATTCTCTGAAAGAAACCACAAACTTACAAGTAAGTGCTTATGATACGCGTATTATACTAGTTACTACGATAGGTAATGGATAAACGGTAATTCACGATAATATTCGTTATTTGCATTTTTAATGTAACTGCCACATAACAATCGCTTGTATAATTTACAAAATTTAATGATATTTTTGTTTACTATCGTACAAATTGTTATGATAAAGTCAATATACCAATTATTCCTATTTACGTATTTTGTATACGCATTAAAAAATTTTTACTATTTTTTACTATTGTGATTAAAAAAACCAAAGTAGCAAAATGACTTTATGGAAATAAGACATTGTAGGTATAAATTTTAATATTTTTTAGAGTTTCAACGATGAACAAAAATCGGAAAAAATATTCCCGGTCGTCAAGTACATATGTTTATCCAGGAAACTCGTCATAAGATTTCTAATAGTATACGTCATATGGATCGTAAATTCCTTCGTTTTCTACGGCCTCTCCATAAACGCGACCGCTTTGAGTGGCAGCAAGTACATCAATTTCGCCTTGGTAACGCTCGTAGAAATTCCTGGATACACATTGGCGTGGGTTTGCATCCAGAAAATGGGCAGGAGGTACTCGTTAATCGGTTTCCTTCTACTGAGCGGCGTTACCTGTACATTAACGATTTTTGTACAGAATACAAACTTGAATTGGCTCGTTATAATGTTATTTTTGATTGGGAAATTGGGCGTCACTGCGGCGTTTTCCACTACTTACGTTTATACAGCTGAAATGCTGCCCACTATTGTTAGAAGCGGCGGCGTTGGTTCAATGTCTACTATTGGAAGATTTGGGGCGTTGGTAGCACCGTTTGTTCCTTTACTGGTATAAGTATTATTATACATGTTGTAGAATATTATTAAAATACTGGTGTTTTTTAGGGTCTTTATTGGGCTCCGTTGCCGATGTTAATCTTCGGATTTCTTGCGATAGGCGCCGGACTTCTAGCTTTCAAGTTACCAGAAACTTACGGTTCCAAATTACCAGAAACTGCCGAAGAAGCTGAACTTCTGTGATTGTTAATTACCTTATTGATATTATTGGATAAATCATTGGTTTGAATATGATCTGTGGTTGAAATAAGAGTAAAATAGACAATACGTGAAGTCCAATCTAATTTTTGCTTTCTCATTTCTCTAATTTTTGAGATATTTGTCCCAAAAGTAAGTAACGAATTAATAAGGAATGAAACCAATAAATATGCTGACCGGAATTGGGCATCTAGAAGATATTTTTTCATGCACAGTGAAAGTGCTAGTTATAACTAGCAAATGTCAATTTCCATTAGTTTCTATTCATGAAACTAACAAAACATAACATTTGAATGCATCAACTTTGGCCTTTTTACGTATCGTATAACAAATCAATTTTGCGTCACAAAACAAGTCAAATAATATTTCCATGTCAATGTTTTTAGTACACCATATACAGATTCATAAGAGCGTCATTCGCAAAGCTATTCACAAGAAGACCCATTATCTCTAATACTACCATCAGTAACACTAATTTTCTACTACCGCGCATATTTAGTAGACCTCCATAATGATTTTCACAAATGGCTTTCGAATGGATTGTAATCTTCCTGTAACCCGCACATTTTCAAACTGGTTTTCCACAGATTCTTCGCCAGTTCTAGATCATTCGATGTCTTCGATGACCAGGTGGGCTTGCACTCGGCATAGTATCGTCCCGTTTCGTCGGCGCAATTTTCGTGCGTCGCACAATAAATCGTCGTTTGGGCGCCTTGTTCGACCGATTTGAAAAAAAACTTTTTCGAAAAATCCATGAAGACCCCTGACACGTGTTGCTGGAGATTCGAATTTATCGCACCTGGATGTAACGAGTAGACGTTTATCCCTTGCACGTTATGTTCTAGAAAATTGTATTGATATAGTCAAAAATGCTTTGTTTTTTTGTGATATCTAACCTTCTAGTTGTCGAGCTAGTTCTTTGGAAAATAAAACGTTGGATAATTTACTTCGGTTATAAGCTGCGGTCGGGCCGTATTTTGACTTTTCAAAATTCAAATCGTCCATATCAAGAGAACATGCAACTGGAACAGGCATTTTAATTTTTAATTAAATATGTAGCAGTTGCTAGACTTGATGCTGATTCTATTTTAATCTACTATATATAATTGCAAATCACCATAAGCATCGTTAACAATTTAATGAAACAGAATTTAAGTTATGATTTTAGCTTATAGATTTAACGGTATATAAAAATAACTTACAGTGATGCATTAACGAAGAAACATTGACGATCCTAGCTGGAGTGCTTTGCATAATTTTCGGCATCAATAGCATCGTGAGCAAAAAGTGCCCTAAATGATTAGTCGCAAATTGCATTTCATATCCGTCCTCGGACTTCGTCAGTTCTGGTAACATCATTATACCGGCGTTGTTAATTAGAAGATTTATTTGACCTTCGGTATCGAGTAATTCTTTTGCGCACTTTCGCACGGACTTCAAACTTGATAAATCAAGTTCCACTATCTGCAATTCGCCGAGATTTTTTTTGTCTTTGCATTGGCTTTTGATGTCATCTACCGCCTCCTGGCCTTTACTCAGATTACGGCAAGCTATTATAACTCTTGCGCCTAAAAATATTTTTTTAAAAAACATTTCGATTTTAGAAAACGTTTCAATAACTAACCTCTTTCAAAGAAATCTTTCGCTGTAACTTTTCCAATGCCACCGTTGCCTCCTGTAATTACAGCCGTTTTTCCGTTTAATCTTGCATTAGAATTAGCGTACGTGGTTAATATCGAGCCCATGTTTTCTTGATTTCATTAACTCGGTGTGCGTTTTTTTAGAATGATTGTCAAGGAACTGACAGTATCATCTACTACAAAATAAATTTTATGCTATTATGAAATTATTACGCATCGTACGTTGTACTGACCTTCGTATTTCAATCTGAATTATTTAGTAAGCGTGCTATTAAAACATCAATAATATTATACATACATAGACAAATTATGTATATTAAAAAGAACTTGTTTCGGAACCAAAGATACTTCTAAATAATAGCATCACTATGTTACGTAGATAATCGGTATCAAAGATAATGATACTTAATGATCAAAAGATTGGAGAACATACTTGATTATTTTTAAACTGTAAGTTAAACACTCAATTGTGAATAAATTATTAAATTTTAAGCATTAATTTACGTGTTTTTTATAAAATTTATATTGCCTGTACTTTGTATCAATAAATCTATTATAATTTTTGGAGTACCTAGTGAATACAACGTTGCCATCAATAATTTAATTATTACCTACTTATGATTTAACGTTATAAATTAAATAAATAACTAATAATAAATCACAGTTTTTTCACTTCAAATGGTTGAAAATCTTCCTTAAGACCAGCCATTGTCCAACTAGCATCCCAAAGTTTCTTGGATATCTTCCTATTATTTGCTATCCACGATGGATAAGTAGATTTACAGTTTTGATAGTACAGTCCAGTTTCGCGAGCACATTTCTCGTTAGTAGCGCAATATATCGTAGTTAGAGCACCCTCTTCTGGAGTCTTGGTGAATTTTCTTAAGATGGATTTCATTGGAATGTCCATGTGCCTTTTAAGCTCCGTGTTTATGACACCGGGATGTAAACTGTAAACATTTACACCTTCTATGCGATTTTCTACAACAGGAATAATTATGATCCGGTGAAAGGAGTACGATAAAAATAATTTAAAATACTATTTGATAAACTAGTACTAGTATACCTTTTAGTTTTTCAGCTAGTTCCTTGGTAAATAATACATTACATAATTTGCTTTGAATATACGCTCGTGTAGGACCATACCTGCGTTTTTCGAAATTCAAATCATCCACGTTCAATGTTAACGTAACTAAAATTTAATATGATACAAAAAAGTCTAAAATATGAATCCACAACTCACAGAAATGTAACCTCGATGATACATTTACAATCCTTGCCGGCGCGCTTTGCAGAAGTACCGGCATTAACAGTACAGTCAGTAGGAAATGTCCTAAATGATTAGTCGCAAATTGCATTTCATTACCGTCCTCGTTCCTTGTCAATTTCGGTAAGTTCATGATACCCGCATTGTTAACTAGCATATTTATCCGCGATTCGCTTTTCAACAAGTCCTCAGCACATGCTCGAACTGATTTCAAACTCGACAGGTCCAATCGTTGAACTTCGAGTTGACCCAAGTCTTCTTTGCCATCGCATTGTCTTTTGATGTCGTCGACAGCCTGCTGCGCTTTTTCGACGCTTCTGCAAGCCAGTATGACCCGTGCGCCTGGATATGAAAAAACGCCAGGAAAAATTGGAAATTTCGCTTTAACTGCGCCACTAACCTCTTTCGTAGAAATTCTTAGCGGTAACTTTTCCTATGCCCGTATTTGCTCCTGTTATTACAGCCGTTTTGCCCGCCAGCCTTGCACTTGAGTTCGTCGTCATTGACCATGCACTTCCCATTTTACTGTTAATTGTTGACCTACTATTGCTAAGTAGGTGCCGTACGTTGGTCGAATATAAGAATATCGAAACAGAAAGTCGTTTCTCGCGATAGTATTTGTACTAGAGTCGTCGTTCATCGATGGATGAAGATATTCTACTGAAGAAAGTTTATAGCGTCGGAGTCGTTGCTGTTGAATTTAACCTCGTTTCGGTTTTATAACGGTGATTAAATCAAATTGCAATCGTTTAATTTTTTCTATTGTACTATCCTCAGGTCGATTGGTTGTTAGGGGATTTTTGATGATTGTTTGTGGTTAATTCAATAAATGATTATAATTGCATAATTTGTAATCTTGAGGAGGAGATGGAGTTAATGAAGCAGATGGAATGAATAGCAATGAAGACTGTCAACGAAGAACTGTTAAACATTTTGGGAAATATGTATGATGTATGATATACAAGTAGTTTTAACATATTTACATAATTATACTGTTAAAATTATCTAAATAATCGAATTATATTCTTTCATTCACATGTATCAGTATGTGCATGAAAAATATATGAATCTAAGTGATATGAATCATCTTCTTCCGAATCGTCTTCTAATATTCTATACAGGGTGGTCTAGAACTCTCGATCCACAAGAAAGGAAATATGAAAACGATAATAGAGATGCCAAAACTACAAAAATTACTTTCAAGAAAGACAAACTTACAAAATAGGCTCTGTCCAATTACGCAAAAGAAAATAATTTAAAATTTTGTTCAAAACGATTATTCTAACATGTAGCAGTGTAACATGTAATAAAAACAATCCACTTTTTATATTTATTTCAAATTTACGTCCCAAAATTACAACAGAAATGCAAGGTATCTACTTTTAAATTATGTTAATTCTATTCATAACAAGTGTAGATGTCAGCACAGATGCCGTTCTGATGTTGCGACTAGCCTAGTTTTTTATTTAATTTTTACTAACCTTTCAAAAACAAAAAATAGTGTAGATACTTAATGTAAAATGAATGAAGACGGTCCTGGATGCTGCATGGTCCTATGCTGGAACTGCTTTATAAGCTGTGGGTCAACTTGGCTCAAAGAGTCATTGGAGTTCCAGCAAGGGAGTTGGTTGAGCTCCGGTAAGGGAACTGGTGTAGTCCAGTAGAGGACTCTGCTAGAGGGTCCAAGGGACTCCAAGGGAGTACAGTTCGGGTCATGAGTAAGACGGGGTACAAGGTATACTGAATCCATACAGGAATTGTTGTGGTCAAGTGAGTTCCCTCTGAATTATCCTGTATACCTACAGTTCAGTTTCAAATCGACATAAGGTGACTTATCCCTCAATGTTATAAAAAATGGTGCAGAAGTCATGTCAAATATTAGCGGCGCGGTATGAGTATTTAATATTCTCATAAATAGCATTAAATTCAAATAAAGGTGAAGGAAAAAAAGTGGAATCTCGATAGTACAATTGATACTTATTAAGCTTTAGGACCTGTTGTAATTAATCTCAATGAATCTGAAAGTGAAGATTCAGATTTTGATGATTCGCTAGATGGTGATGCCTACTACTCATAATTCACATGTTAATCGACCTTACTTTTTTAAATGGTCCTTTACAGCTCCACCGATTTGCTCATAAAATAGAAACACTGAAATTGCTATTTGAACAACAAAATAAGCTCTTATTAAAGGGCAATTCAATATTATTTGAAAAAAATTAAATAAATTCATTTTATTTGAATTTAATGCTATTTATAAGTATATTTAATATATTCATACCGCGCCGCTGATATTTCAATTTGACATGACTCCTACACCATTTTTAATAACATTGACGGATGAGTCACTTTATATCGATTTGAAACTGAACTATACATAATATATGAAACCACCCTAATTAAGCCTTCTGGGATCAAAATAAAACCTCATTTTACGATACCATACAAATTATAATTGTAATATTAAATTCATATCCATTCATATTATTCATATACCTTGCTTTCTTAAATTGTCTCGTTAGTTATATCGTTAATTTCAACCATCGAATTTTCCACGTACTCAAACGGATCATCCGTGTATTCACAAAAATCGGTAAAATACTCCAAGTAATCGGATTCCTGAGCAGTCAAATGACGAGCAGGCATCAGTTTTAATTTCCTGCAAACGGCCACTTTTGATCTTCCTTTTAATTCTGCAAAATAATCGATTAATTGGTAAGAATTTGTGATCAAACAGCACTTTTACCTCTGGTTTGTCGTTTCTTAAACGGCGCCTGATAGGCTTTTCTCAACGATTTCAACGCCATCTCGAATTCGAGATGTTGCTTTTGCGCCAGCGATGCGGATTCGATCAGTTTCTTCGATTCGATGTTGTATTTGCTTTCTAATAGTTTCGCCATCTCGCACGGGACCTTCGGCAAAAATTATACTACCTTTTATCCTATGCACCGTTGGAAATTTAATTTCGCATAATAGGGAAATCAATGTTAAATTCTTAGCCGGCTGAAATCCAGTCTACCAGTGTAGATTTCAATAGAACGTCGCGATAAATTCTAATAAATTTAAATGTTCAACTGGGACCGCACGCCGCGATTTGTAGAGGTACAAAGTTATTTGTGTTAGGTATGAGGTACAAAATTATTTAGAAACTAAATTTAATATTTTTTTTTGGGATATTTCAAAAAAATATGTGTAGCGGTAGGTACAGTTTTGAAAGAGCAACAAATCTTGTTGAAATAAGGGAAAAAATAATTCAATTTTCTCTTAGAATTATACCTCAGCTCAGTAATATGAGATGACATCTGTATGACAGGTTTGGCTATTGTTTAGCAGAAAGTGGTGGACTATTTTTTAGAGTTCTTTTATTTTCTGTTTTAAAATTATCTTTAAATTTATTTTTGGAGTTTCCTTTTTATTATCTTCTTAGAATTTACTTTCTTTTTCAAGCCATTGTGGCAAAAAGACATATCTACATAATTCTATTTTAATATTAGTGATATTTTTTCAATAAATGATCGTTTAAAAATTCTCATTTCTTTTTATTCGAATCGACGTTCACCCATTTGAACCCGTTTTGATACTGTCGAAGTGTCGAAACCGTCGAAATTATTTGTTTTTTAATCTAACAGAACCAAAGCGCGGTGTGAAGTCCAGTAGAACAATTAAATTTATTAGAATTTATCGCGACGTTCTATTGAAATGTACACTGGTAGACTGGATTTCAGCCGGCTAAGAATTTAATATTGATTTCCCTATTATGCGCGAATATTTTTCCAACGGTGTATACTCAGAATCGTTAAATCTGAAATATTTATGATATATCTGATACTAAAGTTGATTAGAATATGATCGATTAATACTATACTAATATAATAAAACTGATATAATATAATAGTGATATATGATTAAATACTCTAATAAATTACCAATTTCATGAAATCTCGCGTTCTCAAATTTCGATTTTTAAGGTTTTCCTTAAAAAACTTAATTAGAGAAAATTAAAGACAGCAAAATTTTAACCAGAATCCTCCTACCACATTACTAATAAACCGTTGCACTTATGATTACCTTATCCAATGAAAGTTTTTCTTTTCTATATTGGCGTTCAATCGACTCCATCATAGTCAAGATATTGCGATCGATAACTTCAGAACTCCCTATAGATTCGTATACGTCTTCGACGAATACGTACAAGTCGAGTACTTCTTTAGATTTGATCAGTTTCTTAAATTCGTTGTGAATGACTGAATTGATCATTTTCCGGAAATTCTGCGCACTATTCTCTTCCCATCTGCAAGTAATTATTCGCAGTATAATAAGTATGATTTAGGTACTCCCTTTTCAGGCTTATTACTCACTCTATAATTTCGGTTAATTCGTTAATGGAATGTTTTATGGAAAAGATCTTTTGGTCGAATGACAGCGCCGCGTTTTCCATATTTATGTGTATTTTCTCCAATGGAGCTCCTACTTCTTCCACGTGCAGCAGGTAATTCATGTTCTGGTATTCCATGTATTTGAATAGGTTGATTAATTCTTCGGGTTCTAAAACACAATTATATCACAGTTATTCTTAAAGTTGAAGTTTATCATCGAAAGGATTTCGAAGAAAAAAATGATGATTTTGGTACCTGACCAAAAACTTACCATTAAAATACAATCTAGGAGGCTCTAAATCTAAGCACACTTTTTGCATATGTTCAATCGATTCATCGAGGACTCTTTCTGATTTGTAATCGTTTTGCTCTTCTGTGTAAAGTAAAATTTCCTCCTCCATTGAATCCAATACGCTCTAAAATTGTGCAGAAAATTAACCGGGGAAATTTATAAAGGATTGTTTTTAATTTGTAACTCCTCTTTAAAGACCTACAACTTCTCAGAAATATACCTAACTTTATATTAAGTTATGTTGGGTTAAACAACATATTTTGGACTACACTACATGGCCCTTCTCTGTGTCTGCTTTAATGCGGGCCACCCTGTATATAAAAATTTGGCAACATTGTACACATACCATTCGATCATCGTGCGTCTTTTTCCAATGCAACGGGCTGATGTAGCTCAAAAATCTCCTGCATGCATTCGTTCTATCCCATTTCACCTCTGAATGATACAAAGCAGCTTTCATAGAATTGAATTTCTTCTTCCAATTAGCGCATTCCTCCCGCAATTTGTCGTAATTTCGTTGCTTCTCGTTGGATTCACTGAAAATTTATAAAGTTAATTAATTTACTTTTTTTAAAAATAAGTAGAAAATTCCCAAAATAGCTTCCATTAATTTTAAATAAGTTGTAGATAAAACTCTGGATCTTGCAACTTTTAAAGCGAAATTAAAAAACTTTGCTGCAATTAAACTGATGATTTTGAATTTTTGGAACACCTTGTACAGGATAACCAATTTGACAATTGTAACAAATTTTAAAAATTTCTCAATGTTGATTTAAATTTCCCAATCGTCCATTCCAACTACTCTCTTTACTTTATCAAACTGGAACTGGACGAGTGATCTTCGCTGAGAATTCGATCGAAAACTTTTGAATAAACTTTCAGGTCTTCCGATACTTTTTGGATGATTTTGGACTCCTCGTTGAGTTTTTTTCGCAACGCATCGACGTCGTTTCTTCTGTAATCGATTAGAATCTTCGTCGTCAAACTGTCCCTAATGTTCTGTATGTAGTCCCTGATGCTGAATTCACCGCGTATGGGTCTACCTGAAATTACGAGTTATATTAAAATATACAGGGTGATTCATTGTGAATGGTGTTAATTGCGCTCTGGCATTCGCAATATTGTCATTCTGCAAACAATTTCAAAATTTGTCTAAACTTCTACAGAAAATTAATAAAATTAAAAGTAAAAAGAAAACACACAGTTCTGTATTATAAATTTTTACCTTCTACTATTTTATTGTAACCTTTGTCGTGTTCCAAGACAGTCAAAATACGATGTTGCGGCGTTTCTACATAAAGTCTATTATTCATTTTCGTTTTTCCATCCAAGTAACCTCTTTTCTTTTTAGATTTTTTGCATGGAACTGTACGAAAAGGTTTCCATTCTTCGTCTGCATTATAAGTGTAGTCGACCACCTTGTAGACAAAAAAATACTCGATTAAACATAAAATCGAGTGTAATAAAATAATTTACAAACCTTTTTGATGCGAGAAAAATACTTCGGAAATAACCCGGCCGTTTTCCTCACAGGAATGACCGGTTCTTTTATCATCGGCTTAGCGGGTTTTATTCGCCCTTTAATCGTTAATTTTTCCATAGAAGCATCAGCATCTTCGAGTAATTTCGAACTTGTTTCAGAATCCTCAAGAGTATTCCTTCGATGAGACATTTTTGATGTCACAAAGTTTCGTAGAAAACTAAGAAAAGGCATAGAAAAAATATTAATACAGTGAGTGTACGAAAATGTTTTATCGATGTTGCTAAGGAAATCTAAAATACAATCTGTCACGAATTACTACTACAGTTCAGTTTCAAATCGATATAAAGTGACTCATCCGTCAATGTTATGAAAAATGGTGCAGGAGTCACGTCAAATTTAAATATCAGCGGCGTGGTATGAATATTAAATACACTCATAAATCGCATTAAATTCAAATAAAATGAATTTATTTAATTTTTTCAAATAACATTGTACCAATTGTTACCATTGTGTCAATTGTACCATCGAGATTCCACATCTTTTCCTCCACCTTTATTTGAATTTAATGCTATTTATGAGTATATTTAATACTCATACCACGCCGCTGATATTTGACATGACTCCTGCACCATTTTTCATAACACTGACGGATGAGTCATTTTATATCGATTTGAAACTGAACTATAGTATATGTATAGGATCAGTCATGGCCGAGTTTCGTAGATTAACGATGATTTTCATTTATAAATTAATCTCAAAATTGCATTTTTTAAATTACAGAATACTACGAGTACAATGCTACTTTAGCCAGATCCAATTTAATCTATTGGTTAACAGAGGATTGTTAAATACTAACCATTTAACCCTTTTAATTGTCAAAAATGGAAATGGCTAAGTTTTCCTATTGTGACAATGGTTAGACTAATATAGTCTTATAGAGAGCGGATTTATTTTTAAATTAGTTTATATATTTTGTATATTTATTTGAATACATCTATAAATTGTACAATTCAATATGTAATACCTATTTTTAATCACAAAATACAATTTTTATCAACTTATTTTCATTTATTGTTTAAGTACAAATTAAATACACTTAAATGCACTCTACCATCTATTCTATTAAAATATATTATTTTCTTGTATTTTCATGGTAAATTGTATTAACGATCCCCATTAGGTAATTGCAGTTACTTATGTTTTTTATAATTTTATCTGATGTTCAAATTGAAGAAAATAAATGATTTTTTCTTGCCAGGTGAAAAAGAAGGTGTGACTTTAGTATCTAGAAAATTATACGCATATACAGTGTGTTTACTGATGATGTGTGGAAGATGAAGAAGAAATTTAGGCATAGTGTTCGTTTAAACAATGTACCAATAATGCATCCTTTACAACTGTTATCAAAAACATGTTTACTTTGTTTGTGGATAAAATAAGGGTAGTTTTTAAAGTTGCTTACGAAAACTTATATTTCCCAATATTTATATTACAAAAAGTTATACAAATAATACTGATAAAAATAATATAATAAAATGAATATGGAAAAACTAAATGGTTTGGAAAATTTGTCAACGTATGTATAATAAATATCATCTGGAAGTCGAATGAACAAAAATAGAGTTCTCCTGGTAACTGAAGTTTATTTTTTTCTCAATGGAGAATTAACGAAAAACACTTTTAAATAAACGATGTATAAATATTCCTAGAGTGCCGATATATGTACGTAGATAAATTATTGATCGATATAAAATATGTAGTGCATCACGTGAAAATCAGAATAGTTTTTATAATAATAGCCCTTTTTGTTTGCCATTTGGATTGTTATTAACCTCCTAGATAAATATTTCTAATTTTCTGATTTCTGAATTATATCTGCCAATACAGAAATACTAGTAACTTTTTGAGATGTCATTAAAACGCTCTGAAATATGGTACTCCGTCCGGTTGGGCGTGACTAGACGAGCATAAACTTATAGATAATATTTTATTGATATAAAATCTGTAGAGCATCAAATGCAACTCATACCTAAAAGTGTCGTCCTTTGTGTTTGCTGTTTGGATATTTTTCTATAGTAGGCAGACTGTTGATCAAGCAGAAGAAGCACCTAACATCCGAGTAAGTGGCAAAATCTCTGTAATTTTCCCTACTTTCTATTTCTATCATCCCTTCTTTCAGGAACCGCTAACAAGAAAATAGTTAAAATTGGTCTTTTAAGCATATAAAGTCAAGCTATCTACCGAAATAATAGGCTTACACAATGAATTCTGGTCCTTCAAAGTTGGTGGTTCAGAAACCGAGCATGTCCCATAAAAATCAACAACATGCAATGAATTTAGGTACCTTGAACATTCGAGGTAATATTACAAAAAAGTTGGATGGCATTATATCAGAAATTAAAAAAATGGAAATGGACATTGTGGTTTTGACAGAAACGAGAAAGAAAAACAATGGAATCGAGGAAATAGATGAGTACATACATTTTTACAACGGTAATGATGATAAATCTATCAAAGGGGTGTCGATACTATTACACAAGAAACATAAGGAAAACATAAAAGATCATCAAATGTTATTAGATCGATTTATGATACTCGAGCTAAACATAGAAGACCACCAAATTTTTGTTATTGGAGTATACGCACCCTGTAATTCTGCAACTATAGAAGAAAGAAATGAATACGATCTTAACTTTGTAAAAATATTAAGCGAATTCGGAGATAATGCAGAAATAATTATAATGGGTGACTTGAACGCCAGAACAGGAATGAAAGAAAACGACGTTGTTGTTGGGAGATATGGCGAAGAGAAAGTGAATACTAACGGAAGGAGGCTCATTACATTATGTACCAAATATAAACTTAAAATAATGAACGGGTATTTTCAGAATAGGGACAATAAGCAATATACTTGCACACGTAATGGTTATCCCTCAATAATCGACTACGTGATATTGAAGCAACAAACTAAATTAAATGTAATCGATTTTCAAGTCCTAGATTACGTGTGCCTAGATACAGATCATCGCTTTGTAAAAGCTAAAGTGGAATTCAAATCAATGCCACCAACAGAGGAAAAGGAGTAGAAATCTGAAAAGTCGCTGGAAGGAAAGGAAAACTGGCCATTGTTTCTTCTTCATATTGATCCTCCATTTTCTCGTCTTAATTTTTAGAGCCATCATTAAATTCGCTCTTTAAATGGGTCCACGGCTGCCTTGATAGATTTTGGACGATTTGACCAAGGACATTTTTCATGATTATATCATTATTTGTTATTTTAATATTAATTTTAGAAATGGGAAGGGAAGTTTATTCATTAACATTATTAGGAATACTTAAAATGTCTATGTCTTAGAATATGGAGTTAATTAAAGATGTTTCCTTTAGGAATCTTTATTTTAGGCACTGCCACGCACTCCATATCAGTATTCCATATTTTTAACATTTGTTTTAGTAATAAAACTAATCATTTACAGGAAAGCTACTACAATATCTATATTATTGGTTTGTATTATAAAGGGTTAATGGTTATTTATTGGTATATAGATTATTGGCATATGTACCAGACAAATTTTTGCGGATAGTGGGAAAAATCAATGTACAATTCAATATGTAATATATTTATTTTTAATCGCAAAACACAATTTTTATCAATTCATTTTCATTTATAAGTACAAATTAAATACACTTAAATGCACTCTATGGCCCTGTTGCTCGTACGCGGATCAACTTTGATCCGGAATTAAGCCGAGATTAAATCGGGATCAAATATGGCCGCCCCTATATAAAATATATTATTTTCCTATTTTGCCAATATAAGTTAGATTAAGGTAGTCTTAGATAGTGGATTTATTTTTAACCCTTAACTACTACAAGTTGGGTCCCACAGACTCAAGATATTTTCATTGAGTTTTCATTCACCTCCCACTCTTTAGGTCGTGACCGTCTTATATTTTCGTTTTGTATATTCTTTCTTATTTAGGTTATATTTTTTTATAAACAATATGCGTTTTATTAACAAAATAATATGTAGGTTTGAGAGACCCATTTGTACCAGTTACGTATACAAAATATTTAGTTGTAGCAGTTAAGGGTTAAATTCGTTTATGTATCTACAGTTCAGTTTCAAATCGATATAAAGTGACTCATCCGTCAATGTTATGAAAAATGGTGCAGGAGTCATGTCAAATTCAAATATCAGCGGCGCGGTATGGATATTAAATATACTCCTAAATAGCATTAAATTCAAATAAATTGAATTTATTTAATTTTTTCAAATAATATTAAATTGCCCTCTAAAAAGAGCTTTATTTTATATTTTATTGTTCAAATAACAATTTCAGTGATTCTATTCTAAATAAGCAAATCGGTGGCCCTGTAAAGGGCCATTTAAAAAAGTAAGATCGATTAACATGTGAATTACGAGTAGTCGGCATTCTCATCTAACGAATCATCAAAATTTGAATCTTCACTTTCAGATTCATTGAGAATTCTCGGAAATATTGTCGCTTTACTTATTTATTACATAATCCTTGCTCTTCTAATTATTAGTCTCCTGCTGATTTTCACGTCAAACACACTTGTAGCCTACGATATTTTCCGTACGCCACTGGGAGAGACCCATTATCGCAATCATTTCTAAGAATTTAGTGCCTACTATTTTGGAATTAGAGTATATATATATATATATATATATAAATATATATATATATTTTTTTTGAATGGTTGTATAAATTGTGCAATTCAATATGTAGGTATGTATTATCTATTTTTAAACATTTAATCACTGATATTTTTTACATAAATTGAATGCACTCAAATGCACTTAATTCTATGAAAATATATTATTTTCCTGTATTTTCATGTTAAATTGTATTAGCGATGTTTTATCCCCCATCCCCCATCCCCCATCACCTATGTTTTTTATAATTTATTTGATGTTCAAATTGAAGAAAATAAATGATTTTTCATTGCCAGCTTAGAAAGGTGTTACTCTAGAATCTGGGAAAATATATGTAGGTATATACAGTGTGTTTAATGATAATGTATAGAAGATGAAGAAGAACTTTAAGCATAGTGTTCGTTTAAACAATGTACCAATAATGCAACTGTTATCAAAAACTGTTATCAAACTGTTATCAAAATCTACTTAAATCAAAATATTCCTAGAAACCGAGATAAAGATAGATAAATTGATCGATATAAAAATAGGTAGTGCATCACGTGAAAATCATAATAGAGTCGCCCTTTCCTCTAGAGCGCTCGCTCTGGAATATGGGTAACATATATTCAAATAATTATTATAATATATTCAATAATGATAATAATATATTCAAATAAGAATTTCAAACAAATGGATTTGATGAGAAGTTACTGAACTATCTAACAAACTGAGTAAGTACAATAGTAAATTACAAAATAGTTATGAAATGTTGGACACAGTTGAAATGATTCTATGTTTTTGCAGGGAATCTCGGAACTATATAAAAACGAACCTTTAAGCAAATAAAGTCCGGTCTACGATAAGCTTAGAAAATAAATCCTGGTCCTTCGAGACTGGTGGTTGAGTAACTGAGTATCAAAATATCACAATGAATGTAGGTACATGGAACATTCAAGGCAAAATGTCACATTTGGACACAATTATATTACAGATAAAATCATTGAAAATGGACATTGCGGTTCTGACAGAAACACGAAAGAAAGAAAGAAGAATAGAAGTAGAAAGCGGGTACATACAAATTTACTGCGGAAAGCTGCTAATACTAATAAACAAAAATTTTGAGGAATACATTGTCGGGTGGAAATCAATAACAGACCGATTCGTAAAAATCGAGTTAATCGTAGCAGGACTCCAACTAGTTATTATAGGAGTATACGCACCGACTGATAGAAGCAAAAATAGAGAAGAAAAAGTTAAATACCTTAATACCTTTGACAAAATATTAAGCGAAATCGACGATAATGCAGAAATAATTATAATGGGCGACTTGAACGCCAGAACAGGAAATAAAGAAAACGACGTTGTTGTTGGGAAACATGGCGAAGAGACAGTGAATGATAATGGAAAAAAGCTCATGGAAATTATGTAGCAAATATGAACTAAAAATAATGAACGGGTTTTTCCATATTAGGGACAATCAGAAATACACTTGGAAAAGTGCAGGTAAACGCTCCATAATCGATTACGTCATATTAAAGCAAGAAACTAAATTAACTGTAAGATATGTTCAAGTCGACAAATACAGCAACAAAGACATCAATTCTGATCATTACCTTGTAAAAGCTAAAGTAAAATTCAATTCAACATCTACAGAAGCTAAAAAGGCAAAGAAGAACTAGAAAGAACAGGAAAGAACATGAATGAAAGAAAACGACGTTGTTATTGAGAGATATGGCGAAGAGGCAGTGAATACTATAACGGAAGGAGGCTCATTACATTATGTACCAAATATAAATTAAAAATAATGAACGGGTATTTACAGAAAAGGGAAAATAAGCAATACACTTCCACACGTAATGGTTATCCCTCAATAATCGACTACGTGATATTGAAGCAACAAACTAAATTAAATGTAATCGATGTTCAAGTCCGAGATTACGTGTGCCTAGATACGAATCATCTATTTGTAAAAGCTAAAGTGGAATTAAATTCAATATCACCAGTAACAAAAAATACTAGAAAACTGATCGCAAGAAGTCGCTAGAACGAACGGAAAACTGGCCATTGTTTCATCTTTGATCCTCCTTTAATGCTTATCTCGTCTAATTTTTTAGAGCATCATAAAATTCGCTTCTTTAAAAGGGTCCACGGCTGCCTTGACAGACTTTGACCAAGGACATTGTTCATAATTTTATCTTTGTTATTTTATTTTGCTACATTAGTTAAATTATTATTAATTTTATGTGTCAAAATATGGCGTTAATTTCAAATGTTGCCTTTAAGAATCTTTATTTTAGGCACTGTATGTCAGTATTCCATATTATTAACATTTGTTTTAGTAATAATGCTAATCATTTACAAGAAAGTTACTACAGTATCTATATTATTGATTTTTATTATAAAGGGTTAATGGTTATACATAAATATACACTTGATACAAAAATATGAAAAAGATAAAAGATCCGATCGTCTCCTTCCACTACACTCATCGGCTAGCGCTTGAAAGTGGAATAGTGGGGTCTGCGATATATTGCATGTATTTATCCACTACACCTTAAAAATTTGTCGGAACTGGTATTGATTATTGGTATATAAGTTTTAATATATTCGTTATACATATATCTATTGGTTATTAATGTCAACTTCCTTTACTCCTAACAATGTCTTAGCTTTGATTGCTGCATGCGCTATATTTATTACAGCACAACAAAATTATGTCCTTATGTCCTTATGTACTGTATTGTATATGTATTTATTTATTCACCACCCTTCTCTCTGTTTCTAGTCAATTTAACTATTAAAATATAGATGAGATTAAGATAAGATAAGACAATAAAATGCAATCCTACTAATACCATCACTTTGTATTTGACTGATATCTTAATACAATGATAGAATAAAAATAAATGAAAACATCGACAACTTTGCATCGAACCCAGTAAAAATCATAAAATTTCGAAACTTTATCGACTTTTTAGACACCCTTTATCTATTTATTAACTAAAATTGACAGTCTTTAGCTTTGTTCCAACTCGATCCAAAACTATTCAGTAACGGCACAGAGTTGATACATAATTCGGGTAAAGTTTACTAAGTCGGAGCGGGTTGACACGCATGCGCCAATAACGTCAAATTATGTGTTCTGACAGCATCAAAAACTGTATATCGTTGCCAGACTGTATATATTAACCTACCCTGCACCTACCCTTCCCTACCCCCTCTAACCTCCGCTACCATCTTCTACCTTCTTCTACACTACCCTTCCTACCTCCTTCTATCCTTCGTACCCCCTTCTACCCTATTCTACTCCTCCCTACCTTCTCATGCACCCCCTTTTACTCCCGTCTAATAATTATTATTTTCTATTTAAGACAAATATTTCTGTCCGTTTACTGAAATTAAATACACATTGCCATCGATGCACAATTTTTGAGGCTGTCAGAACACAGAATTTGACGTTATTGGCGCATGCGCGTTAACCCGCTCCGACTTAGTAAAGAGCATCAAGTTGGAACAAACCTTTTGTTTTAAATTTTTAATGAATTTTGTAACTAAATAATTACAATTCAATTACAGTTTAAATATGTAGGTATTTCATATTTTATTTTCCAATTTTACATATACATGCATACGTTTGTAGATAAAACCTTTATCTATCGATCTTTTATCATTACAAAATTATTGAAGTATTTACCAACTCATTTGAGGACCATATAAGAGATAAGATCAATCTATAAATATATATATTTTTGAATTACTTTTATTAGATTAAGTAATAATGACATCTTATCCCCAGATTGCTGTACTTCTAATAACTGTAGCTGGTAAGAATATATCTTTTTATATTATATTATCGAGTAGCAAAATTGAATTACCTACATAATTTTAATTCTTTGTTGCTACATCTAAATTAGACTGACCTAATTTGTTTATATTTAACGTTCTTTTAAAATTAACAAAGTTAATATTTTAAAAATCCCATGGAATTGAACATTTTTTATTTCAGTGTAGCAAATTATACAAAGAAACCAATGTGGAATTTTCCTCATTTATGCCTATTGTAATTTCTGTAGTTATATTTATATTTCATAATTGGACGAACGCTTTGCGACATACTGATTTTAATTTGGTGGAATTTTTAAGTTTCTCAAGCGATTTGACTAATCTCGGTTGATGAAGCGACGATTATTTATTAATTTATGTATTTATTATTGATTTCTGCAATTGTCCATTTCGGGAGCGTGTGAAAATATTTGATCACAACAGATACTAGCTGATTTTTCAGTTATAGTAGTAAATTATTAAATAAATCAATAAAAGACAGGAAATCGGGATAAATAGGATACATTACTTTACAGAGAGAGATCTTTTTTGATGATTTAATAGAAAGTTTTTTCCATAATGGTTCTAACTAGTTCCACAGAACCAAATTTCAGAGAACCAATATCTCAGCTTTATCAAATGGGAGAATTCAAAACTCAAACCAAATCGTTGCAGTTTTTGTATTGTCCTATACCTAAACCAAATCAGCATCCAGATGTTTAATTTCTTTTGGAAATACCTCGAACTGGCAATAACAGCCAGCGAAAATAGCAATAATACTCACGCGTTCGCATCTAAAAAACTAATTTTTCACTTCCACAGCGGCTACTTCATCGGCAACCGCCGAACCATCCCCGGACATCGTCCCCTACCCCAACGGCATCAGCGGCACGGGGGTGACCACCAGGTACTGGGACTGCTGCAAGCCATCCTGCGCTTGGGCCGACCTCATCCACACGCCCACCGGCATACCCATAGCCTCCTGCGAGCTCGACGGCGCTACCAAGGCCAAGCCCACCGAAGGGTCCGGCTGCGGCACCGGCGGCACGGCCTTCGCCTGTACCAACCAGCAGCCCTTCATGGTCAACTCCACCCTGTCCTATGGCTTCGCCGCCGCCTCCTTCACCGGCGGCCTCGACTACAGCATGTGCTGCTCCTGCATGCTGCTGAGCTTCCAGGACCAGCTGAAGGGCAAGCAGTTCTTGGTGCAGGTGCTGAACGCCGGGGACACGTTGCAGCAGAACCAGTTCGATCTGGCGATGCCCGGCGGCGGCGTGGGCATCTTCCCGTTGGGCTGCATGGCCCAGTGGAACGCGTCGGAGAGCGGTTGGGGCGACCAGTATGGCGGGGTGCATACTGTGGAGGAGTGCGACCAGCTGCCGGTGGTGCTGCAGCCCGGGTGCAAGTGGAGGTTCGAGTTTATGGAAGGAGTGTCCAATCCCGCCGTGACGTTCTATCAGGTTAAATGCCCGAAGGAGTTGGTTGAGATATCCGGTTGTGATTTGTGAATAAATTTTGTTGAATGATTAGTTTTGTGTATTATTTAATTTTTATTCAAATTTTAGTTTTTTACGTTCATTCATTGTTCAAATCTTCCATCAATTAACAATCATTGTTATGGGTTTTCCGGGTCTCGGATCTTTATTCCAAAACATCTCTTCTTATATCATCAATGCAGTTGACTACACTATTTGTCTACTCTACTATCTTCTGCTCTCTCTATCACATCTTCTACGCTGGTTATATCATATAAGAGCACCAGTTAATGAACGAATAAGTTATCAGAACTAGCCCGATACGAAATTTCACAATAAAAAAATACCATCTCGTCCTAAAAAGTCCGTGATATTTACGCTGGTCGAGACCGATAAAAAGTAGTGAGGATGCTCCCGCGGAGAAGGCACCGGCTGCTATGTATATAAGAAGATTTCACCGAGATGAATACGATTAATTCGTTCGTTGTTCGACGACCGTGAAAGACGAGAAGAATTTTCAGTGCGTCATGAAGTTTTCGGTAAGTACCTTTCACTCTGCTACCTTTGGCATTTCGTCGCGTCTTCGATTTCTGGGCTACATTTTTTTCGGTTGCGCAACAGTTGAAAGGTGGTGCCGGTGTTACGAGAGGCCCTGGAAAGTTTCGCTGAAGTTAATTCCGATAATTTTGGAAATTATTATCTTCTTGCATGCCGAGAGGTATCCCGTGCAAAAAATCCCATGTCGTAATTCTGTATACTATAAAAATAAAATAAAAAGTTTGTACTCTTGATCATTTTTCCGGAATGCGTTTTAAGAGGACCTCAAAGTTGCAGATCTAAAGATGATTTTTTATTATTTCTTTTTAAAACCTTGCTGAAAATTATAATTACTTTTTCAATATTTTCTTCTTCTTTTTCGTTAAATATTTTCACTTTATTTTTCACTTTACTCAACCCATTTCCTGCCAATTTTTCTAAATATTTCGGTTTTTTCGTTAGTTATTTCTTCATAATGTATTTCTCATTTTCTTACTTCTTCTTCTTCTCATTATCTTCTTTACAATGACTTCCATTTTACATGATCATTTGGAAATGCGAAGACTTTAATGATCCTATACGATCCATCAATTAACCGTTCAACATTTCTCTAATTTAACGGCATCGGTGACTTAATCATAATTGTTACATTAACAGGCGCTTCAAATGGAAACGTTTCTCAACTTTTTAACATGTTTAGCAATTAATTGAGGCCCAGATAATTAATTAATTAGTGTCGCATTCACAGAAATCCATAATCGACTGTATGCCATAAATGGTAATATATTCGTTTAATTCTTATCTATTATACAAGGTGGACTAGGTGAATAGTCTCAAATATAGTCGATGGATAATCCGTGGGTACCTATCATATTTAAAATATTCAATTACATAGGTATTCTATTTTTAATTTATTAAAAAAATATAAGATATAAGATAGGTTCTTTAGACCCCTTGATCCCTTATGAGGTAGATTTTCCATATAATCTTTACATCCAATACAATTTTTTTGTAATTTTTATTACAGTAGGTGTCGAATGTTAATTTGTACAAATGGCCGAACCTACGCGACATTTAAATCGATGCTTGAAATGCCGCAATAAACAATTTCACAGAAATGCTTTTAATTATGTAACGGTTTCGGGAAAAAATTATTCTTGCCGATCGAGAGAAATGTCGAAATTCGGTAGGCAAATGAAAGTTGTCGCCTCCACGAAGAGCCTTCATAAATTATTTTACAAATGAGCGTTAATTTTCATTCGACATCGGTCTATTTTCCGTAATTTTATTGACCGGTTTCGGATACAATTTAATTGATTTAAATTTTTAGTACAGGGTGAGTCAGGAGGAACTGTTGATTTGGTTAATTTTAACAATTTTTCTTGTAACTTTAGGACCGTTTCCAAGAATTTAAAATAATCCTGCTTTTCTCTAATCTTGTTATAACTTGCTCGACTCATTTCCTATGCAAGTTGAAGTCAAAACCGATTCAAAACGTTCACCTGCACGGTTCCATCGACAATCAAAGTTCAACAAACCGTACACAAAACGAATAAAGGTTAACCAATAAATTGATAAAACGAAGTAGATTACATTCTTCAATTTTTTACGCAACGTTCAAGACCAGCAGGATCTTCAATCGAGCGATATTCCACTTAGCGTTCTCCTTGACACTTGAAGAATGCACTATTGCTTAGGAAACGGGAAAAGAAAATATTGTTATGCGTTTTACATTCATTAAAATACAAATTGGTTCTAATGCAGGATGTTGGAACTCAATTATAATATAAAGCGTCCTGAAAGCGCAAGATTTTTCATTTTTTGAATAAACGAAAAATCTGTACCTCACCCAATGTAGCTTGGCAGTTGGGATATTTTATTAGCTGGACGCGCCGTAACAATTTTAGAGAGAGGATAAGAGATACAAGAAGGGACATTTCTTGTATTCTCTGTATTTTCAACTGCCAAGCTACATTGGGTGCGGTATAGTAATGGGAGCCCCGTCAAAATAGCCCAAACACAAAATATTTTGTTTAGGAGAAAAAACAAATCACAGTACAAGATTTATCACAAATCCATAATTTGTCGGGCATTTAGCCGTTATTTTATCAGGAATCAGGATTGACAAAGGCAATGACGACAGTATACAAGACCATCTGCATTTCGATAGATACTAAACATATGGGCGTTTTTTTTTTCAATAATTCCTGGAATATTCGAACGCATAATCTGTGATATCTCTATTAATAATGCAACCAGATTATTGCATAAATGAAATTACAGCTTACCATATAAAATATAACAAAAAGAAAAAAATGTCTTAGAAACTCTGGAACTCTGTAAAAACGTACATACAAATAATCGTCCTGCACGTAATTATATTACAGATTGTTTCCGCATTGGTGATTGGCGTTTCGCTGGCCCAACCGCAGAGGCGGCCTCATTCGTTCTTCGACGACCAAAAGGACATCCAGAAGCAGCAGGACTACCAGAGCGACCGCCAGTACCAGAAGAACTCGATCCAAGACAACCCCACCCAAAACCAGTACCAAGACCAGCGCCCGCACCAGAGACACGAGACCACCACCTACATTCCCATCATCAGATTCGACAAGGAGCAATCCGAAGACGGGAGCTACAAAGCAGCGTGAGTGTTCCAGATTTCTTTCCGGATCAATTCGCAATAAAACACTATTATGGTTTTCAGTTACGAGACGGGCAACAACATCATCGCCGAAGAGGAGGGGTACTTGAAGAACCTGGGGCCGGATCCGAACGCCGAAGGCGAGACCTTGAAGTCCCAAGTGCAAACTGGATCGTTCACGTACACGTCTCCGGAGGGGATTTTGATAAGCGTGAAATACGTGGCAGACGAGAGCGGTTTCCACGCCACTGGTGACCATTTGCCGACGCCTCCGCCGGTCAGTCCCGAGGTCCAGAAGGGCCTGGAGCTCATCTATGCCGGAATCAGAGCTCAAGAGGTGCGTGACTGGGATTATTGAGGTTTATGAAGTTGTGAATGCGCTTGAAGAGTAGTTGATGCACCTGAGGGAACAGTTGTATCTACTTGGTTGGAATTATCCTTCCAAGGATATGGATTCGTTGGGGGAATGATTGAATCTGGTTGAAAAGCTTTATAATTTAATAAGGGACCTAACGATATTGGACCAGGTGGAGTAATAAATGCAATTCAGATATTGCATTCGTCGATATCAGATATCAGATTCGTCGAGATTAGGGCTCAAGATCTCAATAAGTTTGAAGATCTCAAGAAGTTCTTGTACGGGGATGATTTTGGTTCATGAAGTTTTGTATGCGCTTGAAGGAATAGTCGATACACCTGATGGAGAAGTATTTAATAGAAAGATATTTAACATAAAATTGTTGGAGGATGATTGGATCTGGTGGAAAAAGATTTAACTAAAAATAAGATTTAATAATAAGCGACCTAGCAGATAATTATTGGACCAAGTGCGCTTAATTGAATAGTTAATGCACTTGATGGGATGATTATTAAAATTGGTGGTACAATTAAGGCATCTAGTAGGATAGTAAATGCATCTGGCGAGATAGTAAATGCACTTATTTTTAGTGGGAAAGTTATCATATTTGTTATGAAAATTATTTGTATTTTGTCCATTTTTAGCTATTTCAATGACCTAATACTATCGTCATCTCGATAAAAAACATTGAATATTTTGAACATTGATAAATTTTAATGCTTCTTTTAATGATATTTTTAACCATCTTAAAAAGTATTTCGGTACATTTAATGGGTATTTTTGCTCTTTTAATTAGTACTTTGGACATCATTTTTTTTAATTGACCAAACATTTATTTATAATTTTATGATAGGAAGAAGACGCTCGACGTCAGAAAGAAAATCCCCAAGAGGCAAGAAGGAAACCTGAATACGATGACGGGCAATACCGCCAATATTAATTCCAACGTTGGATATAATTTGTAAAAAACTTTCTGTGATTTCCGGGTCATTATATTTTTGCGCAGACTGATTTTCAAAAATTTCAAGCGATCGAAGAAAAAAAAGCATTTTAAGTAATAGATGTTTTTTGTCTAAAGTTTCACTTATTTATTGTAAAAACGGTTACTAAATAAACAAGATTTTATGTATTTTCATCATACATGTTTGTGTGTAAATATAACGAGTGCATAATATATATTTTGGATCAGTAAAATTAGTCAGTAAATTGTGTAAACTCCTTTATTTTCTCACGTACAAATTTATTCAAATCAGTTATTTTTATATATTTTTTATTGAATTTTTGAAGTTTAAAGAATTTTATTTTAGTACACATTTTGATTTGAAACCAATAATTCTAGAAGTAGGTATAAAATTTGTATCGTATATAAAATATTTTTTTGTAGAAATAAAAACAAAAAAAAATTATAACAGTATAAGTGATATGTTATATGTTAATTTATCTACGAGTCCCTTTTCATAAATTCGAGTAAAATTGGCCCGTCCGGTCTGTTAATCAAGAGAGATCTGGAATCCAATTTACCTCCGTTCCATTTTATTCTGTAATTTCTGATAAGCTAAAATTAAAAAAATTAAAATGTATTAAATTTGTTGGTTAATTTAATGGCATTTTAACGGTCGTATTTATCAGTGTTTGTAAAATCGCTAACAGAGAGATAAGTTCTTATCAATTAGTTAACGTCATATTTTGACATTCATCAATGTCAGTTAATACTTAACAGTCGGTTAAAAGTAACAGAACGAATTAGAACTGACAAAAAGAACTAACAGACTGATAACTTCAATCAAAATGTCGAAATTATCAAAGTATTTACGATTTAAAAATGCAGACATATAATATTTTAATTGTATACAGAATTGTTCAATTCATCTTCCGAAGATAGTGATATAGAAATAGATATTAAATAGATAGAAATATGAAGTTAGGTACTATATCATAATACCAACTTAATCTTGGTTATTTTTAAGAAAACTGTCTGTTTACCATCAGTTACTTCAAATATCGTGGTAAATAACATTGTTAACCGACTGTTATCAGGTTGTTAAGCCGAAATTGGTGAATATGGACGTTTTTAATCTTCAATAATTGTTGACCTTTAAATAATAACGAAAACAAACCCAAATTTACTTACTTTCAATAAAAGAATAATCATATTTTGCTCGGCCAATCGCCTTGCTATGCAAGATCTAGGCCCGTGTCCGAAAGGCAACAGCAAAAACGGATGGGGCTGCTTGTGGAAAACGTGGCCCCTTAACCATCTTTCCGGTACGAATTCATCGGGACGCGGAAAATACTTCTCAAGTCTGCACGCTATCTGGTTTTGACTGACCACTGTCGTCTAAAACGGAAAAATTCTGATGACATTTATTCGAGATACGAGCTGTATTTTTTTGAAATTTTTTTGAAATTTAGATTCAGAAGTTTCCTCAGAAATTTCACTATGTACTCTTTTAATGGTCAATTGTACACTAAATTTTTTACTCGCCCTGTTAAATATATTTCAAATGATAAAGGAATTTGACGATTAATTATAGTGAGCCACTGAATACGTCCGCCTTTTAGAAACGTGAAACAGCTACCCCTAATTTTGAATTTCTTCTCGTCATTTTTCCATTTGACAATTTTAGAAAATTCTTAGATTTTGTAAATTCTATAATAGTTCGGCAACACTGCCTACTTATGACGTAGTAAATTATAGATGACGTGCATTGATATTTGTTTTGCACCAACTGTTTTGTTTTGCACAATTCAACTCACCCCTGCTGGTATGGTATATCCGGAAAATTCCACGTCATTCTGCAGTATTCTTCCCACCCCTACGGATATGGGTCGCAACCTGAGCGATTCTTTCAACACTGCTCTGGCATAAGTGGCTTCCCTGAGCAACGATTCCGAAACTTCGGTATCGCTCGAAGGAAGCAATTTCTGAGCCTCCTGATGGATTTTCTCCTGAACCTCGGGATGGTTCGCCACGTGGTAGAGCAGAAAACTCGTTGTATAAGTCGACTGAGGATAAATTTAATTAGAAATATGAAATTTTGATGGTGATGCACCAGAAAATATCAAATTAATAGTAAAGTCTAGGCTATGCCATCTGAATATATCAAGTATATTCAAGTCTGGGCTAGCTAGAATCAACTTACAGTGTCGATTCCCGCCAAAAGGAAATCACAGACGATTCCAATGATATCCTTGAAATCGATTTCGGGCGATGCCTGATAAAAATCTAACAATGACGGTCGATCACCGTCTTTCTCTGCAAATAAGGACATCTTCAGTGAAATTAAGTCAATAGCTACGCTGAAATAAAACCGTTAAGAAATAAACTGTAACAATAAACATTTTTTATGTATATTCATGCTGATGCTGAGGCGTGATAGCCGTAGGGACATTTATATGGTTTTTAATGAGATCTAATGAAATAATAATTAGTCAATAAAATCTAATGAGAGCGCAATAATTCAAACATCCATACCGTTCCATGTGTTCCTGAGCCTTTTTCAATTTCTTGTACAAAGGCGTATCGAATTTCCTCCACAATTGCGGTCCATTGTCCGTTTTCAATATGCAAGAATTCGTCACCAAAGCCGATTCAATCAATCGGGACGATCGGGAATACTTCCTTCTTTCATCTTTGGAAAACCCGTTGAATCTTACATTCAACGTATTTTGACCCGTTACTGCAAAATTGCCCTGGTTAAAATCGATCGAAGCTCAACAAATAAAAAGAAAAGGAGACTGTAGGATGGGTAGAGAACAAAGTACATCTACTTACGTTCCAGAAACAATCTCGAAAGTTCCGGTAAATAATCTATGTTAGGAGTATTTCTTATATCGTTCAGCATAACCAGCCACTCTTGGACGATATCGTTGGTGCCTTGTATAAATCTTCTCACCGCTTGGGGACTGCTCAGGCCCCTTTGAAAGACGCTTCTCATGCGAAACCATTCCGGACCATTCCTGGAACAATTCATTGGCTTATTCATTCCCATTCTACCAAGTTATTATAAACGATTTGAGACTTTGTTAAGAGTTGTTAAGACTTTGGGTTGTGCCAACATCTCCTTAACCTACAGTATAGCATGTACGGGTTGTATTACCTACGTTGGTAACAAACCTCCGGAATTGTAAACATTTGGCCTGTCTAGCCGGTATTTCTCCAGGGCCAGGTGGCTGCGTCTCTGAGGGAATTTTCCTTCGTGTCGGAACATGGCCTCGATGTCCTGGGGATCGAACAGCCACAGTATGTTAACGCCCGGCATGATTTCCTCTCGGACGAGCGGGCCGAAGGATTTGAACTTTTTATGGCCATTGTGGTGTAATTGATCGAATCTGTAATTGCCTGGAAACATTGAATAAATCAGAAGCGTAACAATTAAAGGATAATAAAGAGGAGTATTAGTATAAATGGTAGAGTTGGTAATTACAGGGCTATTCAATGCTAGTGTATAGAAAATAAACATGTAGGTTATTCAATATTTTAGCTGGTTAAAGTCGATTTTTTGAGAATAGTTAACAAGTTTTTACAGTTTTTAGAGACTATCACCATTCATATTTACCTATAAGTGGAAAATATTGATACAAAGTTCCAATCGCCGGCAGCGATTTCGGTCCTGGAATACTTTCAATCGTACGAAAATACTTATTCAACACGTAGTTTATCTTTTTATACTGAAATATCACGGTTATTTTACGTTTAAAAAGGTCCATTTCGATAGAAATACAAAAATGAAAATGTTTACCCTAACCTCAAATAAGTTGACAGTTGACTCGTTAAATTGACATTACTTCAGACGTTCTCTTTTTGAACTACTAGCCTCTAACTTGTCGGAAGCACAACACATTCACTTTTAGCAGCTATTAGGAAGCAAAATCTAATTATGTTTCAATTTGTATCTCTTTTATCATTCCTGATCTATTTAAGGATTACATAAATAGCTAAGTAAAAATAATAATAGCCAAGGTCCCCAGAAAAATAAATCAAATGTCAATTGTCAATTATGATTGGCAGAATAGTCCCGGCAACTGAGTTCAATGTTGATATTGATAATCCCAGAGGTAGAAAAGAAACAAATAATTATTCTGAATTGTTAGAAAATTCTGTTTTAATTGTGCTTAATATTAATAGTTAAACTTATTCATCGCGAGGTGTTAATTAAATAGATAACCTACTATTACCGGTTATTGTACAGCGCAAGTATTTATTTGATAGTAATTACAATTATGTCTGAACTAAACGAATTGGAGAAAACCCTCGTTTTAGCGGCCGCAGAGGCGGACTCGGGCCATCAAGAGCCCGTCGAACCCGCCGAAACCAAACCTGAATTCTACAAAAACCTAACCCAACCTGAGCGAACCACTTCCTCGCCCGAACCCGATACTCCCTCGAACCCCAATCCTAAAAAGAGAACCCGCGACAGCCTCGAGGATTCCCCGCCCGCCAAGTGCCCCAGCACCTACTCCAACGTGATAGCCAATCACTACAATCAACTCGAAGAGAAGGGCATACAGGAGAGATTCAAATCTCGAATAGTGTACCTGCGGAACTTCCACAACTGGATCAAGAGCATGCTGATCAACGAGTACTTATCGAAGATCAAAACCAACAAGAAGCAGTACAACGCGGCCATCAGAGTGCACGACATGTGCTGCGGCAAAGGGGGCGATCTAAGCAAATGGAAAAAGGGCGGCATAACCCATTTAATATGCAGCGATATCGCTTCGGTGTCCCTCGAGCAGTGCCGGGCCCGGTACGAGGACATACGAAACCACTCGAGAGATCGACAGCCTCTATTCACCACCGAGTTCATCGAAGGCGATTGCACGAGGGTGAGGCTGCGCGAGAAGTACTCCGACCCGTCCATAGGCCTCGATCTGGTGAGCTGCCAGTTCTCCTTCCACTACAGCTTCGAGAGCCTTCCGCAGCTCGAGTGCATTCTGCGCAACGCCGCCGAGTGTCTTCAACCCGGCGGGTACTTCATCGGAACCATCCCCGACGCGTACGAGCTAGTGGCCAGGGCCAGGAAGCACGGCAGCCAAACATACGGGAACGATGTTTATGAGGTTTCAATAGACTTCGACGTGCACAAACCGCCTTTGTTCGGTGCCAAGTACAATTTCCAATTGGACGGCGTAGTGAACAACTGTCCGGAGTTCCTCGTGTATTTTCCGGTGCTGGTGAAGCTGGCGAAGAAGTACGGGTTGCGGCTGGTGAGGGCCGATAAGTTCCAGGATTACTTCGAAAGGATGAAGGAGGAGGGGATGCATTTGCTGAGGAATATGAGGAGTTTGGAGGGGTTTCCTCCGCCTGAGTCGTGTAGGTTGAACGGGAGTGAGGAGGACTATGAGCATGCTAAGGAATATGTTGGGAAGGATTCGAGGAGGAACGTCTTAGTGGGGACGTTATCGAAGTCCGAATGGGAGGTTTCTTGTGAGTATTTTCTTGGGATTCTCCAAATATTTCTTGAGAATATTGGGGGAGGGCTGGGGATTACATGGCTCTAAAGGGTCACTTAAACGTAAACAAACTCCCCAGTTACTCCATAACAACAATGTAAAAGTGTCAAATGAAAGAATGTCCCATTACCGGACTGATTTTATGGCAGTAATATAAATATTTCAAATGAGTCCAATAATATAACGGTAATATTTTCGATAATATTTTCGGTTTATTATTGACTAAAAACTGATTTTAAAACGCTCCTGACAAACTTATTATTAAACTAACACATTTAATGTTTTTTTTAGCTATTTACAAAACGTTTGCCTTTGAAAAAATGAAAAGAGTTTCGATGAAAGAAGACGGAACGCCTATATTTGAGATATAAATGACTCGATTTTATTTTAGCAACAATTTTGATAAGTATACAATTTCGAAAACTTGTTACATAAAAATGAAAATTTGTTTATTTATTTGTTTATACCACCTACACTGCGGAGGAGACTTTCCGCTATTTTGGGATATCCCCTAAAAAAATTTTATATGAATATTATAATTCATATGACGTTTGTGACGGATGTCCTATTGGTCCTGATCTCCTACTATATACTTACACTCCTATCTTGCATTTATAATGCATTAACGTATTAATGTATTAACCAATACAACGGAAAATGAGTAATAATAACCAAAGAGAGTAAATGAAAGCAGCAATAATAATTTCTTATATTGAAATATAGTAAGACAAGATTATTTTTAGGCGTCCTCGCAGGCAACACGAGAGGTCATGTTGCAAGCGCTCGATGCCCATAATATGGCATTTTTCTCAGGTTCCCAATAGAACACAGCACACAGCTCATCGTTATCTTTACTGGGTTGATTTGGAGCCCATTTGGCATTTTTTACTCTATCGCCATCCAGCCATTTGTATGCTGATTTTCCACTCTTTCTTTTCATAGCAAGAAAGTATGGAATTCTGTTATCTATAATAACAAAAAGTAACAACCATAGGTATATGGAGATTAATTATACGAGTTCTATTACCATTGGCTTTGCAAACATCACGTAGCGCATTCGATTTCTTTTTACTGTCAAGCTTGATGGGTTTTTGTTCATCTTCTTTCTTACAATCTGCCATAGCCTCTTCAAAATTGTCCTTCTAGAATAGTTCAAAAGTGGCGTTTTAATATCGTAAAATTTCTATAATCATTGGACATCTTACCACATAGCCTGTAAGGTCGAACCCGTACTCATTTTTAGGTTCCGGTGGTGCTGAAATAGAACGATTTACTTCGATGCAACTCAATAAAAATAAGGGACTGTGTTGAGTGATCACCTTTCGTTGTAGATTTTTGTGGTTTCTGGCATATGTACTTGAATTCTCCCGAATAATCGGAATCGTACCAAAGGAGATTGTTATTTTGATATTTCACAGAAATGAACATGCGAGCTTGGGTGACAGGACCGGCGTTATTCGGTCTGCCCTGTGCGAAGTTTCGAAAAGAAAGGCGGTGGCCGTTCATCCATCGAAAAGGATAGGCGACATCAGAACCGGATATGTACAAGTCCGGTGGATTGTCCGATCTTTTACCTTGAGTCCAATACATCGACTTATCCCCTGAAACATCGAACAATGGTACACTGTTTATCAAAATGAGCTACTCGATTTTTGAAACCCTGTAAGTTTGCTATAACCACGGTAGAGAACATAGCCTCAGATCTAGTCTTGGCCTCTACCAAGTATCATCATCTTCGTCAGTAGATCCCAATGGGTCAAAATGTTCGAAAACGGAACTTTTTGGGGAAAATTCGACTCCTTTGGGATATCGTAAAAAACTGATTTTTCCTGATAAGCATCTAACTGATGTTAGAGAAATAACTAAATATTGATTGGTGAATATTTGAAGTAGAAGACCTCCAGGTCTTCGGATATGTAGATTAGTTAAGGGACTGAGCGCCCTTCACGAGTTAGCGCGAATTTCAATTAAAATTAAAACTATATTGTAACATTCTTACCTCTTTTTTTTAAGATTTTTTTAATTTTATCGTTCATCGCCTTTGTTTCTATGGATACAAGCTGCTTATCTTTAAATCTGCATTTTAAATCTGCCGCAAAATACTGCGCCTAAAATAAATATTAATTAAAAAAACATTTTAGAAGTAATTGTGACTATTTTAAAAGTATTACATGGTAATTAAACTGACATAATACTCGTATAAATTACCAATTTATGATTATTTCTTTTTCATATACAGTGTGTTTTATATAAATATACCCAAAAGCGCTTAGTAAAGAAATTACCGGAAGTAAAAAATAATAAATTTGAATGAATTTTATTATTTTTTTAAGTCATTATCATTTTATTAATTTTTAAGTAATGTATTTCTATGTAAGTATTTCTTACCTCATCTTCACTGAATTCCAGCTCATCATCATCTGAAATAATTCAATAAATTTAGTTAAAGTCAGAATAGTAGGTAAAATGTACTTATTCTTACCAGCTGCAAGTAGAGGCTGGAAAAATATCAGTAATAATAATGTTACCCTTAGCATCATGGTGATTCTTCAAGTGTGTTAAAATTTCAAAATTGAACTTATATTACGTTCCCAATTAGTCACTAGTTACCTATAATTATATCTAATGACCCTTACTTGTGTAGATTAGTACTAATTTACTGAATGTAGATAAATATTACAGGGTGTATGGTCTTTTAACACTAGAAGTTGAAAAACTTCATCCGATTGACATAAATAAAAAGAAATTTTACTAAACTAATAAAATAGATCTTAATTATGCCAGAAGTCTTCTATGGATAAATTTATTTTTTTTTTGACAATATTTATATTTTTTGTTTCTTGAGTTTTGAAGAAGTTAAAATTTCTAAAATGAACTTATATATTACGTTCCCAATTAGCTTCTAGTTACCTAATTACATCTAATAACCCTTAATTTTTTACTAATTTGCTGATGTATGTGCATAAATATTACAGGGTGTACGATTTTTTAACACTAGAAGTTGAAAACCCATCCAAAAGTACTTGTCAAGATGCGAAGAATGAAGATTATACAATTGACATAATAAAAAGAAATGCACCATACAATGGTGCATTTTAACTTGTTAACTTCACATTCCTCGTGAGGGATATTTTTGAGAAGAGTTTTGAAGACTTTAAGTTAATGGATCTTCAGTAAATTTCAGCATTGAAGATTCACAATACTTGAATAAAGTAAGTCGTTAATATTTAACAAAAACTTTATTTTTAGAATTTCAGAGGCATTTTTAGTTATACCTTTCTGTAGTGTCAACAAAGAGAAAAAATTGTAACCATAATAGTCTACCTAGTAAATACATGGAAGATTAAAATATGCGGATATTTAAACTAATTTAAAGTACCTAACAATTTCTAGACAAAATAATCGAAAAGTATAAAAATTTTTCTAATTACTGTTTATCATTTACCGTGGAAAAATGCAGTTAATATGGCAAATTATTATTTTCTGATATGAGGCAAATAAGGATAATAGTCATAATTGTAAACTTATTTACTGCTAATATTTTCAATCATTATAATAAACTTTCTTTAAATTAGAATTCGTTTAATAATCATTCAGGAATTATACAATTTCTTCATTTTTACATAAGAACGAACTCCAATTAATTCATTAATAACCCAATGAAATACCCTGTACTGTCAATATTTCTAAGTAGTGTTAATTTAAATTGTTACAACTATTAAACTAACTTTTTTAGTTTCTAGTAAACATGTTTTTTAAATAAATAGTGTCACAATGAAAAGTAGCTGCTTTAATTGGCTATAATAATTTTTAAACGCCCAATCATAAAAACATGTGGTTTTCGCAGATATGTTTAATTTTGCTATAACTTTTTGTTACAGTGGCACAAAAATTTTATATCGACTGTACAGGGTGTTTCATAAAAATCCCCTCTTTTAAATTCACATTAACCAAATTTATGAAATATGACATCCTCTTTTGTACAATAACAAATACAAATAATACCTTTTTGAGAAGTACAATAGAAGAGTGTGTCTTTCAAAATACCTCTATACAGGGTGGCCCAGAACTCACGCCCCACCGGAAAATGCCTTATTGAAACGACAATGGAGATGCCAAAACTGCAGTCGAAAACATGAAAAAGTTATTCCTTTGGTAAATAAAGAAGTTTAAAATTGACCAATCCCAGTAGGAATTCAAATCCACGAAAATGACGTGAATTAGCTATACACCAATTTGACATTATTGAAAGATTCTATGTCCTTTTCACTTTCAAGGTTAACAAAAGCTGTCAAAATCATTTGTGACTATTGATCAAAGATTTGCTTTCAAATCGATCATTCAGAAGCTTCGTCGTGCTGATATCAAACCTACAGAATTTGTTATTGCTTCATAAATGGTTGAAATCGAATGATCCATTTTTTGGAGATTTTAAAGAGATTTTAATAAAACGCCCTTTATTGTTACCATTTAATATATTTTTTAGCTATTTACAAGACCTTTGACTTTGAAAAAATGAAAAGTGTTTCTATGAAAGAAGACGAAACGCCTATACTTGAAATACAAATGACTTGATTTTATTTTAGGGACAATTTTGATAAGTACCTATACAATTTCGAAAACTTGTTATATAAAAATGAAAAATCGTTTATTTATTTTTGTATACCACCTACACTGCAAAGGAGACTTTCCACTATTTTGGGATACCCCCTAAACATTTTTTATATGATTTTTATAATTAAGGACGTTTGTGACTGATATCTTATTAGTCCTGGTCTCCTATCATACTTATACTCGTATTTTGCCTTTGATGAAGTGTTAACCAATACAATGGAAAAATGAGTAATAATAACCAAAAAGAGAGTAAATGAAAGCAACAATAAAAATTTCTTATATTGAAATATAGTGTATAAGACAAGATTATTTTTAGGCTTTCTGGCAGGCAACACGACGGGCCGTGTTGCAAGCGCTCGATGCCCATAATATGGTATTTTGCGTGGGTTCCCAGTAGAACACAGCACATTGCTCCTTGTCATCTTTACTCGGTTGATTAGGAGCCCAATTGGCATTTTTTACATCATCGCCATCCAGCCATTTGTATGCTGATTTTCCTTTCTCTCTTTTCATAGCAAGATAGTATGGAATTCTATTATCTATAACAAAAAGGAACGTATATCGACGTTAATTTATAGAAATTTCTATTACCATTGGCTTTGCAAAGATCACGTACAGCATTCGATTTCTCTTCACTGTCCAGCTTGATGGGTTTTTGTTTGTTGTTCTTACATTCTCCCATGACATCATCAAAATTGTTTTTCTGGAATATTTCAAAAATGGCGTTTTAGTATCGTAAAATTTCTATAATCATTGAACATCTTACCATTTCGCCTGTTAGCTGGAATCCGTACTCGTTTTTAGGTTCCGGTGGGGCTGAAATAAAACGATTATTTCAATACAAACCTATAAAAATAAGGGAACGTTCTGTAGAGTGCTCACCATTCGCTGTAGAGGCCCCTTCATTCTGGCATATGTACTTGTATTCTCCCGAATAAACGGAATCGTACCAAACGAGATCGTCATCTACATATTTCACGGCAATGAACAAGCGAGGTTCGTCATAAGGAGCCACGTTATTTGGCCTATCTTTTGCGAAGTTTCTAAAAGAAAGTCGATGGCCGTTCGCCCATCGAAAAGGATAGGCGACATCTGTTTTAGACGTGTACAAGTCCGGTGGATTGTCCGATCTTACAGCTTGAGTCCAAAACATCGACTTATCCCCTGAAACACCAAATAAATATGGTACACTGGTTTATCAAAATGAGCTACTCGTTTTTTGAAACCCCGTGAATTTGCTATAACCAATGTAGAGAACATAGCCTCATGTCTTGTCATGCCGTCCATCCAAGTATCATCATCAAGTGTGTACAAAATTTCATAAAAATATCTGTAGTAATAAGAAAATTATGATAGAAAAGTTATTATTATCTAAGACTCTAACACGCTGTAGCTCGAAAACTATGAAGTTTAGGTCATACATTAATGATATAAACTTTTCTTCTTAAAATTTAAATCAAAATTTAAAACTATAACATTCTAACCTGATTTTTTTAAGTAGTTTTTAATTTTGTCGTTCATTTCCTTCGTTTCTATGGATACAAGCTCCTTATCTTTAATTCTGCATTGTAATTCTGCCGAATAATACTGCGTCTAAATTAATATAATTAATTAAAAAAAGAATATAATATAAATTAATTAAAAAAAACATGTTGCAAGTAATTGTGACTGAAATTAATTGTTTTAAAAGTATTACATGATTATTAAACTGACATATAATACTCGGTATAAATTAATATACACCGTGCTTCATTCGCGATTGTAACATGGACAATTTCTATGAGTCGAACAAAGAAAGATTTTTAAAATAACAGTTAATTGTCTAATTTATAATTTATAAGTGTCTAATTGAAGTTGAAGTCTTTATTGCACCCATAGCCTATGTTGCAATGAAAAATGAAGCTTAGTAAAGAAATTACAGGAAGTAAAAAATAATAAATTTGAATGAATTTTATTAATTCTTTTAAGTAATAATTTATTTATTAATTTTTACGTAATGTATAAGTATTTCTTACCTTATCTTTACTGAATTCCAGCCCATAATCATCTAAATAATTCAATATATTTAGTTTAAAGTCTCAGAATAGTAGGTAAAATGTACTTATTCTTACCAGCTGCAAGTAGAGGCTGGAAAAATGTCAGCAATAATATTGTTACCCTTAGCATCGTGGTAATTCTTCGAGTGTATTAAAGTTAGAATTTCAAAAATGAACTTATATATTACGTTCCCAATTAGCTTCTAGTTACCTAATTACATCTAATAACCCTTATTTTTTTACTAATTTGCTGATGTATGTGGATAAATATTACAGGGTGTACGATTTTTTTACACTAGAAGTTGAAAACTCATCCAAAAGTACTTTTCAAGATGCGAAGAATGAAGATTATACAATTGACATAATAAAAAGAAATTTTACTAAACTAATAAAATAGATCTTTACTATGCCAGGAATCTTCTATGGATAAGTTTATTTATTTTACTGGCCAATATTTGTATTTTTTGTTTCTTGAATTATGGAAGAATTGAACGTAAATCGTTTAAGTGCATAAAGTGCACATAAAGTGCACCGTATAGTGCATTTTAACTTGTTAACTTCACATTCCTCGTGAGGGATATTTTTAAAAAGAGTTTTAAAGACTTTAGTTAATGGATCGTCAGTAAATTTCAGCATTGAAGATTCACAATACTTGAATAAAGTAAGTCGTTAATATTTACCAAAACTTTATTTTTAGAATTTCAGAGGCATTTGCAATTGCATACTTTGTTATTTCCTGTATCCAATATAATTATTGTTGTACCTATACTAATTAAAAGTACCTAATAATTTCTACACAGAAAGGTCAAAAAAATTTCTAATTACTGTTTATCATTTACCGTCGAAAAATGTTAATATGCCAAAATTATTATTTTCTGAAATGAGGAAAATAAGGATAATAGTCATAATTGTAAACTTATTTACTGCTAATATTTTTAATTATTATAATAATAAGCTTCCTTTAAATTACAATTCGTTTAATAATTATTCAGGATTTAAACAATATTTGTTCATTTTTACATAAGAGCGAACTTCAATAAATTTAATAGCTTTTTCAATAAAATACCCTGTAATGCCAATATTTCTAAATAGAGTTAAATTGTTACAACTATTAAAGTAAGTTGCCGAATTCAAATGGGGAATGTTAAGTAACCAAAGAAAAATGTTTTTTTAAATATACAGTGCATTTTAAGGAATCCGGCCACAGAAATTAAAAGAGATCCTGAAGAGTTACAAATCTGAAAATTTAGGAGTAAAGTATAATCAATGTTGTGAGTTCTTCTAAAATATTTTTAACCATTTGTCACTTCCGTCTAATAAATATTTTATTTCTTTTATTTCGTCTATGGCTCATATTTATTAAATAATAAAAAAAAAGTTGAACAAAAATTACAGAAGTAAGAGGCCATTCAGTTACAAACTTTCTTTTACGTTGATTTGACAATCTTGACATTGACGTTTCCAATTGTCACACTTGTCAAACGTACCAAAAAATACCTATTATTGTAGGTTGTAGGTGCGAATAATAATTGTAATTCAATTTTGCCAGAATAAACTGCTAAATACGATGAACAGAACCAGAGTAAGTTCAATCGACCCGTTAATTTTTAATGGGTCATTTAACAACTCGATTATCTCGCATTTCGGAACATAACCTCGCAAATTTTTACGTAATCGATCACTAATATTTTACGTAATTTATTTCCAGCAATTGTTCGCTTTGAGTCGGGCTTTCCACACTCAAGTGACGAGAAACGCCGCCGTCGAAGTTGGACCGAGAACTGCCAGGCTAAAGGAGATCCAAAAGAAGCTCCAGGTAAAATGATATTTTTTGATAATCTATTAGTAGATTGATTTTCAATTTCTATACGAATTTTCGGTGTTTCCAAATTGCGGGTGCTTTGAAAGAGTAATAGATTGTTAGGTGAGCCTTTTGTGTTAAGCACCGATTTATGGGGAGTATTTGAAGCATATTATAGTAGGCTCCTGAAAATACAATTTTATTCACCGATGCCTTGTAGCTTTAATTAATTAATTACGATTTGTGTTTGTTCCATAACTAACCTGGCACAGAACCCAGACATCCTCAGTGTAAAATTACAGGAATTAGCGCAATTTTTTAACGCTTTTATTCTTTTTTTCGCCGCGCTTGCAGGTTAACGATGGCGTTCCGGTTCACCTAAAAGGAGGTCCTAAAGATAGAATTTTATTTGGAATCACTTGCGTTTTAATTGCCGCAGGTTTGGCCATGGCAATCGATACTTTGTATACGCTTTTCCGAGGAAAGAAACCTTCATAGTTCAGCTTCGAGTCGATGGTTTAATGGTTTTTAGGCTGTAGTTTCGAAATAAATTAGAGTTAATTGGATATATACAGTTTTTCTCCTCAATGTACCAGCTAAAGCTGGTCGAAATGAGGGGTGTGTTATTGGTATATTCTTAATGGTTTTATAAAAATAATAAAGAATAGCATGTTTATACAAAATTATAGTCTATTCGCTGAATTTAGGGCTCCTGGTTTTCCGCATAAGGTTAATTTTGATTCACCCTATAAAGGGTGGCTCATTTAAACCGGTCCAAGCATGGACCTTGATAGCGACCTCGGGGATTTCCCAAAAAAAAAATCTAGGAAAGTATTTCAGGTGGACTGTTTTACATGGGCCACCCTGTATAATTAACCGTAAATGTGAACGAATGATTTCTATTTAAAGGAACATAGGTAGAATTGAACAAAAAGGCGTTTCGGATATACGAGGGTAAGGTGAAAAGTTCTCGACCTGACAACGATAGACCGCGATTTTCTGTTGAAAAATTGCATTAATTTTCTTATTAGGTCGAAATAGTTAGTTCAATACAGTTCTAAATGGTTCTAAGCGACAATGAAGTGTTCTAAATGATTCTGGAGCGTTCTAAATGGTTTTAGACAGTTCTTATTGATTCTGGAACGTTCTAAATGACTATGGAGCGTTCTAAATGGCGTTCAGATAGTTGTAAATGAGTTAGGCCAAGAACTTTTTACCCTACCCTCGCACAAAGTACATAGTTCCAGCAATTGCAATAATTTCGAAGTTTCTTCTTTCGCCACAAGTTAAGTTTTGTTTTTTTTTTTCGTTGTTTTTGTCGAGTTTTTTTGTTTCGTTATTCAGATGAATTTTTCTACTCCTTACATTAATTGTTGGTTGCTGAATTGTAAATATTATCGTTTTAGGTAAATAGAAAAACATGTTATATGTCATTTTTTGTTCAAAGTTACTTGTATAATCACCTCCTGAAGTTTGGCGGTTTTTATAGTAGACACGCTACTCAAATTAATTCTTCTGGTTTTGCACTAATATTTTTATTTTCAATCCCGCTAACATTTTTCGGAATATTTTTCGGAATTCTAACATTTTATTCAATTTTTTTAGGTTGAAGATGGACAACCCGTGCATTTAAAAGCGGGTGTAAAAGACAGATTATTGTACCAGTTCACGATCCTTCTCACTCTCGTAGGATTAGGAATGTCCGGGGAAGTTCTGTATAAATTGGCGACTGGAAAAAAGGAATGAGAGGTGTAATATTTTCCATATAAGTAGATGTTCTATTGCATTATTAGAAAATTTAATATTAAAATAGTTTAAAATTTTATCGATTTTTTATTTGTGTTATTGTGTTTATAATTGCATTGGTGAATTCGAAAATTGCTTCACGAAATGAAATAATTCATTCACGTTCAAGTAAATGGCTTCCTATTGGATATTAATATAGGGTGTTCCATTTAAATTAAGCTAGTAAATATTCAGTTTTTGTTTTGACTCACCCTGTATACAAATCGTAATGTCGAAATTTAACTGATTTTTGAGAAAATGCATCATTTTAGAAAAGTACTCGCACCAAAATACTCAGATTATCTAATACACATTTTGATATACAGGGCGTTGAAGTCATGACGATTATAACTTAAAAATGTTCATAACTTTTTAAATACTTAGTATAGTCATATGAAACCTTGTATTGAGAAACGAGCTGAAACCGAATAAGAAATAAAAAATATATCATCTTTAAAAAAATCTTTGTTTGGTTCGGCTTCGATTTATAGAGCACCCTGTATATTTTGAAATAATTTTAAAGTACGCGCATCAATATATTTCAATCCCGTAATAAATTCTCGATTGACCCCCGTTAGTAATTGTTTTGTAATAGATAAATTTAATTAACCTCCGACAGTTCGAAAAATAACCGAGCCTTATCAGCATATAGTAAGTCACTAAAATGAACAAATCCAATTCGATTCGAGACGTAACAGAGTAAGCAGCACCCAATATGTTAGCTACATTCGCCCGAAGGGTCGCCGGAAAATGCAACGTGAGGTTCCTGAGCGGCGAAAAACCGGCGGAAAAAACCGCCCTGTACGATTTCCACGTGGAAAACGGCGGAAAAATGGTGAATTTCGGCGGGTTTCTGCTGCCAGTTCAATACGGAGACCAAAGCATCGTTAATTCCCATTTGTTCACCAGAAAATGCGCTTCCCTATTCGATGTATCTCACATGCTACAAACTGAAATAAGAGGTGAGAATATTTTACATTTGCAGTATTTATACAGGGTGAATCGTAAGTTTTAAAGATACATTATGTTAGAGGTCATATTTTTTTTAATTTCTGTAATAACTTCACAACAATTATAAGGGGTACACATTCATTTTAAGGCAATATAGTTGTAGTAAAATTCGTACGTTTTAAAATGACTTTGACGTCACGAGCCAACCTATTGCAACGTTGCCGGGTTGTCACTGAAATCCTATCTAAAATGAAAGAATTATTTATAAACGTTTATATTCATTTAGAACTGTCTAGAATCATTTATAACCCCCCCCCCCCTCCCCAATCATTTAGAATCCTACAGAATCATTTAGAACTGTCTAGAATTATTTAGAACGCTCCAGAAAAAGACATAAATCTACTTTGTTCTGCTCATCTACTCTGCTGTGCTCTGCTCATCTTCTCTGCTCTGCTCTGCTTATCTACTCTGCTTTCCTCATCTACTCTGCTTTGTTCATCTACCCTGCCTTGCTCTGCTCATCTTTATTTATTTATTAAAATTAATTTAGTTAATAGAACGTGTTAATTTCAGGTGAAAATTGCGCGGAATATTTAGAAACGACTTGCACGGCGGACATCAGAGGTCTTAAAGAGAACGCTTCCACGTTAACTGTATTTACCAACGAAAAAGGCGGCATTTTAGACGATTTAATCGTAACGAAAATTTCAAATCAACACCTTTACGTCGTGTCCAATGCGGCCATGAAAACGCAAGACAAAGCGATTTTCCTTAACGCCTTGGTAAGTCAAAATCCTCCAAATTGGTAAATGTTTCATCGTTATTTCAAGCGTATTGTTTTTAGAACAAGTACAAAAGCGACAAAACTTCCTCGGACATCGAGATAAAGTTCTACGAACCGAGCGAAAGGAGTTTGATAGCTCTGCAAGGGCCCAAAGCCTCGGAAGCTTTGAGTTCTCTAACGGACGTCGATCTGGCTGGATTTTACTTTATGAATTCCACGATAGGCGATGTGGCTGGAGTGAAAGATTGCAGAATAACCAGGTAAAACGCAAAAATTTTTCTCTACCTTTGCTTAATTTAATACTTTAAGATACATTTGGCACATTTGCTCAGATAGGAAAAGAATAGGGAAGGAAATTTAAATTTTAGATGCGGTTACACGGGAGAGGACGGTTTCGAAATCTCCATGCCAGCCGAGCATACCGAAAAAATCGTTAGAGAATTATTGAACAACGATAACGTTAAATTGGCCGGACTCGGAGCTAGAGACTCTCTAAGGTATATTTAACCAACCGTTAAAAAAATATAACTTTATTAATTATAAGATTATTTTTTTTTAGATTAGAAGCGGGATTGTGCCTTTACGGGAACGACATTTCACCTGAGACTACGCCCGTCGAAGGGGCCTTGACTTGGTTAATAGCGAAAAAACGAAGACAGCTCAGGGACTTCCCCGGTGCAGAAGTAATTCTAAATCAGATAAACGAAGGATCGAAAATTAAAAGAATCGGTACGTAATCATTCAAACAAAAAACGAATTTACTATGATTTGTCATAGCATTTATTTTTAACGGTATTTCACAGAGTACATAAGGGTTAAATTCGATAAATCAGGGCATTTAAATTAGTTAAAAAGAAATCTTGACTATCAACTTTGCTTTGCAAACACTCATCGCAACATTTACGCCCGTATTCAGAAGCTATTCTTATAACCAAATAGTTTTGTAACCTACGATTATATATTTCTGAATTTTAAACATGGCGACTTTGCTTATTTGAATCTACGAGATATAATTTAAGTTAGTTTTTTGTCATGCTTCTTCTTCCAAATAAGGCCAAAATGATTCTGGAGCGTTCTAAATGGTTCTAGACAGTTTTAAATGATTCTGGAGCGTTCTAAATGAATCTGGAGAATTCTAAATGATGATGGAGAAATCTAGATTGTTTTAGACAGTTAGAAATGAATCTGGAGCGTTCTAAATGGTTCTAGACAGTTCTGAATGATTCTGGAGCGTTCATAATGAGTCTGGAGAGTTCTAAATGATGATAAATGGCAGAATAATGACAAAAACCTAAATTCTTGTTTAAGATTCAAATAAGCAACGTTGCCATGTTTAAAATTCGGAGATATATAATCGTTGGTTACAAAACCATGATAAAAAAGTCAGTAGATGGGGTTAATCAGTAGATGAAATTTGAAAAAAAAATTGCGTAGGTTTGGTGTCTCATTCGGGTCCTCCGGCCAGACAAGGAGCGCCGATATTATCCGAAAAAGGAGAGGAAATAGGAAGGGTAACGTCAGGTTGCCCTTCTCCGAGCTTAGGTAAAAATATAGCCATGGGTTACGTGTTAACGAGTCACAATAAAGCGGGAAATAAGGTAAATTTGAAAATTCGGGAGAAAACGTACGAAGCTGTTATATCGAAAATGCCTTTCGTTAAATCTAATTATTATAACAAGAAGAATGTAGATTAATAAACGCCTTAGACCATTGTAAAGTGTATTTAATTAATCTCCTTTATAAACTTCAATTCATCCATCGTTCCCGCATTTAGGTATCCTCCTGGGTTTAGTCGTTTATCTAACTTTACCCGTAACTTTCAAAATTATCAATAATTCGGAGCTTTGGGAATTTGTGATGAATTTTTGGCCATTTTATTTGTTTTTCAATAATTGATAAACCCAACACTACCAAAGAAACAGTCAAGTAGTTAGTCACTCAAACAGAAATAATTATACGAAAAAGTGAGGTTATAAATCTGAATAACTTTTGACGTTTCCTAACGATTAATCGTAAATAATCGAACAGCGTTGTCCCACTCGTGCTATTTATGCATCGTATTAATCGATTAATCGAATTTAAATTTAGTACTTCTGCAGTACTTCTGTTAATCAATTTGTTATTTTTATAAGGACAATTAAAAGAAACAATCAAGTATTACGATTCAAATTAGGTTACTTGTTAAAAGTAGAATGTTTTATCCTTTTTCATTCAACGCGCATGAAAGAGGACGGACGATTACTCGCAATCATCCGATCGAATCGAAACATCTGATTGTTCTCTTCTTCACAAAAGATTCACGCAAAGTGGAAGGGAATTTTTTGACAGTTCAATCAGTTCGTTTGTTAATTTCAGTGTTTCTGCCGTCTCTAATTTTCCTTTTAAAAATAATGTTTTCCCCGAAATACAAGCACAAGAAACGCAACTGACGATCCTCCGAACTAACGCTGTCCGAGTGAAAATCGAAATTCCCCACGAAGGTACTTTGTTCGAACGGTATTCCTTTCTTCTACCTCATGTAAACATTATGAAGATACTCCGACGTTTTCCCTTCTGCGATACTATGGAGAAGTGCTTTAAAGTTTCGTTATCGAATTTACAATGTCGTGCCGATTTAACTCTACATTAATCTGAACGAATATCGGCGGTGATCGATCGAACAAGCGGCCTATATGGTATTTTATGGGTCAGTGTTTTAGTACTGCGAGATCCCAGGATGCACGGCGGCCTAGTAAGTCTTAAAATCCACCAATAATATCGCATTTAAATTAAAATACGTTCGTTACCGATTAACTATAACTATGTTCTTTAGCCTAGCCTCGACAATTAGACATTAAACGGTTTATTAACAATAAAATAAATATTAGAAGAGTGACCCGAAAAACCGTACGAGTGGGTGGTAGAATGAGCAGTACTTTTATCGCTAATATTTGGTCAATATAAATAAGTAGTAAAGTAAATCCTTCGTTTTCTCTTTTAAAAATGCAATAGAGTCTAAAGGTCTAGATAAATAGCTAAATAGTCTACTAAAATGTCTAAATAAAAGATACAGTTTCTTGATAAAAGAGAAGCAGGATATATTATTTCGAATTTACGTTCACTATAACTTTTAATTTCCTTCTTTTTATTTTGATTTTATTAAAAAAAAATGTATGGATTTTATTTTGTTTCGTTCGAACTTGGAACCGTAATTAAAATGCTTCGAACATTGTTAAATAGTTGGTCATAATTGGCCATTTCGATTGAATAATTTAATTTTTTTTATTATTAGTCTTGCAATAATTTTAATGAGTCTTTGGGATACTTCGATTAGTGTTTTGGTCAGTATGACTTATTAGAATGAGTATTTTGGTTTCTTTGATTAAGTATTTTGACAGTTTTAATGAATATTTTGGATACTTCGATTAGTATTTTGGTCAGTATGACCTATTTAAATGAGCATTTTGGTTTCTTCAATTAAGTATTTTGACTGTTTTAATGAGTATTTTGGCAATTTTAGGGGGTATTGTGGTTATTTGTAATTTCAATATTCGTTTATGCAGTTTCAATGCGTTTTTGAACTTAATTTGAACTTAATTTTCTAATTCAATATTTTGAACATCGTGCAAATTTGTATGCAAAATGGTCTATGGGTGCAACAAAGACAACTTCCATTAGTTTCATATAAAAGAAGAAACTGATATCGTTGGATTGCAACTTTCTCACTTTAACCACTATTATTTTAATAATATTTCTTTGTTCAACTCATATAGAAATATAGAAATATGCAATAAATATGATGCAATATCTCCAAATCTAACGCTTACTTATCATTGCATTTTTCCTTCGATCGGGGAATGTATAAGTAAAAAATGCATATAACATGTTCAAACAAGATTATCAGATATTAGTGTTATTATTACAAGAAGTTCTTCAAATTTAATAATACACTTAAATCTATTTCTACCAATTATTAATCATTTTTTTTTAATTTTTCTTACTCTCAAGGTTCATTTATTTTTAATCTGTAATAAATATATTATGAATAAATTGTTGCATATAGTTCAGGTCAGTATAAAAAAACCTCGCTTATTAATTATATCTGATTTTATTGGCAATTTATGTATTTAGCATATTTTTCATTCGATAGATTTTAGCGAGTCTTTTGCACAATTTGTTCCATTAACTGCTAAAAATTAATATCGTTGCGTTTGAATGATGGATGGAATCGAAAGAATTTCGCGCATTCCTCGTTCATTATACATTGTAGCCGTGTAAAACAGTGATTAAGGAAATTAAAAATTTTCGTATTACCCGGAGAATTCGAGGAATCCATTCACACAAACCGTCGCCACATCATATATAATTTTTTTTGAAATGAAATGAATGCACTTAAATTAGAATGCAATGGTTTTTATTTCCAGAAAATGGCGGCGTTAAAACTTATTTAGTGCAAGGGGCTACCGAAACGGCCTTTTCGAACATCATCAAATCTGAACGGTCCCTCGAAGATCTCAGCATGGCCACGTCTTTTTCCAATATGAACCTGAAGAATTCGATCAAAGGGCTGGTGAGCAAAGGGAGGAATCGCTACCAGAAGGACGGCTTCAATCTCGATCTGACTTGTATCCTTTTAAAAACATATCAATCAAAGAGTGGAAGTAACAAAGGTGCCAAAATTTCTATTTTGAGATAATTAAAAAAATAATAATTAAACAACATAATAAATGATCTATTTTTTATTTGTTAAGTTAAGAAAACTAGTTTACCACAAAAAAAGTTATATAAAAACATGTCGAAAAAATAATGACTTTTTCCAATAAATAAAATAGAAATGTGATAAGTGCCAACACAAAATTATTTATATGAACATACTAAGAGAGCGTCTTATTTACTAATTTGCTGCTCCCTGCACCATTTTGAGCCACTTCTTCTTTTAATCCCAGTAGGTTATTGTAAAAGTTTTTGTGCAATGATTTTTTAAATAAGGTATAGACTTTTTTTTGTTTTCACAAATTTTGTTTTCTGGCGAAAGGACGGCTTTTCTTATGTCATTCACAGTTTTCCCTTTTTCCAGTTTTTTAACGGTTTTCCAAGCAGAAATGCGAATGGTACTTGTTACCTTTGTAAGGAAATAGATGAGGCATTTAACGGTGGTTCTATCTTAGAATTAACAGACAACGCGTTTTATGAAAATTAACACTAATTACTGTTGACAGGAAGTAAAGAGTGGCATATAACACCGTTCTGTGGGTCTAACTCAAAAATATAAATTTTGGCACTTATCACCTTTGTTACTTCCACTCTTCAATTAAAAATGAACCGTATACAAATGTAGCGAAAACCACCAGATTATTTTCCTGAATTTAGACCACCAACAGACATAACGGACAACATAATAGCGATGGGCTTCCCGGCGTCGAACATCGAAGGCGTCTACCGCAACCACATCGACGACGTCGCCAAGCTGCTCGACCAAAAGCACCCGGACCACTACTACATCTACAACCTGTGCTCGGAGCGCACCTACGACAAAATCAAATTCCACAATCGCGTCAAGGACTTCCCCTTCGACGATCACAATCCCCCCAAGCTCGATCTCATCAAACCGTTCTGCGAGGACGTGCAACGCTGGCTCGCCCTCGACGACAAGAACGTCGCCGCCGTCCATTGCAAGGCGGGCAAGGGCCGCACCGGCACCATGATATGCTGCTATCTGTTGCACAGCGGCCGCTTCCGGCACTCCGACGAGGCCTTGAACTACTACGGACAGCGGCGCACGCAGGACGAGAAGGGCGTGACCATACCGAGCCAGGTGCGCTACGTGCGCTACTACGAATCGCTGTTGCGCGATCCGTTGCAGCGCTACCGCCCCGTCGCCGTTTATATCAAGGAGTTCCTGCTCGATCCGGCGCCCAATCTGCTCGGTCCCGGCTGTCTGACGTTCTCGGTGTCGCAGCAGCAGCGCTGCGACGGCGGCGGCGTCAAAGTGCAGAAGTTGCGGAAGAACGACGCGTTCGAGGTGCGGCGCGGCCAGTCGCCGTTCTCGATCAAATTGGACTATTGCCTGCCGTTGGCGGGCGATATAAAGGTGGAGTTCTACCACAAGTCGATGATCAGGAAGGAGAAGTTGTTCCAGTTTTGGTTCAATACGTACTTCGTGGGCGAGAATTATTCGGAGAACGACGGTTTGTTGTCGAACGGGAGCAACGGGTTGAATAGGAACGAGGCCTGTTGCGTGTTGACGTTCGATAAGAACGAATTGGATATCGTCAATAAGAAGGATAAGCAGAATAAGATGTTTCATGCGAATTTTAAGGTTGGTTGGAATATTTTTTTGTGGTTTGTGTAACTCTTCTCTTGTACAATCTTTAATGGACGATTTCATCAAGAGACTATTATACAACTTCTTTATGTTCATTGTTATGTATGAATCAAAAGGTTTGTTCTAGCAGCATGTTAAAATTATGTTGGTATTAGTATTGTATTGCGCATGCCCTGATGTATACAAGTTCGGTATAAGATTGGAACATTTCTTGCTGGAACAACTCGAGCAGTTGTTGGGTAACCTGTAATACGGAAATGTTCTTTGAATTCATTTTCCGAATATTGAAGAACGGTTTCCTCGATATAATTTTTAATTTTTGACCTCTGCGTTTCTTCCAACAATTCTTCAAAATCGTCTTCCGATAATTCATCATAACTAATCATAACTGCTTTCGCCCATAGCTCCAAATAAGTCAATAATTTCCATATTTTAAAACTAAATTATAACTAAACAAATATTTATGACCAACTAACTAATATAACCATACTTGTTTTCGAATTGCTCTAAATGTTCTCACTTCAAACGAGAACAGTTTGGCAGATCTCAAACGTGATCCAAACAAAAAACGAATTCTGCCGGAACAGCAAACATTTACTTGAAACACCAAATAACACGCTGGTGGAAATTTGAAATCATTGCGCATGCTTACAATGTTCGCAACAATACAAATGCTGCTGGAACAAACCTAAAGTTTGTACCGCCAAGTAACACTTTCTGCCAGTTTTATGAGATGAATAATTTAGAAACTTCGAGCTCAAGCTCGTCTGATGAAGAATAATTTATTTTTATTAGAAGGCTAGAAGTCTTTGGGAAAAGAAGGGATTGTTTTAAAAAATGCGACGAGCTGCGACTTTTACCTAAGTTTTCGTCTGAAAAAAAGAAAGTTTTGAATCTCTTGCACGAAATAGAAGATCAAATTATATTTTCTGAATAAATATATTTTTTCCAATAAATCCGTGTATCGGAAAAATTTTTATGCCACGAACAAATTGCAATCATAACGCTTTCGCCATAATTAGCTCACAGTCGATATTAATTTCAATAATAACATTGTTATCTAACTGTATAAATAGATAATCATTTTTTTATATATCGAAAAGCTAACAAAAAGGATAATGACCCATTCGAGTTGAATCGATTAATCTGATAGATTACATCTAGTCAGTTAAGCTCCTACCGAGGGGATAGACTGATGGACGTACTAGAGTAGCTGCATAACTGCCAAGCAGTAGGTTAAAAAAAAGATAGTAGGAGTTGCAGGAGAATCTTGCGAGTCTCTGTTATGGTCCCTGGAGACATAAACAGACATTGCATGTAGCAGGAATGGCACTTGTTTCTTGGTTCGCCTGTGGTTTTTTTTTCGTAAATTGAAATTAAAAGTAAAATTTTTGACAGAATTCTAAGTAAATTATTTGACGGACGTTGCCCGTTCGTTTGGTTTAAACCGAACTACACCGAAATGAGAGACTTTTTCTTTATTTTGACAATTTCGTCGCTTTTAATGGACGAAATGAAAAAAAAATGCAATAATTCGCAAAAATATAAGTATTTTTGAGAAGATCAAATTATTTTTAAAAAAACCTACACTAATGACAGCTGCGATGAACAAACTTCGAACTGTCAAAGTTGTCATTTCCGTTACTACGGGTTACGTTGACATTTAATTTTATGTACAGGGTGATTTTTCATTAAGAAAATGGGAAAAATTGATATACGGGGCTTTTTTTATCTTGAATGAAAAATTATTTTCAATTAAATTGAAATATAGTACAGGGTGACTCGTATTTAAGGAAATGTTAACTACATTAACGCCCATTATTGCCATTACCAATAAACTCGATATGCAACTGTCTTCAGCGAAGCCGGGGGTGGAGGGACGGGACCATTTCCGAGGATCCCGAGCGTTCAGCGAGTCATCTGAATACAGAGAGGGCAACTATGCGAGCGCTGCAAGCATTAGAAAAAACTCTCAGTCATAATAAGATATTAAGGAACAGAAAATCAGTCGAATTGAGGATTGCCGGCCGATATTAAAATTCGCTTCGTGCACTAGCGAATAGCGGGCGTGACTATTTCGTATGCTCTCATTATTGCTTACATAGCAAAAGTTCAATTAGCTATCTCATTGTATGATTGCAGCGGGCGAATTTGGCCCCTCTGTATATATTTTGAATGGTATATTTGTTTCAGTTGACGTTACGTCTGCAGAGGATACCGCAACACGAGGTGCAGAAGCCGTACGAACGGCATTCCCAGGCGCAGGATACGCCTAGCGAAAGTTCGGCGGATTCATCGGACGATTACACGAACGACGAGGATTGGGAATACGGCGAAGGCAATTCGCTGTTGCCCAAACGCGAGCCCTTTGATTGTAACAAAAGTTGATGATCTTCATTAATCGCCGATTTAATTTTTATTTCTTCATCTTCATCTTCTTCTGTCTATGTATAAAGCGTTAGATTTTTTCGTACGCGTACGCGTACCGTGTAAATAATAAATTCGAAGGATGTTTTTCATTTTGTACGTACTATTTCGTATGGTACGAAAAGGTCGGAGAGAATCGCCGTCCCCTTTGTCTTTGCGGTACTGAATGGGTGGTTCCAGTTAATTGGAATCCAATTGTACAGATTCAATGTGTAATGATGTAATTGTAATTGTTCAAAAAATTGGTAAATTTTAAGCGATCTTTGAATGGAGTCCAATCGAGCCATAACTACATTTCGACGGTTTTAAATTTTTTATATGAAACGACATTTAATCGCCTGCGGTACGTTCATTTTTTTATTATTATTATTATACGTTTAATTTTTTTTGTAATTTTATTCGTTCAAAGGATGTTAAATGTCATTCGCGTTTCCAGTGAATTTGATATAAATATGGCCAATCAAAGATTTTCGAGCGAAACTTAAAATTTATTAGTACTCGTTTTTTACTGTAAGAAGAAGGGGCGAGGATCGTTTCGAACCTTGTTAGTTTTTATTATAAATATAATTTTAATGAGAAATAGTAGTTATGGCTTACCGTGAGAAATAGAGTATCGATATTTTTATATGTTTTATGTTTTTTGAAATAATCCCCATTTCCTTTTTCGTACTTATTACCCTTTTATGGATAAACCTAGGCTTATGCGGGTAAAATGCGGTTAGGGTAGGTTTCTCGAGGCATAACAGGAACCCAAAAAACCTACCCAGGTTCCTTGGGTATACATATTTACATTAAACAGATAAACACAAGGTGAATTAAAGAATTGAATTCTATATTTTTGAAGATACGTATAACAACTTTGAAGAAACTCTACACAAAACAGAATTTCACAATGTGATATTAAATACAGGGTGTCCCAATGAAAAGTAGCACCTTTAGTGAGCTTAGAGCCTTTAAACGCATAATCATAAAAACATGCGGTTTTGCAGATATATTTAATTTTGCTACAACTTTTTGTAACAGTAACACAACAATTTTGTATCGCCTGTACAGAGAGTTTCACAAAAATCCCCTCATTTAAATTCACATTAACCGAATTTTATGAAATATGACATCTTTCTGTAGAATAACATGTACAAATAATTGAAAAGTAGAAGAGTATATCCTTCAAAATACCTCTGTATATACGGGGTGTTACATATAAAAAAATGGTTACTGTGAATTTAAAAGAAGAGATTTTGATAAAACACCCTTTATTGGTAATGCATAATTTCTGTATCACTGTAACAAAACTTCTAATAAAATAAAACATTTGAGAAAACCACATGTATTTATGATAAGGCGTTTAAATATTTTTATAGCTCATTAAAGTGTGTTACTTTTCATTGGGACACCCTGTATAATATCAATAAACTTTACATTAAAAAAGAGTATTGAATTGTTGATGGTCAATGAATCTTAGATGGTCAATGTTACTTAGAGATTTACGTTTAATTTTTTTAACTATTTTACAATTCGAAAGGTTTGTTCCCTCAAAAAAATTCACAATTATATAATCTAATAATTTTAAACAGTGCGAGTCAAAAAGTCTGTCGGTTTAATTTTTGTGGAGTTTAAAGAGTATTAATTTTATATTTTCATCGAACAAAACACATTTTAAAAAAGTTATTGGTTCATGATTTGTGAGAAAATAAAGAAATTTTGGTGCAATTCATCATTTGAAAGATAATTAAATTGCTAATGAATGCCACATTGTCACGTTGCTAAATCTCGTTAAATTACTCTTAAAACCCTGATAAATTAGAAATTCATAATGATACTTCCATATTTTACATCTTACATTACAAATTACATTTTATGGTACTTTTTATCGCCATTTATTAAGCTAAAACAGCGCAAGTAATAGTGTCACATTTCTAATACTATTAAATTGTCCTTTAAATCCTGATACGTTTAACTTTTCTCACAGGTTTAATATTATTTTTTATATTAGAGAGTAGTAAAAGTAGCAAGAGAAACAGATTATTGTTAAACCAACGCAAACTAAGACAAGTAGGTAGCCAAATAGACATGTTTTCGACCCGCACTGTATAAATACATAGAGCTACAAGCACATATTCAGTAACTACATTTAAACAATCTTATCCGTCAACATGTCATGTAAGTAAACAAACTCATCGCTCAATCCTACTAAAACGAATCACCTTTATCGAACAACACACCCGACATTTTATTGTAGACTTAAAATAATACATTCTACTATCCACTAATCAAGATCTATTCTAGTCTGTAGCTGCAACGAGCCGCACTGCAGCTTCCCCTCGCGCATCCTGTTGAAGGAAAACTTCAGATCCTCCATGGAAATGGGGCGCAGCGCGTCGTGATACTCCTCGTCCTCGTCCACCGTCACGCATTCGATGTGATTGCGAAGGTAATCTCTCACCCGGTACACCGACGCGTTCCGGCACAATTCCCGCAGATCGGAGCCCGAGAAACCGTCCGTCAATCGGGCCAGGGCTTCTACGTTCACGCCCGGACTCACCGGCTCGTTTTCCAGGATTAATCTAGACGGACACAAATTGATTCGAGGGTTTATCGTTCAATAAAGCTAAGTGTATACAGTATGTACGAACTGATCCGCTGCAAGCATATAATGAGAATAATGAGATAGCTAATTTAACTTTTGCTATGTAAGGAATAAAGAGAACATACGAAATAGTCACGCCCGCTATCCCCGCTATTCGCTAGTGAACGAAGCGAAGCGAATTGACGAATTCTAATATCGGCCGGCAACCGATAAACAAGTTTCTGTTCTTTACTATCTTATAGTATTGATTGAGATTCTAATTCTAACGCTTGCAGCGGAAGAATTAGTACACTCTGTATAGAGTTACAGGCATAGACCAAACCTATAGATGTTTTGCTTGAATTGGCGATTCTGGGAATTATTTTTAGTTTCTTTAAATGAACAGGTGGCGCTGCAGCTGCTTTATTCAGTCAAGAAAGAGACGTGGCAACGCAGCATCGTCGAAAAACGTGTGACATGTGTGATTTACCAATGTCAGCGTTTTGAGCGTTTGTTGTCAGAAGACATTTTGCATTTATTAGTTATTTTATTTTGTTTGTAGTAATATATAAGTACTTTACGTAATACGAGTATTTATACAGTGAATTAATAGTGACTAAAAGTTTTATTTTATACCTAGGTACGTCGTCCTAGTTTTCTAAAAACGTTTGGACGACCTATGACCTATTCATATACCTGTATAAAATACATGGTTTAAATAAATGTTTGCGAAAGAATTTAAGCGCTAATCCCTAGTCAAACATTTTTTTTAATATAAAAGACTTTATCTTTCGACAAGGAATAACTCATTAAATTCTTTCTCAACCATTTGTTTACACCCTGTTAACAAACAAAACAAATAAAAAAAAGTAATCATTGGCAATGTGGCAACGTTGGGTTTAGTTTTTTCGAATTTGTAGATGTCGCTTTATAGCTTTAAAATTACGCCATTGGGTTATGCATCTATATTGTTTGGTCTATGGTTATAGGGATCCCAAGTACCTTATGATCTGAGTCCTCTGGGCCACGTTGGGCATGGGCACGTGAAACGTAGCCGGCATCCGCCTCAAAATCGCCCTATCCAAATCCTGCGGTCGATTGGTAGCCCCCATAACGATGACGGTGCAATTCGAATCGGTGATGAGACCGTCCCACAGCGACATGAACTGCGCCTTCATCATGGCCGTGGCCTCGTGATCGGAGCTCGTGCGAGATCTCAGGAACGAATCGATCTCGTCGATGAAGATGATGCAAGGCTGCAGTTTCACGGCCAACGTGAACACGGCGGCGGCCAGTTTCTGGCTCTCGCCGTACCATTTGTCAGTTAGTATGGACACGTCGAGGTTGATGAAGCATGTACCAGCTTCTTTGGCCGTCGCCTTGGCTATTAGGGTCTTCCCGCAGCCCGGGGGCCCGTGCAACAGGACGCCTGTTCAACAATAAACGGTATTTAGATGATTGGGGATTCGTGGGGCTGTCGTAGTACCTTTCGGGGCCGTTGTTAGTTGAGAGTCGGCGAACAGTTCCTTGCGTTGTATGGGTAAGATGACGGTTTCCCGGAGCTCCTGGATCAGGCATTCGAGGCCGGCTATGCTGTTCCACGAGACTTTTATGTCCTGCGGATGCACCAAGTGCGCTGCGATCATCATTTCGTAGTCGTTTAGCTTGTCTATTACGAGCGGAGCGTTTCCTGACGACGTTAATCTGTTGAGAATGTTGAATTAGTCATTCGAAAATAGACAAAGATATGACACAATGGATCAACTTGTCGAATGAGAATTAAAGTAGATTTGATTCCTGTATTCAAACCGAAGACCATAATTGTGATTTAAAAAATTTGGGATAAATAAACTCTTACCTTTTGAGCTGCTCCTCGGCCCTTTGACGCGCTTTTTTCTTGCTTTTATTAGTGGGATCGACTTGGTTCATTATCCATTTTATGCTTAAAAACGTAACAGCGGAAACTAAGGTTAACCTCACTACGAGTCCTATTACTTCGTTCTTGGAAAACGCGGAATCCATAATTATTTCGTAGATAAAATCGGTAGCGTATTTTACATCAAACGGTCACAATTTAATTAATAAACCAGTGCGAGTTTCATTTTAATTTTGAAAAATTAATATAAATGACAAAGACTTATTCGGATTAGGTCACTTTGACAGTTTGACTGACAGTGACAGATTAAAATGTGCGATTGCGACGCAAAGTGATCCTTGATTGACTTTTTTTAACAGAATTAAAAAATCGATCAAAATTATTAATAACAATTATTATTAATTTTTTCCTTTACTATGATTAACACGTTATATCAAGGCGTTACATACAAAACCCCCTAAAAACCAGACATCTGTGTCGAAATAACTGAACAGACGAGGACAGTTACTGCATAACCTAGCAGATCGAAACCCAAAATAATCGATTAATCGATTCTACCTGAATGATTAGCTGAATAGCCCGTCTGATTTTTAATTTTATTCATTTATACCAATTTATATTCCAAGTCCAAATTCTAACTAAAAAGTAAACAAAACCAAAATATTGCTAAATTAGATACACAATAAATTTAAAAAATCTAGTAAATATAAAACACAATGTCCAATGGGAAAAAGAAAACACCCAAAAATCCAGCGAAAAGTGATGAAAGTAATACATTTTTCAAACCCAAACTATCCATTTATTTTAATGTGCATTCGTTTTTTTCAGACGACGAGGAACTAATATTCAGGATATACAGCATAATATCATTTTTCGTAGTGCTAATCGTGATAGGCTTGCCGATATGGTGGTACACGACCCGAGTCTACCGAGCCACTCTACCTCTAACTCAAATGGAAAATCACGTTTTAAACAACAACAGCGAAAAGGAATTCAGAATGCCCTTAAGCCTAGAGTACGACGTGTTGATAACTTTCGCGCATTCGGACCCCCTCAACCCCGAAGTCCGCATCAAAGGCGAAGACCTCGAGGACAAGTTGCTACCCGTTCTAGAAAGCATCTCGCAAGTTTTCGACTTTGTAATCAAATCCCAATGGCTCTACACGTTCGATTTAGGCGTGAAATTAACGAAAAACGAGAAATATTACGCACTAAGCAGAGACCAGCTGCCGCACGTTATTACTCCGTTGGAAGCCAAATTGTGGTCTCACATGTCTCCGAGACCCACGATAAATTTACTAGTCTATTTCCAGCGCTGCGGCGACCTGCCTTTGTACGTGTTCGACGAGAAGAACCAAAGGGTATCGAGCAACTCGTTCTTCAGCTCGCGATGGGGAGGCGTCCACGTTATCAACCCGGATGAAGAGTCCTGCAAAACCGGCGTGTTTACGCCGAATTTGCAATCTATTACTTCGATATTCGTGACCCAGTTGCAGAAACTGTTCAAAATCGATAACATGCTCGATCCCGATGATGTCTACGAGTTCAAAGTGAGGAAGAGCACGGAAATGGTCGAGTCCACGCGAAGGACTTTGAAATCCTTGGCTGAGCTACTCTCCGAGATAAAGTCTATCGTGATCAGCGAGGACGTGGGGGAGAAGATTCGTCTTGCTGTGATTAGTGCCGATATGGCGAAGGAGTATTTGCAAAACTCTTACGTAGACAAAGGTTTAGAATTAGCCAGGGTGGCTTTTAAAAATTCGGAGGAAGCTTTCGGGGATCCTTCGTTGTTGTCTTTGCTGTATTTTCCGGAAGACCAGAAGTAAGATAGTCATAGGTTTCGTACCATTGGATAAATAATAAGAATATGAAACACGTATAACCTAGGAAATAGGAAGTCTTCCTAATTTGTCACCAATTTGTACATTTTACCTGTAGATTATATACTGAAATGAACCAAGGTGTATAAACATTAACTAAAATTACTTAAATTTACTTCTTATTATTAATTCATTGGTTATACCAGGTAATTAAAATTGAAATTATTAATTAACTTTTTTTTTGTAGGTACGCAGTGTACATTCCACTCTTTCTACCAATAATGATTCCCGTTTTTATGTCTTTGTCCACTTTGAGGACTTGGTATGTAAGTAAGAAAAAGAGCGAATGATAATAAAACTATAAATTTAGAAATTCTACTTTTTCTACTAGATCAAATTGATTTGAATCTTTTTTATACCTAATATAGAGACTCCAAGCAATTATATCTCCTATTTTTAATCTCCCCTACTTCATTATATATTCAAGAAAATTGAAATCAAAAACAGCTATTTATTTGCAATGCTTTTTTAAATGGCAAAATGTAATTCTAGTAAAACTCGAAATAAACTTTATTATAAATTTATTCGAAGTAAATTTCGAAGAAGATAAATTCAAGAATTTAAAATCGCGTGCGAAATAAAAAACACGAATTAGTCGTTTTAAATATATTAAACCCCATTCATTTGAATTTTACATATCAGATAATAAATTATGTACACGTCGCTTATCAATATAGCTTTTGATATAGATCCATGAAACAATCGAAATTCGTATAAACATTTAAACAATTTTGTCCTTTTTCCACTAGCATAAATACTTGTTTGTTTTTTTCGCTTGTAGCTTCGTTCAAATTGCATTTCAACGTTACTACTCCGCTCTTTGAGCTCGAATCGACGCTCGATTAACCCGTTGACTACGAGATAACTCGTTCATTGCCCAGTGCTCCGAGTACGAGTTATCTCGTACTAATATAATACGATTTAAACGACCTTGACAGGAATCTGAAAATTGCGGTGGTAGTCAACGGGTTAACAATGAAAAATAATAAAATAAAACAAGTCCTTAATCGATCTTGACGGCCGCGTAAATTTTCATAACGAAAGCGTAAGCGGCGATGAATCCGATCGTGCCGGTCAATAGCCAAAACGTGAAGACCATGAGACCGGTATAACAAATGTAGAGCAACGTCGGGATGAATTCCGTTATTTCCAAAACGGTCACGAAGTAGAAGAGGGAATATCCCAATATGTACAGCGCGCTGCCGCCCGATACGATGAAACTTCTCCACCACCAATGGTAATCCTGTAATTAAATGGTCTAGTTTTAGAATGGTTTTATGTTAGAAGAGCGCAGGCGTGTACTAGAAAGGGAAGGAGATAATGTAACAAAATACGGTCACAAATCCTTAAAAAAATAAGGAGATTCGTATTGTTTATTTGTATGTTTTCTATTCCGTCATGTACAGAACGTAAATTAACATCGAACGTGTACGAACTTACCTCGCCGCACAATTGGAAATACACCATGACGATTGATATTTGCGAACAGGATATCACCAGGATGACGAACACTAAGAACAAGAACCCAAAGAGATAGTAGAATTGGTTCTTCCAAATGGCAGTGAATATGAAGAAGAGTTCAATAAAAACCGCGCCGAACGGCAGGATGCCGGCCATTAATGTACTGGAAAAAATAAAGAATTTTGTTAACAAATTTTATTAACAAAACAGTAGTTCTAATGTTCTAACGGTAGTTCTAGTGTAATAAACAGGTAGTTCTAATTGTACGTCAATATTCCATTAAATCTGGAATGCATAATGCTTCAAAAGGTGAACGGTAACGTCAGCAAAAACTACTATTCTATGACCAATGGTTCTAATTGTTTCCAACTATTCTATGGTTCTAATAACCAAAAAAAGTGTTCAAATTCGTACCATAAGAGTGGATTCATGTACCAATGTTGTTCGGGCACCTGTCTCGGTATTTGATTCGTCCGAACGGGATGCTGATAGGGTTGTTTCCTGTAACCGAAGTAATAACCGACGTAAACCAATGGCAGCGATATGAACACCCACATTAGGAAAAGGCTTATCATCGCCGAAAACGGAACGGCCCCGCTGCTCGCCTGAAAAAATAAAAAAATTAGGAATAAATTAAATAATGCCGTGTTAGTGTCTTTGTAATCAAACACATTGGCCTGTATTCAGCGTCCCACTTTTAACTTTAAACATGGATCTCAAAGGTCACTTTAACGTAAACAAAGTCCCTAGTTACTCCATAACAACAATGTAAAACTGTCAATTTGAAAGAATCTTCCTAGTTACTCCATAATAACATTGTAAAACTGTCAAATAAAAGAGTGTCCCTAGTTACTCCATAACAACAATGTCAAAATGTCATTTGAAGGAATGCAATATTCAAAATGGGCCGCTGAATACGGTCCTATACAGAAGAGTATCACATACAGGGTGAGTTTAAACGATGCCAACGACAGTTGTCTATATCGCACCCACAGCATAATCGTATATCGCAAACGAATTTCACATCTACCCTTTATAATTATTATTATAACAATTACCTTTCCCCATATGAAAAAGTTCAAAAAGAAACACGTAACGCCGACGACGGCCGGATAAAGGGCGGCCGTGAGAAAAGCCGCCCTTTTCCATTCGCGCCCTTTCATGGTCTTGTACAATCTGGCCGACAGGTAACCGGCCACGGCGCCGTGTATCATGTAAAACGTAATCGCCGCCGTCGTTAGAGCCCCACGCGACGCCGGCGACAGCATTCCCAGCATTGCGAAAACTGCAAATAGAAAAAACGAGAAAATTTATTTGAAATTAGATAAGAAAATTTAGTGTGTATACATGGTGTTCCTAAATATCGTGCACATCCGAAAGGGGGTTATTTCTTGGCTTATTTCATGACTAAAAGTTCATATAAAAATAAATCCGCAAACGCTTCATTATCCATATACAGGATGTTGAAATTTCAAGATTTTTCTTGTTTTCCCGTTGTAGCTCCTGTAGTTTTTTGAGATGTTTAGCTCAAATTTGGAATCTAGATTGCGTTATAGAGTATAAATATAGAGCGTTATAGAGTTTATTCGTATAAAATACGAAATCCATTGTCTGTTTTGTTTAGAAACTTTTTTTATTTGTAAACTTTTTTCGTTTCCCTGACCGTTATCGACCATTTTCTGTACAAATGATTTTTTTTTTCGATACAAAAACCCTAAATAATAATTTTAAAACTATTTACATTATAAAAATGTTGAAAGTGACCCCTTCCTACTTAAATTATACCCTATACCAAATTTGAGCTAAATATATCAAAAAATGCAGCTCTAAAAAATCTTGAAATTTCAACACCCTGTAAATCGGTAACGAAACGTTTGCGGACCCATGTTTATATAAACTTTTAGTCATAAAATAAGCCAAAAAATCACCCTATTACAACTATACGCTAGAAAATTCTACCTACATATCGTTATGAGAGACATCAAAAATATCTGAATGCCCGATCCGACTAGCGCAGCGAACAATCTAGAATGCCTGGGCGGTCGAAACACATCACCGTGCACCAACTTCCAACCGGTCTCCTCTATAGCCTCGTCGAAACTTTCATCCGCATTGTATTTGGCGATGTCCCTCCTCAACGTCCTCACCATAATCATGGTCAAAATACCTACACGAAAAAAAAAAACGTTACAAAAAAACTACAAAACGCGTTCTGGATACCAACCGGACAGGAAGAAAATGACAACGATGGAATTGATTATAGAGAACCAATGGATCTGAGCGTCCGTCATGGCCAGATAAATGTCCCACCTCGACGCCCAGCTGACGGACGATTGCTTCCATTCCACTTCGTAGGTGAAATACAATTGAGTACCGGCCACCGGATCCACCACTTGGGACCTCGGTTTGCCCGGGTAACTGCACGTGTTCCCGTCGAATTTCATTTCGTCTTTGTGAATGGACTTCGCGCTCGCCCGGAAGCCCACCACTCGGTATATATTGCTGTAAAAAATGAATTGTCTTTAACTTTTTATCTCCCTATCTTTAACTCGTTGTTGTATTGTCACGAATAGGTAGCGCCACCGGTGTAAGGGCCAATTAACCGTGTTAGTATCTAGTAAGGGACTGCAGGTGAGCTCCAGTAGAGGAGTCAGGGGACTCTAGAACCATTTAGAACGCTCCAGAATCGGTTAGAACTCTCTAAAACCATTTAGAACGCTTCAGAACGTATTTAAATACTTACGGCTGGGGATTATGATACAACAATGTCAATTTAAGATGGTTGTTTATGAAACTCCTATCGCCTACTGTGTTGCCCAGCCTGTAGCCATGCTCTAATTGGTTCTCGTTCATTTCGGGATTGAAAGTCTGAGTGGCCGCCGGTAGATTATCCACCAATCTAAAATATACTATCGTAAACACAAACTTTTATTTTCTATATACGAAATACTTACAAATGAACAAAATATTCATGCTGAATTCTGTCCACAACTGTCTGCGATTCTCTCACGCTCCAATTAATTGGCTTATCGGGCGAATTGCACAGCAGAGTGCAAGGCGTGGGCTCTGCCATTTTGACTATATAAGGAGTATTTACGATTCGATCGCCCCTTAGGACTTCTCCCAGGTTCTCGGATTTGTAATGGATCGACTCGGAGCCGCCTTTGGGCAAACAGAACGGCAGGGAATAGTATTCGTAGGGTAATTGCGTGTGTATGCTGGTCATTTTCACCGCTCTGACCTCGATTGGCATGCCCTTTTTGAAATCCGTGGGCGCCATTCCAGGCACATAGAACTGGTAGCTCGGCGAAAACCATGTTAATAATAATAGTAGTTCGTATAATTTGTAGAACTTCTGGAAACGGGGAAAACGTCGGTAAGATTAAAAGAAGTAACGGAATAAAAAAAGGTAAGGGATAAAAAATTAGGTTATTGTTTGTTTTATATGCCAAAGATACGTATACTTACAGGAAAAACCATTTTAAAATTTTAAATAACTTTGTAAGCTCATCCAACTAATAAAGCAGGATTGTTTAAAATGTATTTTATTGCGAAATTATCGAGAAAAACATTTTTATTCGAATTAAAACTAGGATTATTTGTAAATTGTAAATATGACAACTCCAACTTTTCGATATTTCTGACGTTTGACGTCAATTAAATGACCGCTGAGCTGACAGTGACATTTTTTTTTCCGTGAAGAGAAGAATTTTTCCATAAAAAAATAATTATAAAACGATAATTAGTGAAAGTGAGTAATGAAAATTTCTTTTATTTAAAAGAAACAACCGTTTATTTATAAATATGATAGTTATTTCAAATGTATGATTAAAAAAGTTTACTAGCTGCGCATTAAGCAGTAGGCAGGTATTAGTTTATGTTTATAAAAAAAGAAGAAATAGATTTTTGTAACCTCAAAATTTAGACAAACAAGTATATGTTTTTATTGGATATTTTAATTTTAATTGTAAGTAAAATGTTTGTAACTTATTTCGTAATATAAGCAGTGAATATTGTGCATATTTTTATATCGTTATGAGTTATTCGTTATGCCAAGGGTGCCGAGAGAGTTAAGGTAAATTTAAGAAATTTTTAGTATTTTTTTTCTGATATTAATGAATTTAAATCGTCCGTTCAGCAAATGCAGAAATTGGGAAAAGGAAAGACGAGAGCGCCTTTCTAAGGCCTTCGATGAATTGGCAAAAGTCCTGCCATCTTACGTACCTTCGTTAAAAATATGCAAAATCGAAATACTGAATCAAGCTCTTGCTACTATTGTGGAATTGAAGAAAGAAGTGGAAACCCTATCATCAGCTGATAAAACCAAATCATTCAAAGGTAGCTTTAAAGGCAGCATTTTATCAAAACCTACAATCATTTTACATCGCAATTTTCAGACGATCAAGTAAAGAAACTGCAAGACAGAATCAAAAAGCTCATCTTAAGGAATGAACAATTGACCAGTTTATTCAGAGAAGCGGGCATTACCCTACCTAAAGTCGTGGGCCCCATAAAAAAGTTCCGCAAGCCCGGCTTGTGGAGCAACAGGTTCCCCCGCAATGCCGAAGCCACACGTACAAACGACACGGAAAGTAATACAATTCCACAGAACGAATTATAATTTTCAATTTAATTCATAAACCACCATTTGTAGAAGAGAACGTCTCATCGAATGGCGTACGATCGAAGCCTAAATTAGCCGGAGCGAGTCCTGTGAAATGCCGGAAGATCAAAAAGAACGGGAAAAATGGAGCCGGGGGTTCGAAGAACAATGTACTGCTATTGTCTCAAATACCGGCCGTACCGGCAATCAACCGGCAGCTGGTTCTCGTTCCAAACGCCCCCTTGAACAACGTCCAACAAGCTCCGGCTGTTTTAACGGGTATGTATTAACTTAGTACGTTAGAGGCCAGTTCGAGCTTTTTAAGAAGGGTGTATTTACTTGATGAGTTAAAGGCCAGAATATTTGTAGTTTTTTTGGTGTAAGTGAAATTGCCTATTTCCCTATAATTCAAAATATTTTGTAGGTTCTTCCAAGAAACAAGCAAAATCATCCAAGGTAAAACCAACGAATTCCACGCAGACTTGTTTAACCCCGGGCACCTTGATTTTGCAAAATGCCAACGTCATATCGCTGGTGCCCCAGCCCCAATTAGTGATACCCCAATTGCCGTCCCAAACCATAGTCATCTCTAAGGTAATCACCAAACCGAAATCGTTGGTAACATTGCGCAAAAACCTGCCCATTCGACCGTCGAATTGCGTCACGAAAACCACCCAAATCATCAAAGTTCCCATTCCGGCCCTTACTTCCAATTACGCCAACGCCTCCGTGTTGTTGAAAAGCGCCCAAAAGAAGAGCAACAGCGCCAAAAAAGCTACAGTTAGGGCATCGAAAAGGAAAAGCTCCAGCGCGAAACATGCCGAAGCTAAGAAACCTGAACCGGAAACTCGAGATGAGTCGAATAAAACAGACGATCAATCGAAGGAAACGCAACAAAAAGATTCCACAGACCCTCAGAATACAGCTACAGATACACCCGATACGAATCCTGAGATTGAAATGAACCTGACCGGTAGCGCAGAGAAATTAATATCAATCGAAAGTAGCATCGAAACCGCGGCAGTACCAGACAATGAAACTCCCGCTAGCAATACAGACAACAACTGGCTACCTGATAAGCAACAAGACCTAACTGCCCCTTCAGTCGAAGCGCCACAGCCCACTTCCAAAACCGAAGATGTTCCAATCAAATCACCCGACGCCAAAGCTACCAAAACCGTAGAAACGACGGCCATCGAGGATCCGATGAAGAACATCGACTTAATCCATTCGGATCTATCCAACGACTTGTTCGCCTCGTTGCAAGTGCCGCCCGGTTGCCAGAACGCCGAGTCCACCTCGCCCACTGCGGCCTTTCTGCTCGCCTTTCCCTTGGTCTCTTCGATCAAAGTCACGGAGGTCATCGACGAGGAGAACTCGGACAGCCAACGGGAAACGCCGACTCTATTGCAAATCGGCGGCATGGATTCCTCCAAGCCCAACGACGGCCTGCTTAACTTGGACAACTTTCCGTTTTTCAATTCGAACGGCTATTACAATTCCAAATCGAACGCCAACAAGAACTCGAAGCTCGACGGTGAAGCTTTCAGTATGTATTCGGAGAGCGATAGAGGGTTGGAGTTGTTTCCTAAAACTCAAATGAAAACCGCCGGTAAATCGAGCGGAAAATCCAACGAGAATCACATAGATAAGATGCTCAGCAACATAGAGAACAACGAGGTGTTGTTCCAGCAAAACGCGCCTAATAACAACAAATTAGTAGCAAGTAAACTAACTCACGTCGTTTCCGATAAAATGGACAGTTCGTGCAACGTTTTGTCTGTGATGAACATACCGCAAGAACACGAACAATCTACTGCGAGTAAATTCAATTCGTCGGAAAATATTCTCTACAAAAACGTGCAGGTATCCAAGCAATTGGATAACAGTTTAAACAAAATGCACATGTTCACGTTTAACACAGAAAAAGATACAACGCAGAAGCTCAATTCGGATGTATCTTGCCATACGTTTGCGGCGAATCAATCATCGAGTCGAGCGAAGACGTCCGACGTCGCGAACACGTATTTCAATCCGCTGTTCGAGTCGTTGAAAACGTGCAAAAGCTCCGCGAAAATCCCCGACAAAGACGCCGAATGCCTCAAGGACGACGGCTCGAAGGACGTCTGCTCGAAGTCGCCCTGTTATTTCTCTTCGAATTTCCCGGCGGCCTCGTGCGCGTCCAACTACAAAGCGGATTTCTCGAAACAGTGCACCTACGAAAGCCAGAGAAACTACCCGACGCCGTTCTACACGAATTGCAATTACTCGTACAATTATCCGGACGCGAACGCTCAGAATTACTACAAGCCCGACGCGAAGCAGCCGTGCTACTCGTTGAACTACGAAAACTATCAGGAATACAGGAAAACCGACGCGGTGGCGAGTTTCTCCAACAATTTCCCGAACGCCACGAGGAAAGGAAGCGCCGGCTCGAAGGACAAGAGTAAAACAGTTAACTGGATGACCGAGCAAAAGACTCAAACCTCCGACGCTTTTCTACCGTCATTCACGAACCAATCGTACTCTTTTACCGACACTCCCGATGTTAACAATCTATTGGACTCCAAAAAAACGGATTTCATCGACAAGAGGCTGTCATTGCCGAGCTTCCTCGAACCTCACAACTTCATAACGCCCACCTTACCCACCCTTGTAGGCGACCTGGCCCTGGGCAACACTCTAACCACAAACGACTACAAATGCGCCAAGGAGACCAAGAGGAAGATCGGCTACGACAATCAGGCCAACTTCCTGTCGGTCAGCCAGCTCGTCAGCCACAATAAGCCGGACAACGCGGCGGTGAAAGCCCCGGCGCGCCGGCTGAGCGCCGCCAAACCGGCGAAGCCGAAGAGGTACGACAAGAGCATGGAGAAGAAACACGGCAATAATTTCGATATGTTCTACGATCAGAAGTCGAGGCACGGTCACAACAAGAACCAGTTGAGCAGTTACTCCGCCGAGGCGCTCATCGGTACGCAGGAAACCAAAAAGTGCGATGGCGCTGCCAAAACGTCGCTAGCCGATAATATTGTGCCGTATTTCACCACGATCGATGACGGTTACGCTAATCAAAACCAGAATTTCCACAACAGCTACGGGCACAATTCGTTCCAGAACAACAACTACCCGAGCAACAATTTCATTTACACGACGCCCTCGATAAGCACCGGTTATCTATCCAACAACTTCGAGGCCAATTCGCACGACTACTCCGACAATTCGATCAATTACAACAAAACCTACAACAAGAATTACCGGACGAACAGCAAGGAGGATAAAAATGGCGGTTATTCGAGCGTCAACGCTAAGAGGAGCAAGAAATCGAATCAGGGCAATTTCGATTATCCGCTGTTGCCTATCCAAGGCGCGACTAATTCACCGGCGCTCGCCGATGACTATCAGTTCCTGCCGCCTCCGGCGGCTCCTTATTCCTGCAAGAATCCGTCGTTGTACCAGAAGCAGAACAACGATTTCAATTTAGCGGCGGTGAATGGCGGCGCGCTGTTGCCGCTGCCGGGGATTTCCCGGGGGAATATCCAGCATCCGCAGATTTCGCCGTCGTCGAACACCGCCGGGACGTCGCTGACCAATTTTAACCTGAGTACGATATTCCCTGAAATTAATAAGGTAAGGAAACGTTGCGATATAAACGAACGCGGTTTATTTATTTCGTGTTTTTCAGGGTTCTTTCAACGCCGACAGTAAATACAATTTCTCTGGGTGAAATTAATCTGCGTTTTTGTTTTTGTTTGGTGTCGTTAGTAATTTTATTGTTATTTATTTTGTGTATATATTTTGTAAATATTTTAGGAAAATTTTATTAAAATAAGCTATAAGAACAATATTTAAACATTTTCAATATTCAATTGAGACTTTGACAGTTTTGATGAAAGTTTATGGCATAGTTGTTTTAAAAAGCAGTGCATTGAAAAAATATACACTGTAGGAAAGGGTAGAGTACCTAAACTAGAGAAGAGTATAATCGGGAGAACGATTTTTCAAAAATAACGATTATTTTGTAACAGTTGTTTTTGCACCTCTATACCAAAAAATTTTTCCAAGCTCTATTAAACTTCTGTCATATGAAACGTTGTTTATGTCAATTTTGACAGTTTTCTTTGGTTAGTTTTATTTCCGAATTTACTAGACCAGTGGAAGAAAAAGGGCTAGTTTTATCCCAAAATTAAGATATAAAATGCTGAGTTGAGCCGTTCTTTTCAAATAAAATAATTTCTGATGAACTGAATAACTGTATAGTTTAACTAGTACAAAGCCTTTATTTAAGAAATAGAAGCAGTATTTTGACAACCAATGTTTGTTTATTAAAAAAGTAGGGTTAAGTAAATATAGATTACACAAATATGACGAGTAAATAGATATAAAAATTAAAGATAAGACAAAGAAACACCGCTATAACTCAAAAACCGGTAAGTAAAACTAATTAACAAACTTTTTAACTTATAACTTGTAAAATATCCAAAATTTAAACGTCATTCTATCGGCCCGGAACTATCGAACGTAATTTTCTAAGTTTCCCAAAACGAAACGAGCTTTACCGATGCAACAAATGCGTTTTCCTTGATTTTTCTAGTTAAAACCGCCGATATGCATCGAAAAACCGACCGCCCGCCAGAAGAAACCGGCAAAAAATACAAAATAATCCTATCGGGCATTGTGATACACGCCCTACTACTGCTAGCAGTCTTCGAAGTTTATTTCTCCAGTCCATTAGAACACGGAATGCAGCCCGTCAAAAGCACTACTAATCCCCCGGCCAAACGATTAATCCTATTCGTAGCCGACGGTTTACGAGCCCAAGCCATGTTCGAAGACCCCAACCTCGATCGAACACCCTTTCTCACTCACATAAAACAAAACAAAGGCAGCTGGGGCGTCAGCCACACTAGAGTACCCACGGAATCGAGGCCGGGCCACGTGGCCATCTTAGCTGGAATCTACGAGGACCCCAGCGCCATTTTGAAAGGCTGGAAATCCAACCCCGTCGACTTCGATTCGATCATCAATCAAAGCGCCAACGCCTTCGCCTGGGGAAGTCCCGATATTTTGAACATTTTCGACACGAACAACTCCTCGTCGGTGCACTTGCACTCGTACGATTCGAGCGTGGAGGATTTCGCCAAGCTCGATACAGGCGAATTGGATTCGTGGGTGTTCGATAGAGCAGAAACATTCCTAAAGCAAACTGTTAGTGAATGTAAAAAAGATTGCGAACAGTATTATGCCAGCGGTAACGTGTATTTCTTGCATTTGCTGGGTATCGATACGGCCGGGCATGGTTACAAACCCCATTCGAGTCAATACGAGGATAACATAAAGCTAGTCGATAGCCGCATCGAAACCATCACTAAATTATTTAATACCGTTTACAACGAGAGCGAAAATGTGTTTGTTTTCACCGCCGATCACGGAATGACAGATTGGGGTTCGCACGGAACGGGAACCGATCACGAAACGCAAACTCCTCTCATAGCATGGGGCGCCGGCGTACGCAGGAATAACACGCGACAGGACGTCAAGCAAATCGATTTGGCCCCTTTATTAGCGTCTCTAATCGGTATAAACATTCCGGTGAACTCTTTGGGCCGGTTACCCGTAGGTTACTTGGCTGTTGACCCGATCGAAATGGTGCTGTCGAACGTAGAAGAATTGCTGAGGATATTCGAGAAGAAATCGAAGAGGATCGAACGAAACGCGTTGGTTTTCGTACCGTTCGGAATCGATATCTTGAGAGTAATGAGGGAGAAAAAGGAAATTGTAATAGAGGAGTTTGATGAGATCGGTCGGTTGATAATCGAAGGAATCGATTACTATCAAAACTATTACAAATATCCCGTATTGGTTAGCGTGAGTTTGGGATTCGTAATGTGGATAGTTTATTTATGTTTGTGTACCTTCGGGCTCCTATCGTACAGTAATAGCGGTAAATCTACTGCTATTTATATATTTGTTACCGCTTTGATTGTAATCGTGTGTTTTAAAACCGATCTACCATTATCGAGTTATTTGTATTTCAATTTTCCTGTTACTGCTTATTACTCGTTTTTGAGTAACGGAGATTTCGGGAAAATCCTCCCCAAATCCCCCGTGATATTCCTCAGAATTATTTTTTATTTACTAGGCATCGAAATACTCGTGTACGGGTTCTTCCACAGGGTTTCGTTCAGCTTCATCATGCTTATACTGGGCGTAGTTCTGTTAAAACACGACGAAATTAATGCGATGGATAAATTTAATTGGTTAATTAGTTGCGGGATTTTATCGATTTTTCCTTGTTTACCCGTTATGAAAACTAATTTTAATCTACTCGTGTACCTTATGGGGTATTTGAGCTACGCTATGATGTTTATTAAATTGCATTTACGCGATTTGAGATTTTACGAGAGCTACAAACACGTTAAATTGCAATATAGCGTGTTGTACGCGCAATTTTTCTTTCTACATTCGGCTGTAATTTACGTTTTATTAATCGAATTCGGTTACATTCCATCGGATTCGAACATCAAGTATTTATCTTGGATTATTTCTATTGTACCAGTATTATTGATACCGTTTACTGATAATTTCGTTATGTTGAGATTAGCGAGTATAGTGTACGGTTTCGCGCCGTTTTACGCGCTAGTTTCCTCCAATTTCGAGCTGTTATTCTCTTCGTTCTACGTTATTTTGCTCTATAATTGGTTGGTAATAGAGTCGAAATGCGCGAATAACTCGCACAAAATGGTGTATTACGGGAAATTCTCGGCGGCGGCGCTGCCGCTCCGCGACCGCCGCTCCACCGCTCTGCGACCGCTCATCAGCCGCTCGCCTATCGCACCTTCACCGGTCGACGGGGAGGCCTTTCGGCGGGGTTTTATGTTCGTGGCGTTGATTTTCGTGGGGTTTTTCGGCACCGGTACTATAGCCAGTTTAAACAGCTTCGATCCCATGTGGACCAGGGCGTTTCTGACGGTATTCTCCCCCTTCAAGATGGCCGGGTTGATTCTGTTGAAGTTCATCGTGCCGTTCGTGTTCGCATGCGGCGTTTTTAGGGGCATTAACGAGGCGGTTAAGGGGCGGATTTTGAATATGTTTTGCGTGATTTTGGTGTTTTCCGATTTGATGGTGTTGCAGTTTTTGTATTTGATCGATAATAAGGGGTCGTGGTTGGATATCGGTACGAGTTTGTCGCATTTCGTGATCGTGGAGGGTTTCACGGTGGTGTTGATGTTGCTTTATGGGGTGGCTGCGTGTCTGACGGGTGTGAGGTATGGTTTAAGAAGGAGGGTTTGGGGTGATTGAGCGGGTTTTTTGATGGTTTTAAAAGGAATTGATGAGATTTTTTTGTTGATTGTTAGTGAAGTTAGGGGTGTTTTTGATTATGTGTAGGGTTATTAAGGGAATTATAATGATTTAAAGCAAATTGAGGGATGTTTATTAGCCATTTTTTGGGAAATGTAGTGGATTTTTATGTGATTATTAAAGATAATTAGTACTTATACAGGGTGTATCTAAATAACACCGAAAAAAATAGGAGTGATTCTGTGATGACAATTAAGGTGGGTACTGGGTATAAAATTTATTGAAAAAACCCACCCCGGAAAAGTTATACCCCTCCGAAGATTGCAAAAAAGGGTTTTCTTCTTTATTTTCCCTGTATATTAAATTAAACATACAAAACTTGGGGAATATTTATTTGTCAATGAAACTACACTTTTTGAAATTTTTTCAACCCTGTATGCTTACCAAGTATGCTTAGAAGAGGTTGAAATAGTCGGCCCCCATAACATTTTTTATATTTTTTTTATAACCCACCTTAATTTTCATCGCAGAATCACTTCTAAAATTTTTTCGGTGTTATTTAGATACACCCTGTATATCTGATTTTTAGGAATTTTGAGGCGATTTTTTATGGTTTTTTTATTTATGTATTTAGGAATTGACTAATTGGTCATTATTTATGAATATTTTAAGAAAATAAATTTGATACATTCCAGTGACCGTTAGAAATTTCGATTTTGAGAAAAAAAACCTACATAAATAGGTACCAAAAATTAATTAAAAGTCGCATTTATTTTTCTATTATTATTAAATTTTTTAGAGCATTTAAATTGCCAAAAATAAGAAAGTTCTTCCATTATTTAATTAATTAACATTTGCTTCCCATGACAATTTCCTTTTTGCTTATCAAAATACGTAAAATCTTCCTCGAACCAATAATATTGAAATCGATTAAAAATGGTCAAAAATCGATCAAAACTTATTTCTTTTTGTATATTAGTGTAGTTATAATGTAGTCAAATTAGTCAAAAATACGAGTAGATAGGTATTAAAAAATTTATTAGTCAATTTTGCTTTACTTTTAACAAAGACTTTATATTAGTACAAATTGTTTTGTAAAAATTGTTTAACAATATCGATACTCAATAAAACGCACATAATTATCAAAAATTATAAATTTTCCCGCACTCTTATTAGCGCAATTAAATTTTCAAAATAATTAAAAAAAAGAAAACGCCAATATTATCTGCACTATCGAAAATTTCTGTTATACAGTTAAATTTTATTTAAACTTTCTTTTTATAGCTATTTTCTCCGTAACAAAATCTACCACTTCCAATCCCACTTCTTCTCCTCGATCTCTTCCTTCTCCTTTTTCACCGGCACTCCCACGAATTCCTCCACCGGCACCGGTACCTTCTTGAAAACTATGTACGGTACCCGTTTGATTACTTCGTAAGGTACGGGCCGTTCTATCTTCACTTGCACCGGATAGGGAACCTTCTTCTCCACCGGTATTTTAACGATTTTCTCAACCGGGTACGGCTGCGGTACCAGCACCTTCACCGGCACCTGTACTTCTTTCTCCACTTTAACGGGAACCGGCCGTTCGACGAACACTTTGACCGGATACGGTTTGGGCACCTCCACGGGTACCGGTACTTTCTTTACCACCGGCACCGGATAGGGGTGTTCGACGGGTACCGGTACGGGCCGATCGACCAGCACTTTGACCGGTACCGGCGTGATTTTGTGCACCGGATAGGGTTTCGGCACGCGAACGGGAACCTTCACCGGTACGGGAACTTTTTTAACGACCGGGTACGGCTGGGGTACTTTGACAAGAAACGGTACTTTGACGGTTTTGTATACGGGATACGGTACCGGATGTTTGACTTCTACAGGATAAGGAGCGTCTACTTTCACCTCGACGGGTACTTTGACTATTTTTTCCACCGGTACCGGTTTGTGGATTAGAATCGGTACTTTTTTTTGAACGTGCACCGGGTAGGGAATCTCTTTTTCCACCGGGTATGGTTGCGGTACGCCCACGTACACTGGATACGGTACCGTTTTCAACTCCGGTACTCCCACGTGTTTTTCGATCGGTACTGGTACTTTAGTTTCCTTGTAGATCGTCGTGATGATGGATTTGTAGTCGGGAATGTCGAGCCATTCGTTGGAGCTGTCCCCGTAATCCGTTGAGCCTAGTTTAGGGTTCGTAAACCAAGGGTCTTGGCCTAAACTTAGGCTCAAACCATCGGCTGGATATTCGGATTGGGTGTGATATTCTCCTGTTAGCAGAGCGATGCTTCTTTTTTGAGTATTTGAGGCCTTTTTGGTCGGCAGTTTCTTTTTATTTGGCGCATTATCGGCCAGTGTAAGGCACAGTAGACCTAGGAAAAGTAACTGGAAAATCGAAAATATTAATGTTATTGTCAGATTTACCTGAAGCTCTAGTCATAATGATATTTTCGTGATGAATGTAAGACATAAATGTAGTTTAAATGTATGTTTTAAAAACCCTAAAAGATCATGTTCATGAATTATTAATTGTTCTGTGGTAAATAAAAAATAAGTATTTATTGTTGTATTTTCATTAGTTTTTTTTCAATAAATAATCGAATAGAGCAAAAGAAATAAAGAAATTTGAACAAAAACTCGGATTAATTAAAAAAATAGAAGATTTTCAGTAAGTTTTGATTTTGGTAAATTGTAGAGAATTGATATGATTGATTTATGTTTTACTTTATTAATAAATTGATAAAATTTGTTTAATTTTTTAAAAATCAGATCTATTATGAAATAACAATTCACTGTAAATTACTTGAAAAATCTTCAATAATCTTTTTTTTAATAAATTTTTTACTATACATGTACTGAGTTATCCTATCTTAATTAAAATTTTATTTTACAACGAAAATACCTATTTTAATATTAATGAATTAATTAAAATAATTTACAAGAAAATATTTAATATTACAAATTAAAAAAAGTAGGAATGACTGAGAAATGATTAAAACTTCAATTGAATTTGAGCGAATAAAAATCAAATATTCAATTAAATAAGAAGGAATTTAATTGATACTTACGATAATTTTCATCTTTCACTCACATCACCGAAACTTCGTGGAGTTTGTGCAATAGAAAGAACAGAAATCGAGCGTATAAAATTTTATATATATGTATATATGTCAATCCTACCACACGAGTTTTAACGTAAAATCAGAAATAGCAATATAAAATTTAAATATCTAGGATACGATAATTGCGAATCGAATGTACGATATTAATATATTAATACTTATATATCTCATATGAAACAGGTGCAATTAATTCTACTTTCATGCCTTCTAATTGTCGGTAAAAAAGAAAATTTATTATTTAGTATTCTAAGAGAATTTAGTCTTGTTATGAGAAGAAATCGAAATTATTCAAAAATTGAGGAATTCTTCGAAATTTGCCAAGAATCAAAAAACTTTTAAGTAGGATTTATTTACAAAATGAGATATTATGGGTGAATCCATCTTAATTAATTATTAATTTATAATCAAAACGATTTACTATTATTATGATTAAAAAACCTTATAACTAAGACTAAATCAAAAACCTAAAATATTTTTCGAAATTGTTAAAAAAAAATAATTATTAAGAAACGATTTCTCTACAAAGAGAAAGATTCTTAATATCTTAATATCGTTTTAATTTCTTATTTTATTCATAAAATAAAATAATTTTATATTTCAAATTTTTAGCTATTTAAAGATATAATAATTGCTATTATTAGTACCCAATAGGGAAAAATACGAAAACTGAATCGGTACGACAAATTATCAAAATCAATAAATCTTTCATGTCGATTTTTAATAATTAAGTCAGCCGTAAAAGTTACATAATCATTCTAAATACATTTTCATTAAATGGAATTATGGAAATAGAAAGGCGTGTTAACTAGAGAATTCAAATTAGCAACAATTTAAACGACATATTTTTTTCTCTCTGTTATTAATAGTATAGAAAAAGTTCTATTTTTGTTATACTTAATCAATTATTATTTATTTTATTTATATTTGTAATTTTTCTGTAAAGCTCGTTTCGATCGTATATTTGATCGAAAAATAAAAATTACGTTTCATTTTTTACAAACACATATGTAACACATGTAATTTTATTAATCTTATAAAAATCTATTATTAACATCTTCTGTTCCAATGTGCTTGTAATAAAACCAAATCGACTACAGAAATCAATCAGTAATGATCCGTAAACGGGAGTTCCGTATCTAATCTTATTTTATTTTGTTATTGTAAGAGATAAGAAAAATGAAAAATTGGTGAATAGGTGAATAAAATGTGATCTATAACTCTTATAAACCCAAACAGTTTATTATTTTTTACTATGAAAAAATTACATAACTTGTAATATGTAATGTAAACACACTGGTGCATTAATAAAGTGATATTGCATCACTCAGGTGATATACATTGATAAGATGAACATACATTACTCAAGGACATCAACCACTCGAAGTTTTTGAATTTGGCCAAGACATTTGATTCTACTAGGAGATTTTAAACGCTTGTTCCAGACATGAGAATCGCTATTATAGGAGCAGGAGCAGCCGGCCTGGCGGCCCTCAGGCATTCCCTTCAGGAGCAACATTCCTGCGAAGTGTTCGAGCAAACTGGTTCCATAGGAGGCACCTGGAACTACACCGATGAGATCGGAACTGATCATTTCGGTTTACCCGTCCACTCGTCCATGTACCAAGGGTTAAGGTAGGTGGGTTATAATAAACTCTTGTAAGGTTATTAGTTGTTAGCAGTAGATTAAATGGATTATTTTTAAATATACCTACAGGTTTAATCACTGTACTAATCACCTCTCAGCTTTACTTTATATTAAAATTTCAAGTATTGTATATTTGAATCTAAAACTAACTTGCATTTAGAAATTAGTTTCGATTAAATATACATAAGTTTATGGTCAAAGTTGTGTTTTTTATTGGGTTGCCCTGTATTTGTTTTGCATTTTTGGAATATATCCTACATGAGCTGGTTTTCAATAAGGTCTTTTACTAAGTTCGTGTTTTGAAATATGTATTCTATATATAGGATGTTCCGAAACAAAATTATTAATCATTGTACGTTTTTACATGGGGCATTTTATGTTGAAATTTCATCATCTATGAACTGATTTTATAAAATGTGAAACTACTACTAATCAGTAAGCAATCACACAATAACTCTGTCCCAAAGTCCCAAACCATTTGGAAATGTCCAAAGTCGTTTGGAACTGTCCAGAACCGATTGAAAGTGTCCAGAGCAATTTGGAGGAGTCTAAAGCCAGACTATTTAACGCCATTTTTTATAATATAGCCATTATATTATATTTAACAATCGAGTTACTAACATTTAACGAAATAGTTTGAACTGGTAAAATACATTTCTATTTCTATATTGTTGCTACAGTCCCGAATGTGGCAACACCACATTGATTGTTCTTGTTTCTTGACATCAAAATGTAACCATCCATTCCCCATTCGATTCCGTATGAATTTTTAACAATCCAGTAATCTTTTCCGTTTTCACTGCCATATCCAACAACCAAAACACCATGATGCAATGAGTCATTATTATTTTGACATAAATCGTCATCAAATAATCCTGTTAAAATTGCAAATCATCTTATTAATATCGTTCGAGAAAGTGTAAGAAATAAGTATTTAAATAAGTATTTCTCCAGTATTTACCTGATTTATACAATTGGAACATCCAAGTTGAATCAATTCCAATGGATACAGGTCCAAGCAATGCGACTTTTTCTTTTAGATCTTCTTCATCACCTTCTGCTACTCTTATGAATGATGTAATTTTTACAGCTACTTTAGATTGGTTAAATTTACACACGCCATTTGCAGCTACATAAGGATAATCCTTTTCGGTCATAATTCCGTTTTCTTCAATGTATTTATATGCGTTCATCGGTAATCCTCCTAAACATCCATGATCTAGTTTGTCACAATCTACCAAATTTTGTTCGCTTAGAGAAACCAATTTGCCAGTTTTTCTAAAATTTGCTCCTTCAACTGTTCCAGTCTGTTAAAAATCAATTTAATATTAAATAATATTTAATGTTTGTATTATTAAAACTACTTACAGTACTGAAGCTCCAACATGATCCGCAGTGCATTTGATTTTTGACCTCTGATACAGCCCCCTTTTTTCTCCAGTCAATTTATTCGGGGAGTTCGCCTTCGTAATCCAATTTAGTACGGGTGATTTCTTGATCTTCCATCCGTTCAATCTTAGATAATTTCATCATATCTGTGAATTCTTGAGGTGTAAGATCAGCAAATGGAGTAACTCCCATTCTGTATGATGAAAGGCCTTGCTCTTCTTTTGCATTATGTGCTTCGATTCTGCGTAAGTTCGATTGAAAAATCGAAAATCGTTTCGTTTCTTCTAAAGCGGTTTTGTACGCTTTTTTGTTCGTAGACTAAATAAATTAAGTTATACTTTATTACCGCTCAAAAAAATCCTCTTTAAATTGCTTACTTTGAAATTGACCCATTCCTCCTTATCGGTAAGTGCATAAGCAACGAGCACGTTTGCCAAAAGTAATGTGATTATCAGTTTCATCTAGAAATTTTATTAATTTATGGATAAGTAGTCGATTAAAAGTGATAAAAATAGTTGTAGAAGTACTTACGTTGCAGTTGAGACTATGCATGAATTTCCGAAGTGAGCCTTTTTATATTCAATCAATTTATTTTTTTTTAGAAAATTTTATCTTTTTTAATAATTTTGTAAAATAATTGTATCTTTAAATCTAGAGGACCTATTTTGTTATCCTTAAATTTTTGAAATTATTTATTTTTATCAGGTTTAGGTAATTTACAAATGATTATTTGCATAATTGATTATTTTTTGTCTGTAATTGTTTTCAAAAAATATTGTCTGATAATAAAACTGTTTTCTAAATGTGTCTGAACGAATTAGAACTGTCTAGAGCAATTTAGAATTGTCCAAAATCATTTATCATTGCTTCAAGACGAATCAGAATTGTCGAGAACCGTTTAGAACTCTCGAGAATCATTTAAAACTCTCCAGGTTCGAGTTTTGGAATTGCCTTTAAGACTATCTGAACTATCGAGATCTAGATTGAAAAACTGGCAATTTTTAGCTTCTACAACACGAAAGTACGCCTTTCGATGCTGGAAGGAAATAGACACTTATCCAACTTTTTGTACAAATACTGATTCACCTTGCTTTTGGATTTGTTTTCTTCATTATTAAGAAACTAAACTTTACCGTTACTTCAAAATGGTACGTGTTAAAAATTAAAGTAGGTACATAATAGTTTTCAACAGATCCAAATTGATGTCAGCTCATCGAGGTATCAAAAAAAATGCAAAAATTACAGGGTGTAATGGATGGTATTTGTTGCAGAACGAACCTTCCCAAGGAATTGATGCAATTTGAAGACTTTCCATTTCGGTCGCCCGAACGGTCGTACGTCGGGCAATCTGACGTTCTCAGATACATCAAAGATTATGCCGAGCAGTTTCGATTGATGTCCTACATAAAAGTTCGTTTAAGATTTACATTTGAGATCAGATAATGGAAGATCCGAACTCCCGAAATCCCAAAATCCCAAAGAAATTTCTAATGTTTTCAAAGCAAGTCCTAAACAGTTAAAGAAGTCAAAGATTTATTCATGAACACTAAAAAAGATCTATAAATTCCAAAGTGCCAAGAATCCAAACATCTTATTCCACCAAAAGAACGATCCAGAGAAATAAGCTTTAAGAGCTTAAAGTTCAAGAAAAGGCCCTATAACTTTATTATCCAAAGAGATATAAAGGTCCTACAAAAAAGATACACAAACCGGTGACACAAGAATGACACAAGAACTGAAAAAATAATAATTCAAAAATTCATACATAAACACAGACATTCATAAACAGTACCAAAAACTAATACCCAAAGATAGACTCAAAAAGTGTAGAAAAGAACGTTAAATCCCAAGATCCAAGGACTCAAATAAACATTTAAACTCTAGAAGCCCCAAAGAAGATTCAATCACCCATAAAACACCCGAAAACCCCAAAAAATAAATCCTGTAATTCCGCTATTACTTCATTCTTTATATTCTCTCTACTTTAAATATTGTCATACACTTTTTTTCATTTAGTTTTTTACAACTGTCGTGCGAGTGTCTCCATTGGAACATGGCCGTTGGTCCTTGGATGTAAAAGACCTAAAACTAGGATCTATAGAAACGAAGACGTTCGACGCCGTTTTCGTCTGCGTGGGGAACTACAAGACGCCCTTTTTACCAGCCTTTAAAGGCGTCGAGACGTTCAGAGGTGCCACCATACACAGTCATTCCTTCAGGAAAACGGCACCCTTTGCTGATAAAAGGGTGCTGATCGTGGGGTCAGGTCCTTCGGGATTGGACATAGCCAGGTTAATTAATACAGTAGCTAAAAAAGTAAGTAATTTGGAATATTTATGTCTATAGAATTGGCGATACTGAAGAGTTAACTACTTTTCTTGACACGTGCTCTAACAGGTGATTCTGTCTCACCGGAGTCCTTGGAATCCTTTGAATGTTCTACCTGAAGAAATCCTGAAGAAGCCGGAAATTCGAGAGTTCAAGGAGCATTCAGTGGTGTTTAACGATGGTACAGAAGAAGACATTGATAATGTCGTATTTTGCACAGGTAAATGATCGTATTAATTATTGCACTTATTAACTTCTTTTTCTTCACTTGCTCTAAATAGTTGTTTTGAACTTCATCGAAACCATTCTCTCAAATTTTTTAACTATCAAATTTGTCTTTTCCCATACTTACTTCTTTTTCCTTTTATTTTCTCTTACATTATTATTATTATTAATCGTAGGTAAGATACAGAAGGGACTCTTACAAAAAGGGATTAGTTAAGGGATTATAGATAGACCATTACTGTGTGCCGTGTTTAATCCTGTAGGTACATTTTAAACGATTTTTATTATTTTAGGTTATTTATATTCATTTCCGTTTCTCTCGGATGAGTGTAAAATTCAAGTGGAGGATAAATGGGTGAAGTATTTGTACAAACAAATAATCAATATCAATCACCCTACGATGGCGTTTATTGGGATTCCATATCAAATATTTCCATTCGTAATTTTTGGTATTCAGGTTAGTTATACTACAAAAAATGTTCTCTCTACTTTTATGTAAAACATTTTCTCTCTACTTTCATAAACATTTTCTCTCTACTTTTGTGCACAACTTTTCTCTACTTTCATGAACATTTTCTCTCTACTTTTAAGATCAACATTTTCTCTCTACTTTAATGCACAAAATTTTCTCAAAGAATTTTATACCAAGTAGGTAGTACCCACCTTAATTTTCACCACAGAATTACCCCTTAATTTTTCTTCGGTATTATTTAGATACATGGGACACGGTGCATTCTTCGTAATTATTTTTACAGGTGCGGTTTTTCTTGGCCTACCTTTCAGGCAAGTTTACAGCATCTAAAAATGACATGATGGGCGATTTGACAATTTACATGAACCAACGCAGAGACCGGGGAATACCGGATAGCAAAGCGCACATGTTGAGTCTGGATCAAGGTGACTACATGGACGATTTGGCGGCTACTGCGAATATTCAAAAAGTGCCTCACGTATTTATTAAAATGTACAAATACGTCCATTCCGATGGCAAAGGAAAAATGGATTTATCCTATCGAATAGTTGACGAAAACGAGTTTGAAATTTTGAAAAATAGCAAAATTGACAATTATTTGCGTGTAGAAAATACTCCATGAAAATTTACCCTATCTAAAGTGATATAAACAAAAGTTATATTTGTAACGTTTATAAATTGTTAATACCAAATGTGTAATATTTATCATGTGTTATGTTTTTATGAAAATTTATTAATAAACTAGTTTAATATGTTAGTATATTAAATTTATTGTACGCATTACGAAAAAATATTTCTCTCTACTTTTATAAACAGCCTCTTACTTTTATGCACAACATTTTCTTTCTACTCCCTTCTCTCTACTATCTCTAACTCCCGAAGTTATCCAGATAAAATTCGAATCACACTGTAGAATTATACAATCATAGACAAAATAAAAGAGACTGTTTAAAGCATAGGAAATATCAGACCACGTACTGCAATAATAACCATAATAGTAATATCTTTTCTTCTTGGAAGTTTTTAAATTAAGGGATGCAAATTCTAGTTCGCCTCCTCGTGGTGCATCCTGGGTAACGCTAAAGGGCTAGTAACAAAGTTTTTACTATATTTTACATTATTATATTATTGTATTGTATATTAATTTTATGTTTGTTTTTGTTGTTATTTATTTAAATTTTCTATTTATCATTTAATTCCAATGGTTACCATAATTCTATTTTATATAATTTATATTAATAGTTTGTCTTTATATCAATATATTTTATTTCATTAGTTAAGGATGTACTAATTGTATTGTGCATAATTTTTAATAAAATTTTACATGAAACACTTCTAATGTTATTATTTAATTGTATTTTAAATATTGCAATTTGTTAATTGTGTATGCATTTGATAGCCGTTTCTCAGAAACGGCTATTAAATGACTACACAATTGTCAAATGTAAGAAAATCGAGTAGAATTGCAAAAATTAATTTTAAATTTGCCGCCAATTTTTGTTTTTAAATATAGAAGGAATCTACGCTTAGTTCGCGAAAAATGTTGCTATCCGATGAGAGGCAGCACCGTCAACGTTATGCCAATTTTTAGTAAAGGATCGAACTCTCTCATCTTTCTTTCTCTATGTATACAATATTACATTTTTGGAAAGTTAAATTTATTTTTTAAGAAAAAACGGTGTTCCAATTAAAAAGTTTTATATTCCACGACAGAACGGAACTCTCTATAAATGCAACTAATTTTAAAATATGCATCATAAAAATATCTTCAACTTTTGAAGATTTTTTGATATCATCTACAGTAAAAACTAGATAAATTTTATATTGAGCTTTTCCATATTATAATATCATCCTGTACATACTCCAACGAAGGTTTCTATGCTATGGTTGCTGGTAAAAATTGCAATTTGTTTATTTAATTATATAATTTCTAAGCGTACATAAAAGATTATTATGAAAATTAACTGATATTTCACGGATGGCATCAGTTTTGATTGATTTGTGATTTGTTTCCAACACCATACAATATAATTCTATAGAATTTTGTTATTTTTTCAACGAATTGCGTAATTGTTACGTTTATCGGTACATCCCTCCTTTTATTTTTCGCATATAAAAGACGAATGTTTAGTTCAATTCCGAAAACAAGTTTGTTTAATATTCATTTTATAATTTCTAAATCAAGCTGTATGAGATAACATTAGTAAAATGGACAAATCAAAAGTTCTTTTCCTGGCGTCAATAGCTTTTTCTTATGTTGTAAGTGACAAATTATTTGTTTTTAATATTTTATTTTAAGTATATTTTTTTATATGAATTAGTGGGCAAAAATATGTCCTATATTTTTGTGAAGCTAGTACTGAATGATATTTTTTTTAAATTTGAAGATGTTTTTTTTGAAAAAAAAATAGTACAATTTTTTAGCTTCATTATAGTGCTTTGTTTTAATAATTATTGATTATTTAACTAGCGTTGCAATGTATTTTATTTTAAGGTAGTATTGTACAATTTCAAAAAAATATTCCACTACATTTACAAATTGTATCATTACCATCATATATAATTTGAAAATAAAACATAAAAATAAGTTTTAAGTTTTCAACTTTAAAGGCCTGCAGCTCAAAAATGGGGGCTATAATGAACAAAATTTTATAAAGTTATAACCTAATTTCAATTTTATCTATACGCTCCCGAATTATTGACTTTTATTTTCTAAACACCCTGTATTTCCTTTTATTAGTAAGCGTTCATTGGCGATTTATTTTCCGTTAGATAGCCGAGGACCCCAAAAAGCTCTTCAAGGACGCCGTGGACAATTGTTCAAAGACCCAAGAACCGATACTAGACCATTCGATAATAGACGCCGCCATTAAACAAGCCAATTTAAACGCCATCTACGCCAAAAGCGTATTGTGCGTGTACCAATCCCTGGGCGTCATGGACGACAAAGGCTCTGTGAAGATTGATCAGGTGCAAAAGTTCCTCGGAAATCTCATAGACGACGCCGATAGGATCGAGGAGATAGCCGAGCTCTGTTCTAAAGAGAAGAACACTCCCGAACAAACCGCCATTGAATTGTTCAATTGCATTGCCCGAAGCGTTAAAGAATAAAACTTTGTTCTGCTGGATACTTGATCTTCAAATGAAGTGTACATTCTCAGCTATTTCAGTCGGTCTGTAGCTATTTAAATGGTTTTTTTGTTTGTAGAGTTGATGTAGATTTTAAATAGAATATTCAATTTTATTGAATCTCTTGTATTTTTTTTTTGGTTAATAATATTGGAGTGACAATATTCCAGTTACTCCAACTTCGTTAAATTCTTCTTCACGGTGTTCTGATAGAATTAGGTCTATTTGGTAAATTATACAGAATTATTAAATGTTGCCATTAGATCTGGATCAATTGATCACTTTTTTTCTTTTCGATGACTTACGTCCAATTCTTCGGTTATTAAAAAAATAATTAGCTTCATCACGTTCTAAACATAGCAAGTTTTGTCCTCGTGGAAAATAAATCAGTAATTTTCTGATCCATAAAGAGAACTTTCATCTAAAACTCTAATGAAAAAATGAAATCGATCAGACTGCTTTTTTCTTATGAAATTAATAGTATGCTACTGTACTTACGAATTTATTCTACTTCATTATTCCACTTTAACTATTTGTGTCCAATTTTGTAGTATTATATTAAACATAATCTGTTATTAAAATTGTTAAAAATCTAATACAACTAGATCCTCACTTAATCATTTAATCGCTTATTTCGTGACCCTCTGCAATAATATTTATTAATATGTACAAATTTTGGAATGAGGATACCGCCTAATAGTTTTATTTTGTTCGCTACGTGCAGCCCGTTGTTTACTTGTTTAAATTCATAAAATTACTCCAATCTTTAGTCATTATCAAATTGTATAATAAGAGGAATCTCCGGTGCATCAAACTGGAATCGGTGAGCCCGAACCTCTTTTTGTTTACTTTGTGAATCATATAAGTATTAGCCGGCGCGGTTTGCCGTTTATTCAATCTTCGAATCGAAACCAAGAAGTAACCGTCTTAAGTTGTTAGTATAAATTTGATTAATATCATCATGAATTCTACGGTAGTGTTTTTGGTGCTGGCAGTCTCTACCATTTTGGTAAGGAAAAATTGTATATCTGTTTTTAAAATAATTCCTAATTTAAAAAAGATTAATTTAGAGAATTATTAGAGATGCAGCAAAAGGAATAAGGTTGCACAATATTGTATGGGCATTAAACGGGTGCAAACAGACTTTAAAATATTCCATTTTGTCTTCCAATTATTTATATCAAGTGAATTTTCAATTTGTAGTTTTACTTTAAATGGCATCTTTTTCTTTTGATAATAAAGATTTTGTTTATAAAATATAATATCTTTGATATTTTGATTCTGTAATCAAATATTTAAATGTGTGGTGAATGGTTGAATATTTTTCTATTTCTTTAATCATCAGAAAAGCTGCAAAAACATTTCAATTAAAGGAATTGGCAAAAGGACAAGATATTATAAAATTTGGCGCAAATGCACTGCAAAAAAATGAACAAAATGATATTGTATTGCCAGGTGTCTAAACTAAACCTAAATTAGGAATTCAGGATTATTTCTACAATATTCTGATTTTAGCCACAGGCCAGTTACCTGCAAAAGTTTTTGTAAAATTTAGTTATCAATACCACCAGATTTCCCTCTACAAGATGCTAGAATATAACAGTAATTTGGGTCAATTTCAGAATTTTCACTACAATCCAAACTTAAAATACCTCTGCAATAACATTTAACAGATTCCAGATATCAAGATATGGTCTTTATCCAGAGAAATAACCATCCCATAATCTAGAACTTGCCCATACATACACTTTTTAATTGCTTCATTATTCACCAAACAGCACCAGATGTAGCACCAAAAACTACTTGTTGCTACTTCTTGAATTTAAGCTAGCATCAATCGATAAATTCACCGTCAAATAACAAAATTCCAGGTCTACGGCGCGGAAAACCGCACGGAGAACAAAAAATTCCAAGAGGCGAGACTCAAGTGCCAAGAGGATCCGGCGACCAGATTGGACGAGGAAGCGCTTAAGAAATCCTTGAAAGGGGACATCAACAGAACGAAGTTCGGTCCTCACGCCCTTTGCATCTACCAATACCTCGGCGTCCTGGACAAGAATTTTAACGTGAACAAGGTGGAATTGAGGAAACAGCTGGCTTACACCGTGACCGACAGCTTAAAATTGGACGCGGCCGTCGCCGAATGCGCTGTTACCAAGAAAACGCCCAAGGAAACGGCTGTGGAAATATTCTTGTGTACTAGAAAAGTGTTGCCTCCTTATGTAGCTTGATTGGTAAAATTTTTGTTTCATATAGTTTATGTAGTAATATACCTAATGTAATATGATCTGCGTGTTTTATACTTTACGAAGACCTAGTTTTAAAACGTGTTTTCCCACTTTTTCATGATTTTCCACGTTTTTTCCTACTTTTCCATGTTTTCCATATTTTTACATGTTTATTCCATGTTTTTCTACTTTTTTTCTATGTTTTTCCATCCAGTTTTTTCCATTCCATTTTTTCTGCATTTTACAGTTTTTAAAGCCCTTCCATTTTTTCCATATTTTTCCAATTTTTTCATTCCTTCCATGCTTTTTAACAATTAAGTTTAGAACTAGGAAAGTTTAAAAACGTTGAAATTAATTTGATAATCTGCTGCCATTGGTATCCATCCATAAATTTTAAATATTTGGAATTTTTACAGATTCCAATTTTTATACAATTCCAATTAACCCTTTGCACTATAAACCTAACATAGGCTTCTAATAAATATTTATTAGTTTTTGGGTAATTCTTCATAAAGAATTGTACAATAAAAAATAGAGTTTACTTTATACATTTTTAACATCAACTGTACTCGTTGTTGATGTAAAACTCGGTGCTAATCAAATCATAAATATTTCAGAACATGTTCCAACGTTATTGGTGTAGCATTGATCGTCGGAGTTTTCTTTTTTTGGATCAAACTTTTGTTTCCTAAAGATAATAAATTCTTTAAATAGTAGCTACAATTTCAATTTCGCTGGCAACTTCGTAAACTGCGCCATTTAGGAATACTTAGTATCATTTTACATTTTAGATACCCCTGTTCAGTTTAAAAAGCGATTTGCAAAGTATTAAAAGTTTCGATTACGTCAAATGGAAGAAAAAACGTACTTTTTCCCAATAGCCAGGTTTTTTATGGAAATAACAACGATATGGCAGCCTAATAAAATGACCGAAACCTCACGTAAAGTGTACACGGCATTAGCCTATTTATTTAAGGGAAATTATTGCATCTTCATCGCTTCGTACTTTATCGGTTTAATTACCACAGATTCGGAGGAAGATCGCGAAAGTAATTTGCAATATCTTCCCACTGTGATCGCCATTGCAGTAAGGATGTGGTTTCTTCATACCAAAGAAATTAAAGCAATTTTTTCAGGTACGTACTTACGAAATATACTCGTACATATATACAGAGTGTTATAGACACAAGATATAGGACTCACCCTGTAAAATATCTCCGTCATAACGTACCTTGAACACCACGGTTACGGTTTTAAAATTTTAGGCATTTACCGCCTCGAAAGAAAACTGGCTTCAGAAGAAAACAAAAATTTGAGAAACCTATTCTTCGACGAAGTGAAATACAACAAAAATTTAACAAAACTACTCATTGCTCTAAACAGTTTTACCAATATACAGATGTTTATTTTATCGATATATCTATGCATGAAATTGAAGATGATCATTATGGCCGTCGCTTGGTATCCATTCGATAAACACCAATACATATACCTAGTAGCTTTGCACCAGATTTTCAGCACGACCTACGCCACTGTGGTTTACCTAGGATTAGATATCACCATCGTGCCTCTAATTTTATTTGCCACCACTAGATTAAAGTTGCTGTGCTACAAGTTTAGGCATTTCGAACAAATGACGAAAAATTCCGGTTTGTCCCGCAGGGAGTATTTAAGGTCGTTGGTCGAGGAACATCATGATATCATAAGGTTTGTTATATTCTATTCGTTCATATAGTATTTATACAGGGTGTATCGAAAGGGTGGATCAAAAATTAAGTCGAGTTTACATACACCTAGTGACAAAAAAGTACCTGGATAATTGGAATAAAACGCAAAATTCCTAATCTTCATTAATATTTCTTGAGTGTTCTTCAAAATATGCTTCTTTTGAGGCGATACACATAGTCAGACGCCTTTTTCCAATCATCGAAACATTTTTTATTGGACCTTATTGGTAAGGCTTTTAGCTCCTTCTGCGAATTTTCTTTGATGGCATTTATGGAGTCAAAACCCTACTTCCGACTGTCTCTAAAAGTTTTGTACCATTCGTAAAATGGGTTATCGATAAAACAGAGTCACCTTAAGCATTTGCATCGATTCGTCCCACGAAATTCATTTCAGAACCCTAAATATGAGACAAACTCTTTGTTCATTATTTTTGTCCATTTGAAAAATTCGCAGAGCATTACTGACATGAACTGATTCAATCAGCTGCTACAACCAAACCGAATGAGATATTTCTCTAATATTTCGCATGCTAATGAAGAACAGTGTTAAGTACATACAGAAACTGGAAGTAGTTAAAAATATTAAGTGCAGGTAATTTAAATCAAAATTTCCGGGAACTTTTTTGTCACAATGTAAACATTTTTTTTTTATTTATAATTTATAATTTTGTAATAGTAGGTTCATTTGCCAGAAATTGTTTAACGTTTGTAGTTACGTCGTTTCCGTCAATTATTCTTTGCGATGGTGTTTCATCATCGACTTCATAATGAAATCTTACTCGTTTACGCAATATCTTTATTCAGTATTAAAAGTATGTATACTAATTTTATCCAATTTTTCACAAATTTAATACACTACTCTCTCTAACTACCTACAGGCACTAAATCGACACTTCTTACTTTTAATTCCACTAGTAGTAATTAATCTATTTAATGGTGTATTCAGATAAGTGCAAATTGTCTATACATAAGTGCAACAAAAACAACATCCATTAGTCTCGTACAAAGGAAAAAGAAGGAATGATATGTAAGATTGCAACTTTCTCAATCTAACCACTGTTATTTTAATAATCTCTCTTTGTTCAGCTCGTAGAAATGACCCTGTTGCAAACATATTTGCACGTATCTATATAGCTACGTATACAACTCTTGTATGACTACTCTAGTACAAGTACATGTATTTTTCATTTTCATATTTTATAGTCATTCAATGAAGATCGTTCTCGATTGGTTCTTGCTCTGCTGGTGTTCTTGTTGGTCTCATTTGAAACTTGGTACATCAGTTATCACGGGAACGAATTGATTCTAGCTGTAAGTGATAAGGGTTTAATTGGTTCTGATTGAAATATCGTCGGTGTTTTAGAGCCAAGAATTGTCCAAATGCATTTTCGCTAATAATTGGTACGAATTGGACGTTGGCATGCAAAAGGATCTTCTAAAGATTATTGTTCGGTCTCAACGACCGTTGAGTATCGTCGTCCAACATTTGTATAATATTGACAATAAGTTGTTTTTAAAAGTATGTGTGATTTATTTTAACTGCGTTAATTGATTAATTAATAGAATTTTTAATGTTGTTTGCAGATTATGAAAGCTGGATACACGTTTCTGTTATTCTACAACGTATAATAATCGCACACGTCACATACTAAAGGAATTTTATTTGTAGAATATCTCTTACATGTAATTAGTAGATAATATAGAATTTGAAGCATTATGTATTCGTTTTTTATGTTTATAATATTTTTTATAGAAAGTATTTTAAGTCCAGCGAGGCAAGAGACGAGAAGTGACCGCTTGGGAATAGGTACTGCGTGTCATTGCCTCCTTTTTTTTTAATTTATATGTAATTTATTATAATAATTTAGATTTAATTTATTGACTGTAAAGTGTTATATGTGTTCACCAAATTGTATTTGGCGTAGAAGGCCATTGTTTTACAGAGCGCGACGTTTAATCAGTTTTTTTTACGATATCCTAAAGAAGTCGAATTTTTCAAAAAAGTTGTATAATCTCTTTGAATGGGATGGTTCGATTTGCTGATGACTGGGGATAATAATAAGATTTTAACGCCTTTAGCAGGCTATAGATAGTCAATTTTATATACGGTTTCAAAAAGGTGAGTCACTAATTTTTGAAGAAAGTACATACAGTTGGTGCAAAACAAAAAGCAATGCACGTTACTACTGTCATCATACTTGCCAAGCATTGTTCTTAACTAAAAATAATTATACAATATAGATAAAGCTTAATACCTGCTGAATTTAATTTAATATTAACAAGGGATGATAGAAAATATATATTGTCCAAATTCAACTTTTGTACTTTTAATTTTCACTTTCTTCTTCTTTTTTCTAGTTAACTACCCTCAACTACTAAAGGCTATTCAGTCGAATAATCAATAAATAAGAATTTTTTGCGTAATTGTCTTTGCCACATGTTAGAAATGAAGCAATTTGAGCTCTATAAATAATTCAGATTCAGAAGTTTTCTCAGAAATTTTAATATGTACCCTTTTAAGGGTCAATTGTACACTAAATTTTTTACTCGCACTGTAAAATATATTTCAGATGATAAAGGAATTTGAATCTATTTTGTGTATTTATTTTTAAAAGTTGGGTAGTAACGTAGTAGTAACGAGTAGTAACGTGCATTGATATGTTTTGCATCAACTGTATATTTATTATAACAAGAGTTACATAATATCACAAATTAACAATTCGCAATTACCTAACTTCTCTACCTCACCCCGAAGAGTGCTAAAATCCCCTTATCGCCCGAAATTGATATTTTATTTAAATACAGCACATTAATTACAATAATTAGAATTGAAAAATAGGTATATAACGCGGCTAGGTAATGGGCTATTATTGTTTTATGTTTAAATATTTCGGAGTTTTATTCATACGTTGCCAAACCCGTCGAAATGTTAACAACATTAGTTACCTGGATTCCACTTTTGCAAATTGTCGCCGCTTATACGACCTGTGATGTGGACGCTTACGAAAACCTCATCAGGACCCGGTATGAAAAATCCCAGGACTACACTTTCCCCGTGGATTCCGGAAGTCATCGCGCCCTTTCTGCGACCGCTGCACCGACTGGTGAGCCCCTGTAAACATATAATTAAATCCTCCAAAGGTGAGATCTTTGGGTGCATATTGCAGATTTCGGAGAGTACGATTTTGTCGTAATCGGAGGGGGATCCACCGGGGCCGTTATGGCTACACGTTTATCGGAAGTTAGGGATTGGAAAGTTCTGGTCATCGAAGCCGGAAGATGGCCCGAAAAATTGGTATCGATAACCAGCGCTTCTTACAAAATCAACATCATGAGCGACTACAATTGGGGCTACTACAGCGTGCAGCAGAATAACAGCTGTTTAGGTAAATGTTTACTTTTATAATTCTAATGTAAGGGCTTTATAGAAAATTACAAAAAGTTAAAAATCGTTATAAATAAACTGATATATCTATTTTCGATTCAAGAAATCATCTTGCGACATCCTGTGTTTCAGTTAGAACATATTGCAAACATTGTCACAAATTATACGAATTTGGTGCTACCTGGAGATCTTCGAGTTTTTAATTATTTTACCTATAAATTTCGAATTTCAGGTTTCGTAGGGAACCGGTGCCCTCTGCCCAGGGGCAAAGGTCTCGGCGGCACGTCGCTCTTGAACGCAATGATCTACGTGAGGGGCAACAAGCACGATTACCAAAAATGGTGCGGCATGGGAAACCCCGGCTGGTGTTACAAAGATGTTCTGCCGTATTTTTTGAAATCCGAAAACTTCCATCACACCAACAAGCTGGCGCCGGTCGATGTGAAATATCACAACTATTCTGGTCCCCTTTGGGTGGAACAGCCGATGCCGTTTCACGAACATCACAAAGTACGTTTTTTAATATATTTTTTATATACTTATCTTCTCTTTCTTCGTGACTCTCTTAGAGTAATAATTGATTTACTACATTCAATTCACCAAAAAATAATTAAGACATTTACGTACTGATAATAAACTCCGACAAACCGATGAGTTAATTTGAATGGGAAATTTATTTAAAATACAATAATTCCCCTCGATGGTTTTGCGACAATTCGATGGAAAAATTACCCAAAAAAACGTTGGTTTAAATTAAAGCGCTTGTATAATTGTGTCCATAATTAACAGATAAACACGAACAAGTTTACGCACAAAACCATACGAAAAAAACTATCGAAAGCGATTCGCCAAATCCTTATCAGGATAATTACAACATTCAACGGCAAGCAAGCGTTTAGATACATAAATTTCGAAACGTCACATCCGCTATCACAATCCCTAATTACCGTTATTAATTAATTGAATTAATTACCCTCTAAACAGCGTATGTAAAACACCTATACATATGTATTAAATTACCGATAATGCGTTACATAAATCGAACGCCTTGCAGGTTTTTCTCAAGGCCAACGAGCAGATGGGATACAAAATCAGGGACATCAACGGCAAGGAGCAAATTGGGGCGATGCCCTTCCAGGTAAACACGAAAAAGGGCCGCAGGCAGGACAGTGGGACCGCGTTTTTGAAGCCGGTCCTGTACCGCGACAATTTGAAGGTGATGCCCAACAGTCTGGTGACGAAGATCCTCTTCGACGGCAAAACGGCCACCGGGGTGAAATTTTTGAACAACGGTATAGAGTACAAAGTTGGTGTTAGAAAGGAGGTTATCCTGTCAGCAGGGACGATCAATTCTCCTCAATTGCTTATGTTGTCTGGTGTAGGACCGGCGGAGCATCTTAAAGAACACAGTACGTATGTTTAATTGTACTTGATTTACATATAAGTGCAGAAGAAAAAAAAAGGAAGAAAGGAAAAGAAAGATTGACTTTGTATCATTACAATTTTCTCACTTCAACCACTGTTACTTTAATAATCCTTCTTTGATCAATTCATAGAATTTGCTATATTGTCTTTTTTAGTCTCTTATAATGGAAAAAGAAAGAAGTAATATTTGTGAGTTAACTTTCATAATATAACCAAAAAAATGCAAAAAAATCAATATAATTATCTACTAAATTAACAAAAATTTACAAAATTTAAAACAATTATAAAAATTGCATAACTAATAAATATTTAATTATCCGATTTGGGTAATATGTGGAAAATAACGAAAAATAAACCTAAAAAGCGATTTTAAACTAACAAAAACTACAAAATTTAAATAAAATTATATTAAACCTTAATAAATTAAAATAAGTTAAAATTCAGTTTTTACAAATTCATAAACAACTTACAAACAATTTTCTAGTAAACGATAGCTTGCTTCACTTCCAGACAAAACTTTATCTACTATTTACCAATTATAATATTCTTAATAAATATTTTTTCTACAGACATCGAAGTAGTTGCCGATCTACCAGCAGTAGGCCAATCCTACTCGGACCACTTACAAGTCCACGGTCTAGTCTTCAGCAGCAACATATCAGAACCCACTACAACCTTACGAACATCAATAGAGCAATACCTAACCCGAGGCCAAGGTCCTTTAGCCGAAGCGGCTCCCACCCAAGCCGTAGGTTACTACAGAACCAGGCTGGAGAAGACCCCCGGATACTCGGACCTGGAGCTCAGCTTCCAGGACACCAACGACACTACCGACGCCCTGACGCACTATTACAACTGGAAGAGCAGCATCTCCTCCAGGACATCCATAGTGAACGCCAGCACCTCCTTCCAGATATTCGCCACGCCCTTGCACACCAAGTCCTTGGGCACGGTGAGACTGAAGAGCGCCGATCCTTTGGACTTTCCCTTGGTGGATCCGAACATCCTCTCCGACAAAGACGGCCACGACTTCGATCTTGCCTACGAGGGTATACAGTTGGTGTTGAATCTCACCCAGCAGGAGGCTTTCAAGAAAATCGACACCAAGTTAACGCATCAACCTCTGCTGGAATGCTCCGACGTGAAGTTCTTGACCAAGGACTATTGGAGGTGCGCTGCTAAGTATATTATCAATCACAACAACCACCCGGTGAGCACCTGCAAGATGGGGCCCAATGCGAAGAAGAATGTCGTGGACCATAAGTTGAAGGTTCATGGTATTGCTAACTTGAGGGTGGCTGATGCTAGCGTTATTCCTCTATCTATGTCGGCTCATATTAATGCGATTTGCTACATGATAGCAGATAAAGGGGCCGATATGATTAAAGCCGATTGGTAGAACGGTGCTTGAGACCACACTAACCAGTGTGTTAAATAATAATTTATTGTGATTAATAAAATTGATGAAATAAATTGTTATGCTTCAGTGAATAGCACTCTCCCTTCAGCTATTTTCTTAAAATTACCAGTTTATTAACGAATTTCGTACATTGTAGTAATGACAAATTAAACGTCCTACCTATTTCCAAAAACCATTTGTCAAGAGTAATTTTCATTTATTTCATTATTCCCATTATTTCAATATTTCCATACATTCCATTTGTCATATTTCCCTATCTTTATCAGTCATTTTTGTTTCGATTGATGCATCATAATTATTTTATTCAATCGTTTGACAGTCTATTATTAGCCTTATCATACATAAAAAAGCTCCAGTTCGTTTGCACAATAAGAAAATTAAAAGGAGGAATACCGAGCAGGAATTAAAAAAAAACGATCGATTTTTTATACTCCATTTAGAACGCTCCAGAATAATCTAGAACTTGCTAGATCAATCCAGAACGCCCCAGAATCACTTAGAATTCTCTAGAACCATTTTGAACGTTCAGGAACCATTTAGAAGAAATATAATAAACTCATTTAGAACGCTCCAGAGGCATTTCGAAGTGTTAGACCAGGGTCGATAATTTTTGAAACCAAAGAAAATAATAGTAGGATGAAACACATTGGAAAAGAAAGAGAATATAGCAGAAATGAAAGGAAAAATAATTTACGGGCGATCTGAGGTCGGGAAGTGGGAGTGGGTGAGTTTTTAAGGGTAGAAAACGGTTTATCTCGATTTCCGGCGAAACTACAAGTCCTATGGAAAAACTTTAAATGGAAAAGTTTTTGGTTTTTTTATCTTTTACAAACAAAAAATTTTTTTCACGAAATTTGGTGAAAACTTACCTTTTTATGTCCCAAACACACTGTAATTTTTTTGATTTAAAACATATTTTTTCACCTTATTTTGACTTCGACATCGAAAAAACTCCCTAATTTTCAATCGAAAATTCTCACGTCAAAATATCTGCTTTTTGAAAAAAGTTGGTGGCCTTTTTGTTCGTTGAAATCTCTACTTTTTGATGGTGTAAAAAAATATACATTACTATGGAAAATGTTCTCAATGTTTTCTACCCTTAAAAACCCACCCACTCCCACTTCCCGACCTCGGATCGCCTGTAAATTATTTTTACTTTCAGTTCTGTTCTTTTTCTGTCATTTCGACATTCATGTTCTCTTCCTTTTCTAATGGGTTTCATCCTACTATTATTTTTTTTCTCTTTTTACCATTTTCAAAGGATTCAGCACTTCTATGTCTAAAACCTGGAACCAACAATTTACTGGTAAAACCTCAAACTCCAACAGCAGTGGAAAATGAACTAATTATCCTATCCACAACAAGCATCCAACATGTTACACCAGTAAAAAAATCAATTTACCAAAATAAGAACATTTCAGTAAAAATAAAAAAAAGCAAAATAACCAAAAGAAAGACAAATAGGCGAAGAACTCAAGCAGCTGAAGATAAAACAGCAATAGCATTCAACTATTATAAAGATAAGTGCAAATAATTACACAACATGGTATATAACATTGTTCTTGTCAGTCCCGTGGGACGCAGGTCAACTGGGCAAAAATTTTATTAACTAATAATAATTATCGAGATCGACCTGTCTCATGATAGGTCAACTGGGCAATTTCCAATATTTTTACCTGCCCCTTAATCGCTTTTCTCGTTTGGACAATTCGATAATCTCTTTCATGTACACCCACTTTTTGCATACCTAGCCCTAGTAGAACGCAGTAGTAGAGCCCATTTTGCACAGTAGGCCTACAACGGTCCCTTCACCAACTCTGCAGTTTTTCTCCATAAGATTCTTTATTTTCAAATTGGTATTGTTTAGTATCTACTTGAAGTTGAGACAAATGTACATATAAGGATTGAAGATTTTCTGAGAATCTCTATCTCAGAAATTTAACATTTATGCAACATTGTCATTTATCTATCCAACCCAACAGATAGCTCGAATTATATCTAATCGGCACAAATCGATTTAGCCTTTCTGTAATTACCCTTTAAACACACCGCGTTAATTATTTTTAATTGCACGAAAATTATAATTATTGTTATATACAATAACAAAAAGTAATGGACTACTGTTTTAAACCATATAAATAGTTGATGGGCAATTCGAAAGCATAGCAAAATGCTGAAAAGTTGCTTGCTAGTTGCCTGCATTCAGCTTATGCAACTCGCTCGTGCGGCTTGCACGAGCTGCATGGTAGACGTGTACGAGAACCTCTACAAGACTGCCTTCGAAAAATCCCTGGATTACGAATTCCCCGTTGATTCGAGAAGTCACCAGGCGATTTCGAACACTGCCGAACCCACCGGTGAGCTTGCGTAAATTTACTTCTTTTCAACCTTCCACTTCTTTCACGCCTCTTCTAATTTCTTCTACTAGCATTTATTCATTGTCATTCTATCTACAATTGAAAAACGTTTGTAAACTCTAATGGATTAACCAAAATTGTGTGCATTGTAGATTTCGGAGACTATGATTTCGTCGTGATAGGTGGTGGATCGACTGGAGCAGTCCTGGCTAGCCGTTTGTCGGAGATTCCAGACTGGAAAGTTCTGGTCATCGAAGCGGGAGATTGGCCCGATGAATTGGTATCGATAACCAGCGCTTCTTACAAAATCACCATCATGAGCGACTACAATTGGGGCTACTACAGCGTGCCGCAGAATAACACTTGTTTAGGTAAATTTACCCTGAATCCTTGCGAGCTATATATCCTTATAGCATTAAAAGATTGATCGGTAGAGTTGACGAAATCGGTATCCGAAATTGTCTTTCTGTATCTGCTTCAGGCTTCGAAGGGAACCGGTGCCCCCTGCCCAGGGGCAAAGGTCTCGGCGGCACGTCGCTCTTGAACGCATTGATCTACGTGAGGGGCAACCGGCACGATTTCAAAAAATGGTGCGACATGGGAAACCCCGGCTGGTGTTACGAAGACGTTCTGCCGTATTTTTTGAAATCGGAGAACTTTCATCTCACCAACAAAGACGCGCCGGTCGATGCAAAATACCACAACACCTCTGGACCGCTGTGGATCGAGCAACCGGTGCCATTACACGAACACCATAAAGTACTTTTAAATTCAATAGCATGCTTCTTTTCTATGAATACTTGTTTCAGGTTTTCCTTAAGGCCAACGAGGAAATGGGATACAAAATCAGGGACGTCAACGGCGAGGAGCAAATAGGAGCGATGCCCTTTCAAATAAACACGAAAAAGGGCCGCAGGCAGGACAGCGGAACGGCATTTTTGAAACCGGTTCTGGATCGAACCAATTTGAACGTGATGCATAACAGTTTAGCGACGAAAATCGTCTTTGACGGCCAGACCGCTGTCGAGGTGCATTTTTTGAACAAGGGCATCAAGTACAAAGTGGGCGTTAAAAAGGAAGTTATCCTGTCGGCAGGAGCGATCAATTCTCCTCAATTACTTATGTTGTCTGGCGTAGGGCCTGCTGAGCATCTTCAAGAACTCGGTAAGTGCGTTTATTTTAAGCTACCAGCACTTTACTTGTAAACTTTAACCACCACTCAACATCATTCTTTCTTAGGCATCAAAGTAGTCGCCGATCTACCAGCAGTAGGCCAATCGTACTCAGACCACTTGCAAGTGCACGGTCTAGTTTTCACTAGTAACCTTTCGGAACCCATCCCGCCCTTGCGAAAATCGATCAAGGAATTCCTGGAACAAGGCACGGGAGATTGGGCGGAAGCCGCCCCGACGCAGGCCGTCGGATACTACAGAACCAGGCTGGAGAAGACTCCCGGATACTCGGATCTGGAGCTCAGCTTCCAGGACACCAACGCGACCACCGACGCGATGTCGAACTGCTACAGATGGAAGAGCAACGTCTCCTCCAGTATATCCATAGTGAACGCCAGCAGCTCTTTCCAGATATTCGCCACGCCCTTGCACACCAACTCCTTGGGGCAGGTGACGCTGAAGAGCGCCGATCCTTTGGACTTTCCCTTGGTGGATCCCAACATACTCTCCGACGAAGAGGGCCAGGACTTCGAGATCGTCTACGAGGCTATTCAATTCGTGTTGAACCTCACCCAGCAGGAGGCTTTCAGGAAAATCGACGCCAAGTTCTCGCATCAACCTCTGCTGGAATGCTCCGACGAGGAGTTCATGACCAAGGACTATTGGAGGTGCGCTGCTAAGTATATTGTTAATCACAACAACCACCCGGTGAGCACCTGCAAGATGGGGCCCGATTCGAAGGGGAATGTCGTGGATCATACGTTGAAGGTTTATGGTATTGCTAACTTGAGGGTGGCTGATGCTAGCGTTATTCCTCTTTCGACGTCTTCTCATATAAATTCTATTTGCTATATGATAGGGGAGAAAGGGGCTGATATGATTAAAGCGGATTGGCTGAACAGTATTTGAGCTGTGATTTTGCACCGGTTAATAAATGATGTAAAGTAAACTGTTGGTCGTATTTTTATTATTCTTGGACAAGTTCGTGTTTAAAGAGATTGATTTCGATGATGGTGCTGATAAAAACGAAACGTCTGGGAAGAAAATACTATATTAAAAATCACAATGAACAAGCTCTTACAACTTTAGTTGAGCAACAATCAAAAAAAGTTATTGTTAATAACATAAACATAATAATATTTTTATTGAAAGCTACTGGGTATATGATACGTTGTACTCAAAAGTTAACTTTACAAAGTCTATACTTATAATTTGACATCACGGTGGATACACTTAAATAATTCAACGGATTGTTCTTCGACGTTTTCTTCATCGCTTTTTTCCAGTGTGCATCTTTTCACAATTTCGTTGGCCGTGGATTCCGGTACATTCATATCCAAGATAATTTCCCTCATGGTGTCTTTATTAATTTTCCCATTGCCATCGATTATGCCCAATTTGTTGAAAAGGCAAAACATAAGAGGTCCGTTGCTGCCTTCAGTTCCCTCTGGATGGTCCAGGTTTAATTCTTTTTTGCATTGGTTCAACGTGTTGGGGAAAGGATGTTGGTCATGTTCCACTGGTTTTGACTGAAACAATAGGTTCGGAATGGTTTAGAATTGCCCAGGAATATTTTGAATTGTACATGTTCGTTTTGAATTTGCTGATTAAAACTGATTAAAACCTTTGAGAATAGCGCAGATCCGTTTGGAATAGTCCAAAGTCAGTATAAACTATTCTGGATAGTTTAGAACTGCCCAGGAGTATTTTAGACTGTGCAGATTCATTTGAAACTTTTCTGAATTCGTTCAAAACTGACCAAAAAACCTTTGAGAATTTGAGAATTGTTCACAACCGAAGTGTACAAACCGAACTGTCTAAAGATATTTGTCCAAATAATATTCCAAATAGTCCAACATTATGAATAATATTTACTTACCCAAACAGTTCCAATAATAAAACACAAAGCGGCAAAAATAACAATTTGTTTCATGTTTGATTCGGTTGATTTTTGTTCTGTTAAATGCAATAATGCTCCCTCGTTTATATTTATACGCATTTATTTTATGAATCATAAATGTAACAGGTCTGTACTCAGCCGATAATGTTAGTTATTTTAATTCTATATAATTATTTTCATTCCACTTAATTCTATTTATATCTCTCCAATTATGATACCAACAGTGATAACCGAAATAACACATGTTAATTAACATAATATACCTTCATTAACAGAATTATGTATTTTTATGTACGTTTAAACTGTCCAGAGGATTCTGGAATGTTCAAAGCCGTTTGGAACTGTTCTGAACGATTTAGAACTGTCCAGAACTTATCGAAAATGTCTAGATCTGTTTAGAACTGTCCACAGTTGTCTGAAAGTCGTTTGGAACTGTTCAGAATGGTTTAGAACTGCCCACAACAGTCCAAAGACATTTGGAGCAGTCCAAAGTTGATTGAAATCGTCCAAAGCTATTTGGAACTGTTTTGAAAAATTTAGAACTGTCCGTAATCTTTGGGAACGGTCCACAGACGTTTGGAATAGTCCAAAGCCGGTTGAAACTATTCTGAATAGTTTAAAATTGCCCAGAACCTTTGTGAACTGTCCAAAACAGCCTGCGACTGTTCTGAACGATTTGAAACTGCCTAGGATCTTTTTGAACTGTACTGATCCGTTTTAATTCAACGTTATACCATTACTTCTATTTATTTCAACAATTATGATACCAAAAGTGATAACGAAAATAATTAATATTTAATAGTGCAATCAAAATAAGTAACATATTCGATTATTTCTATAAACATGAACGTAGTAATTCTACATAATAAATTAGCTTTTTATTGACAATTATGTTATTTTTTTCAAAGAAAAAGAGACTTTATGAAAATCTTTCCTTAAAAGAGTACGTTCCTGCAAACACCCATCATGTATTATTCAATATTTGAATTTCTTTGCGTGTTAAGATTCTTGCAAAGTTTTGTTGTGGTGGGTATTTACCAGGTTTTTATATTTATAAATAGATGAATTTTTATTCTGTTTAGATAAGTGCATGTGGTTTTCTAAGAAATGTTTGTTTGCAATTGCAATGGTACATATTAAAAAATAGTACATTTTTTTCTTTCAAAACAAATAGCTATACATACAGAGTAAAATTAAAAACGTGAAATTTGTTTAATTTCGAGTGTATTAAAAAACAAAAATATTACAAAATAATTGCGCCAAAAAATATTTTTGAATATTACATAACGTCCCTTAAATTACTTAAATACAAACAAAAAGAGCGGAACAACAAAAAAAACTAATACCTAATTGTAAACTACAATATACAAGGCCTTGTACAGGCCTGCAGTGCGAGAAAGAGTGCGACTATAGTAAAATCACTTGAGAGGAAAAGAGATTAACAACATATTAACTACATAGACAGTACTAGCGATATCTTCGTCAGTCTCAAGCCATTTTAGTGCAGTTAGTTGCACTCTATCTCTTTCCAGCACGTGCAATTGTACTAATAATACGCCCAAATCGCAGTATATGCCTAATTACCAGTACTTTTCCAGCTCCCCGAGTAAACTCAAAGGCTTCGCCGCAGCCTCGTACCTTCCCACCACGTTACCCTCCTTGTCTATGATAAATTTAGTGAAGTTCCAGGCGATCGCGTTGCCCTTTTTACCCTTAATCCGGCTCGTCAGAAACTCGTACAGAGGATGAGCGTTCTTGCCTTTGACGCAAATCTTCTCGAACATGTCAAATGTAACGTTACGTTTCGAGGCGAATTCCGAAATTTTATCGTTGTCCTGCGGTTCTTGGTTGCCTGCAACGAATTCGCGTGATTTACAAGTTTATTGGGACTATTTAAGGGTGGATTTACCGAATTGGTTGCAAGGAAAGGCGAGAATTCTGAGGCCCTGTGGTTCAGAGTGTTTCTCGAAGAGTTCCACTAATTGCTCGTAATGGGCCTTGGTGTGTCCGCATCTCGATGCGACGTTTACTATGATGCAAACGTGTCCTTTGTACTTGTCGAGGCTCACTTGATTGCCTTTGATGTCGTTGGCTGTGAATTGGTATATGTTTTGCGGGGTGTCCTCGACTGTGGCTGTATCAGAAACGGCCTGTTCTGTATCTGTTGCCTTCGGTGGTGGTTTCTTCTCGGATTTTTTGGATTGTTTCTCTTTAGGGGCGTTTTCATCATCTTTTTGGGGTTCTTTTGGTGGATTTTTGCGTTTTTTTGCCGGCGCTGAAACTTTTTTTTCTGGTTTTTCAGTTTCTGAATCTACTGTTTTGAAGCCTTTGCTTCTCGTAACAACGGGCATTTTTGACTCTTTATATTTTTTATGAATTAACAATTAACCACTAAAAACACTGCTAGAAATTTCTATTGGCGCCATTCACTTGACGTGTAAACAAAACCTAAAATTTTATTTGTTTTGACAGATTAGAGGCCCTTATCGCGTCGGTTATACAGTAGCTGTTTCCTTAGTACGTCTCTCATTTTATTTCTTGCGCAGTTAATTGAACTAGCAGTACTGTTTAATCCAAAACGTAGGCACTATTTAATTAGCAGTTCCATAAAATAACTAACAATTACCGGTAGTATACGCAACCGATTTTGTTGTGTATTCGCCACTTTAAAGAGGTGGTTTAACCTTTTGGAATTGAATGGGGATAACGCTAGTTGGTGGATGTTAAGACAGGACAAGTGGCTACTTCTAGTGAAAATTTCAAGTCTCTAGTGCGGCTGTAGATAATTTTTTAGAATTTTTACTTAAAAATAGCGTTTTTGAACATAGTCTCATTCAAAGGGGTGGTTCAACCATTTGGAGTTGAGTAGGGATGATGATGCTACTTGGTGTATCCCAAGACAAGACATGTGGCTATTTCTGGTCAAAATTTCAAGTCTATAGTATGGCTGTAGATAATTTTATAGAATTTTTACCTAAAAGTTGCCTTTTGGAACATAGTCTCATTAAAAGGGGTGGTTCGACCCTTTGACGGAATTGAGTGGGGATACTTGGTGGATACCAAGACAAGACATGTGGCTATATCTGGTGAAAATTTCAAGTCAAACTATTTAGTGTTTAGCAACTTTTAATTAGTACACCCTGTATTCAAAAAATACGAAAATAACTTATACAATATTTTCGAATTTGATTTAGGTATGTTTTTTTGAATAAATGAAACGCAAACAAACGGATATCTTACATAGTTTATTTGAAATTTCAAAGGAATTTTGTGATAAAAACGGCACATTTTTTAGCGAGAAATTTGAATTTACTCGTCAGGTCCATCAAATTCTTCTTCGGTAGTCCAAGAACCTTGAAAATAATTTTAATTCGCTAAAAATATAAAGTTGATGTAATGGCAATGGAGACAATTTAAATACTTCCTTTTTTTTAAAGAATTTTGACTGGACTATTTTAGGCATGTTGAATAATTTAAATATGTATATGAAATCGAATCTAGATAGCTCTTTTTTAACTAGATACTGTTTTCATCGATTTTTTTGTATAGATTTTTAGTGCGCTTTTAAAAAATATTGACACCCTTTTTTAGAATATTTTTTATATTTAGAAGATTTTATGATAAAAATTTTTTTACTGAATTTTTACTGCTGATTTAGTTCCATATTCAAACATTTTAGTGCAAATTAAAATGTAGCTACTTAATGAGAATTTTTTTACTTCCTTTAAGTACATATATTTTTATCGATTTTTTAGTAAAAAAATATATATGATACCTTCGGTTTCATCAGTTTCATCATATTCATCTTCATCGAAATCCCTTTCCGCATCATCCCTATTATTATCGTCCATCCTGGGTGGCATGTGCCTACCCCTAGGCACCCTTCTCGTTTGTACATTTATATCCAATTGCATTCTAACGTCCAATACCATAAAACCGACGGTTATTAAAAGAGGAAGACGATAACGACAGTCCCAAGCCAACTTTAGCAGAAAAATTAAAGGTTTCATAATATTGGTTATTGATTCCTGCAAGAAAATATACCTCGCTATACATATGTATATGTCTTATTTTTTTTTTTTTTTTTTTTTTTTTTTTTTTTTTTTCAATTTTTTTTTGTTATTTTAACTTTTTTTCTATCCATCTTCTTTACATTTGGGAACATTTTACGATTGTTTGTCAATTGTTTCCTATAATTGTGAACACTTGTCAATTATTTTTCAACTGTTTCCTATAATTATGAAGAATTTTTAGTCACTTGTCAACTGTTTCCTAAAACTGTGTAAATTTTTTAATTATCTATCAACTTTTTCCTAACATTTTCACAGTTTTTCTTCAATTTTTTTAATTATCCATCCACATATTTAGTTTTTATGTTAACTTTTCCGCATATTTGTGAACATACAGTGCATTTCTTTAATGTCCCCCCGCCCCTTTTATTTTTTGAACGGATCAACTTAGAAAATTGAAATTTATTAGTTATTCATCAACATTCATTCGTCATCATTTCCCTACTCATTTCAGTTTCCAACCTGATCAATTCCATAAGTTGAACAAAAATGATTATTAAAATAACAGTTGTTTGAGTGAGACAGTTACAATCCCACAATATTGCCCTTTCCTTTTCCTTTATATGCATCTAATGGAAGTCGTCTTTATGGCACCCATAGCCTATATTGCAAACTAAAATGAATCAACCTGTATAAAAAAACTCACTTAATTCAAGGTATTCACAGCCTTCTCGTTATCATCATCAACACCATCGTCCTCGAATTGATCGTGTTCGATGATCCTGAGTATTTCGCCTCTATTCAACGCCTGTTTTTGAGGCGCCAGAGCTCTGACCAATTGCGAACCGATCACCGACGATGATCCCTCGAATTCGAAATCGATCAGTTCTTCGTCAAATCGTTCCGTCCCTGTTGCACCCAACAAATCTCTCATGCACGCCTCCTTCTTGGCCCGCAATTGCGCCAAAATGTCCGGGTCGTTTTTGATCCTCTTCAATTTTTCTTCTGCAAACGGTTTTTTAGATATTTACGTTATAGGACCGATTTCATAATAAATATTTCAAAACCGCTCTAAAAATCGCTTTAGAACCGCTATAAAACAGTTTTAAAAATCGCTCTAAAATTGCTTCTAAATCGCTTTAAAGCCGCTCTAAAACAGTTTGTTAAACCGCTCGAAAATCGCTTTAAAACAGTTTCAAAATCGCTCTAAAATTGCTTCCAAATGGCTTTAAAGCCGCTCTAAAACAGTTTGAAAACCGCTCGACAATCGCTCTAAAACGGTTTCAAAACCGCCCGAAAATCGCTTTAAAATTGTTTCAAAACCACTAGGAAAACGCTTAAAACTATTTCAAAATCGCTGTTTTAAAACCGTTCGAAAATCGCTGTAAAATGATTTCAAAACCGCTCTAAAAACGCTTAAAACTATTTCAAAATCGCTGTTTTAAAACCGCTCGAAAATCGCTTTAAAACTGTTTCAAAATCGCTGTTTTAAAATCGCTCCAAAATTGCTCCAAAATCGCTTTTAAGCTCTAAAACAGTTTCAAACCCGCTCTAAAAATCGCTTTAAAGCAGTTTCGAAACTGCTCGAAAATCGCTCCAGAACAGTTTAAAATCACTCCAAAACCGATCTGAAACAGCTCTAAAACCGCTTCAAAAATAAGTACAAAAAAACCACTAAAAATTTTCTAACAAAAAACAAAAATTAATACCAATGTTATAAATATAACAAAACTGTGTATTTGAAATTTTGTTATCAATTTTATATCAGTTTATTCCCTACATAAGGATAAAAAAGGAATGCATGTACTACGCATATAAATATAAAATTGCGTTTATTTACCTAAAATGGCCAAGTATTCTCGAGAATCCGGCAGCTTATCGTTCGCCGAAGGCCTAAAATTGTCTTCGAATTCGAATTTTGTCGTGGTTTTTTTCGAAACAGGATTGTTTTCCTGACAACACAACCATGGATCCATCATTGACACAAATACATTATGATTTATGATTTATGACAGCAGTGGCAGTTAACAGCTGTCAACAGTTGTTCCTTCGTACTAGATTTTACGAAATTGTACTAGATTTTTGATATAATTCGTTTATATCTAATCAAATGATGTTTATTAATTATTATATTATTAATTTAGGATATTTTAATAAAATTGTGTTAAAAAAGTATTTAACAACTTCATATACATACTTGTTATTGACAGTTATTGTATAGGTACTGAATAACCGCAAAGGTAAAGGCCTTTTTAGATAGTAATCCAGATTTTGTAAATATGGCATGTTTAGGTTAGGTTTTAGTTTTATATAGAAGTCGGAAAATTGGGGTATCGAAGCAGTATAATGAACGATTTTCCCGGAAAATTGGATTGTAATAGAGAAGAATCAGTGAATTTGAATTACCAATACATATCGGCTTTTAAGGTAATGTAAAACACTTATTTTACAATTAATTCTAATTAATTATATGTGGCGATTTGTATGTACATTATGTTGGGTAAAATCCCGACTTATTTGGGGGAATTTTAGTGTGTTTTGGTGATTTTTTGTTTGTTTTTAGAATCCCGGTAAATTGCCGATTACGCAAATCCATTTGGAAAGAGTTTGGTTTGAATTGAAGAAAAATGCACCGAAAAACGAAGTAAGTATCTAGTTGGCCTTTTTATTAATTTTTTAGTTACTTTTTACACTTAATTTTTGTAGATTATTTTGCGTACTTTGTAATAATTCTTGGATCATTTTTTAACACTTTCCTTGTATTTTTGGTGCTTTTTTAACTCTCGATTTTGTTATTTTTTTGTTACTTTAAAAATAACTTTTTTACTATTTTAGGCATTTTTTTATTTTTAGTGCATTTTGAAGTGTATTTTTTTAAATAAATTTCTAGTATAATTTAAGTGCTTATTTAGTTAAGTGCTTTTTTATCATTGCGACATATTGCATAATTTTAATTTTAAATTGAACTTAGTTGGTAGTTTTTAGTTTTTTTTTTGAAACAGTTTGACTTTTTTACATTTTTGGTAATTTCTTTTTGGTTAGTTTCATTTGAAAATTCTTACTTTTTCAGGACATTTCTAAAGTTTCAAAGGAAGAATTTGAGAAACGGTATTATGAAAGAAAAACCGAAATAATTCCTGCCTTAGTAAGTTAATTACTTAATTACATTAATAAAGTATCCCAATTAATTAACCAATTAATCGATTAATTATCGTTCCAGGATCAAAGATGGCTGCCCAAACTCGTTCTCTATCCATTCGAGCCCTACAATTTCGCATCACCCGACGAGGAAAATTCCAATTTCATCGTGAAAAACGTCGATTTTTCCGATACTTTGGATTATTTTTCGAAATGCGATTTCCACCAATTTTGGTGTTCCGTGATTTTCGAAAATTCATCGGCTGTGTCTCTGAGAAGTTTCCTTTTGAATCCGATATTTCCCTATCAAATGAAACATTTGAACGGGGAATTTTCCGATTTATATAGGGTGATATTAGAAAAGTTTTTGTTGGTGTACAAAAGATTGATCAAGTTCGATTTTTCCGAGGTGAGTGTTTATTCCGAGAATTTTTGGGTTATTTTAAATTTTGGATTTAGAAGACATTGGTTGAATAATCGATAGTTTTGGGTTTATTTTGAGTTATTTTGATTTTTTTCCTATTTTCGTACACACAAAAATTTTACGCACACTTTACGCTACAATTTTTCTTATAAATCAAAAAATACAAAAGATAAAAATTTAATTTTTTCCATAGTTTGTGGAAAAAATTATTCTTTACATCTTTACAAAATATAAAATTTACTAAAATCAACAGTTTTTGAGTTACTTCTCCTTTTTTCTTAAAAAAATACTCAATATTTTACAAACACACTTTACTTTAATTTCTTCTATAACTCAAAAAATACGAAAGATAAAAATTTGATTTTTTTTTAGTTTGTGGAAAAAAGTATTCTTCACATCTCTGCAAAATATAAAGTTGTTAAAAACTACAGTTTTTGAGTAATTTCTATTTTTTAGTACACACTTTACAATTTCTCTTATAACTTAAAAACTCCAAAAGATAAAATTATTATTTTTGGATAGGTTGTAGAAAAAGTTCCATTTCAACGAATTTTCCGGTTTTTCGAATTTTCCAGACTGAGAATATACCCGAAAAATACGGCTTGGAAGTATTAAAGAAGAGGCAACTAATCAACTTACCCATTGTCAATACATTAACCCTACTATACAAAACAATCGACGGCGATTTCGCGAATCGTTTGGCCTACTTGTATTTCGACGACGTTTCGGAGATCGATTTTCGATCGAAAGAAATCGAAAGATCGATCGAGCAATCGATAATGGTGAGTAAAATGGAAAAAAATAAGTATCTATTATTTATGGTTTTTTTACAATAAATCGAAAAGTAATTGAGAAAAAGTCCCAATAATCCACCCAAAAATTCGAAAATAAACCATTAAAAAATTCACTAGAATGTTTTAAAAATTTCCCAAAAATACCCCAAAATATGTGCATGAATCCCCAAAAACTTAATCCATAATAATCTCCCAAAAAAATCACCAATAATCCCTAATAATCTCCTAATAAATCTCTAAAAATTCCCCAAAATATTCTCAAGAATCCACCAAAAAATCCCCAAAAATCAAAAGTTATAGACGAACATTTTCCCTATAAATTTCGAAAATAAAAATTTTATTATTTCTCGATCTTTCAGACTCTCCGGATCATAGAAGGCCGCCTAACCCCCAATCACCCCCAAATCCCACACCCGTCAATTCCTCCGAAACCTCTGCAATTCGACCCGGAATGGGTCCAATTGACGGTCGACTATCTCCTCCACAACATGGCGCTTTTTAATTCGCTTTTCCGCTTTTCCGAACGCCCCGTAGGCGTTTGTTTCGACAAACAATTGCCGTTCGAATTGCCCCGAACCTACGTCGCCATATACAGGGCGATTTACGAGTTAATAGGCGACGATAGGGAGGAATTCGAGCAAGCCGATTGGCTCAAATGGAGAATTTTCGATTCGATTCGAGCCGGCCGTGAGGAATTCGTCGATTGTTTTCATTCGTTTGTTTCGTATTGTCTAGACGAAACTTTGGAGAACGTGTGAGTTTTTTAATATTAATTTGTCATTATCATCATCAATATTCATGTTTCATGTTGTCATTAACCAAAGACAAAACGCAATTTTTTATTCTTTCGTTTAGACTTATTTTGGTCTCCTAATTCATAATGCAAAAGGATGGGCGTCAATTTTGAGACACCCTGTATACGAGTAAAATTATTATTAGTATATGTATAATGTGTATATTTTTTTCTTAGGGGTGATGATAAAAAACAGGAACAATCAGTAGAAATGTATTTGAAATTATTAAATGCGGCCCTGGACGAGGAATTTTTCATCAGCGATTACGATGCAAAGTACAGCGTTGCCAATTCGAATGAAATTATTGAAAGTTGTACGGCTTTGTATCCTTTTTTCATTTATTCTATTGCTCTATTTTATTTGTATGTCATTTATTAACTTAATTTATTTTGTTGGTTTTATTTGTTTTGACGAATAACAAGAACAAATGGACGAATGACAAGTATAAATTGGTGAATAACAAGAATAAATGGTCGAATGACAAAAAGAAATGGACAAAAGACAAAAAAATAGGTTTTTCGAAAAAATTAAGTACGTTTTGATGCTATTCAGTTTTGAAAAAATTGTGATTACAAATGGCACAAATTTTTCACCTAAAATTTTCATGGAAATTTTCCTTAAATCATCGCAGAGATTCCACGCGAACGGAATTTATAATTTCCTGCATCAACAAATTGCCCAGGCGGAAAATTCTCCACGAATTTTCGGAATTTTCCAAATCGAAACTCGAAAAAATCGAGGAAATCTTCAAAAAATTCAAACCCGTCGACAATGCGAAAGAGAAAGTCAACGATTATGATGAGCCGGAAAAACGACGGGAATCATCGCACGGTGATGATGAACGAGTGCAAGAAGGACGTGTAGATGACGAAATGATCGAGGAGAAAATAAGGGAGATAATGGCGTTGTTTCCCCATTTTGGTGATGGTAAGGTTGATGATAAATTGACGAATATACAAGAAAATAAATAAACGAATAACAATCATACATTTAATAAGTATAAGCGATGCATTGACGAATAATAAAAATAAATTGACGAATAACAAAAATAAATTGACGAATAACAAGAATAAATTGACGAATAAAATATTGGTAATTTTAGGTTTCGCCTTGCAATGTCTGCAATGTTACAATTTCAATGAAATCCAAGTAATAAATGCCGTATTAGAAGAGAATTTGCCGCCGCATTTGTACGAAATTCCATTCGATTCCGTCCGAATACCGCCGGAAAAACCAGACGAAAATGATAAAAAATTGACCGAATATCGCGGCAAAAAACAATCTTATGATGACGCGTTGACTTTGCTAGACGATAAAAAAGACATTGCCGAATTGAAGAAATTCGTATTGGAAGGCGTGTAAGTTTTTATTTATTTATTTAGATATTTTTATTTATTTATTCGTTTTTTCTCTTAGTCAATACTCGGACGATTATTTATACGACGACGAATACGATGATCGTGACGATGACGACATGCCGATCAAAGTGGCCGATGATCATCATCACACTGCTGAAAGAGATGATGAAAACGGCGGAAATCCCAATAGGAAATACTGGAAAAAGATGGCTGAAAATTCGTCCGATAGCGATGATGATGATGAAGACGACGGAAATGGCGCTGAGGCGGGTAACAGTAATAATGACGGGTAAGTTTTGATAATGACAACTTTTACCGTATAAAATCAACATTAAATTACTGGAAAATTCCGTTTAATTTTCTGGATTTTCCTTTCAGGAAACGGCGCAACTTTTGCGAAGATCCCGCCGTCTTGCGGGCGCGCAGAGAGGCGAAATTCCAAGCGGAAAACCGCGGAGTGAGAAGGGAGAAGAAAAACCTGGCCGGAAAGCCGAAGGGCCAAGGCCAAGACAAGGAGGTGCTGAAGGAGAGGGATAGGAAGAACACGGCAAAATCGTCGAGGGCGAATCACAACAGGAAAGTCGGGGCGAGTTGGAAGAGGAATAGGGGAATGTTGCCGATGTGAAGAGAAAAATCGAGGTTTTCCAGATTTTTCGTTCAATTTTTTCCTTGCGCTTTCGTTTTTGATTTTTTGAGTTTTTTTTTTTAATGTTTTTGTTACTTGTTCTTCAGAATTTTCCGAGTTGGTTCATGGGCTTTTCCTGCTCATCTTATTTTTTTTTCTTGATTTTTCCGAGAATTTCGGTATTTTTTTTTTAGTTTCCAATGTTTTTTTTTCGAGCTTCTCTCGAATTATTCCTAACATTTGTTGAGTTTCCAGATTTTCCAGGATGTTTTTTCCTTTTCCTCATATGTTTCTCATATGCAGAGTTTCTTTAAATTTGACAATTTGTATTTATTTTAATATATTTTATTTTGATAAAATCTGCCGTTGCTGTATACTTGGAGTTTTTCGATTCGAATATTCGAAACAGTTCCGGGCGATCTTAGGACCATTTGGAACTGTCCAGAATAATTTAGAACTGTTCAAAGCCATTTTTACATTAGCCCAGAAACATTTAGAACCATTTTAGAACAGAACAGTAGCATTTAGAACTGTCCAAAATCATTTAGAACCGTTCAAAGCCATTTTTACAATTTTCACTTACCCATTACGTAGCTTACACAATAGCGTTCGGAATAAATTAAATTGATTTGAATCCAATTCAATTCAATTGATCCGATAATACGTTATATAAGGTAATAACAAAGCAATTCATCTAAACATTTCAATCGTTCATTCGCATCAAACATAATCTCCATTCGTTTAAAAGTATAGAGAAATAACATGAAACGAAGTTCTCTAGGATATTTTATTAAAAAATATAATTACACGTGTGATACATTCGCATTCCCACAGAAAAAAATCTACGTTCGGGAACGCGATATACAAAAAAAAAGAGTATTACAATAATAAATTTAAAATTCTAGTTATTCAATTTTGTTTTAAAGTACTTCATTAAGTTCAAAATACTTAAGGCAGGATGCAAGGTCACATTTAAGTCGACAAATATATCTAAATTTAACCTACAAAATTACTTTTGATCCGTTTCTACCCCGTTCGTCTCGAAAAAAATAAATATTTCAAAAAATAAAAATCGATTTAAAATCGGTTTAAAACATCTTGAGTGCTAAAAGTAGGGCGAAGAGGCCCGAAGTGACGGTAACGGAGACGCCCGAACATTCCGCCGGCTTGTCGCTCTCAATGTATTGGCAAAGCGCCTTGGCGAAATTGGTTTGAGCCAAGTCATTGTCCTCCTGCTTGTACTGATCGTTGAAAACGATAGTAGGCACCGATTTCAAGGGCTTCTGGATCTGGTCCGTCAAACGGCCGAACACCGCCATGTAATTGAAAGCTGCAACAAATTCGAATTTTAGGTTTTTTTATTACTATCGCCTGATAGCGAACGGACTATAACTTAGTATATACCTAGCCTAATGTAGCTTAATGCTACAAAATTTTACAAATTTTAAGTTGCAGAAAACGTCCAAAATCGTTTAGAACTGACTAGAAGTAGTTCAGGACCATTTGCAGGGGTTAACTTAAATAATTTCGTCCGGTGTAACTCACCATCAGTGTGATTCGAGCAGTTCTCGATATCCAACAGATTCGAGACGGGATTGACCAGGGCGCAGTCCCTCGTAGGAAACACCGCCTCGGCGGTCTTGTCCGCTTTGTCCATCAGGCAATTGATGAAGCCAACCGCCACTTTGTTGTAGCCCAAACCGGGCGAGTCCTGCCCTTTGTCGATGCGTTTCAACGCGCACGCTTGGATCCGATTGCCGTAACACTCGGCCTCGCCGTGGTGGCACTCGAACTTCCAGTCGGTCACTTCGAAAGTTGCCTGAAAATAAGTGCCAGTACAGACCTGTGCGTTTTGCGAAAATTCCTCGATCCGGTCCTGACTAATTTTTTTGCAATGACAACTGACAGGTTGAGTGACAGGTGGTTAGTTTATGAAATATTCATAAAAATTGTGATAAAACTTCTATTTATTTATTAAATAGCGGGCAATTTTCGCTAAAATGAGCGTTTTGAAGTCAAAATGAATTAGGTTATTTACAGGTGAGTAATTACGTAGAAATATTTGAGACTGTGATTTAGTAAAGTGGCTGTGAGGTATCTAATCGAAACTATGTGTAAATAAGTGTAAATTAAGTGGAATTATTAACGATTTGATAACTAATTTATGTTTAATAGCTTTGAAGATTTGAATATACTACGTTTAAGCGGTAAATTAATTAAACATGCTTTGATAAAATTTCAGAGATATTGGCTAAATGCCTTAAATATCGAGGCCTTAGGTGGTTTTTTTAATGACAAATGACAGGTGATAGCCATTAAACAATTATACAGTAAATTTGATAAAAAATGCTAATTATTTATTAATTGGAGGGCATTTTTTGTGTTTTGAAGTCGTCATGAATGCGATTAAGTATTTACATGTGAGCAATTAGGTAGAAAAAAATGAAACTGATAGTGAAATTTCTGACGTATCTAATCACTAAACTATGTGTATTTAAGTAGAATTATTAACGAATTGGTAACCAAAATGTGTTAATAGCGTTAAACATTTGAGTATTTTCGTTTTAAACTGTAAAATAACTTATGTACGTTAATGTACGTTGATAAAAATTTAAACGTAGTGGCTAAATGCCTGAAATGTTGAAGCCTCCATTTTAATTTTCAACTAAAAGAAGAAGAAAACTTATAATAATTTGACCGTTACGAATCCAAAAAAAAACAGCATTAAATTTCGCGACATTAAAAATTGCTAAATTTGATAGATGAGGTAATACCTTCGATTTTCCGTAAGGCACCAGCGTCAAATTGACGAATTCGGACAGGTTCCCCTGCAACGACGGATACAATTGCTGCGTAAAGAACTTCTTCGAATCCGGACAGAGCGACTCGTAGTACACTGAGACGTTTACCTGTAAAGAAACGGTCCCCGTTAAAAGCCTGATAAAATCAATCAAAATCACACATTCTACATTCCTTTAACGACATCAATGCCAAAGGCAATAATCACAATGACGTCATCAGAGTCTGACCAATCACGGCCCTCAATTGTCACTTGATTGTGTTACAGACCAATGAGAGCAAGAGCTGGGTCGTGACGTGAATACAGCACATGTACAGAATAAGAATACTTAATATAATTGTACTCACATGAAACATATTTTTATATGTATATGGGTATGTGCAAATGTGTTTGCAATATGTATATTAATATTGTTAGTATTTACATACTAAATTGTCATGGTTTAAAACATCCTTCAAATTTCAGATTTTAATGAAGAAAACTTACTTCTCAACAAGCAGGGCTTTTTATAAAGTATAACTTTTATTCGTAAATTTAAAAATAACAATTTTTTTCTAAATTTAGTTACATTTTTTTACATATCTGCAGTTATATGCATACAGTGTAGATTAATCTTAATCTAGAGGGTTTATTAAATCTTGTCTATCAAGCGGGTCATTAAAATTCACCAATATACAGATATTTGTAATGGGTCATCATTATGACACACCCTGTATATGAATGTATACACTTTGGTTCATTTCAGTTTGCAATATGATCATATGCAATATAGCCAATTTTATGATTTGAACAAAGAAGGATTATTAAAGTAACAGTAGTTGAAGTGAGAAAGTTGCAATAACACCAAATTCACCTCTTTTTTTTCCTTTTAAATGAGACTAATAAAAGTTGTCTTTGTTACGTTTAGACAATATTGCGTCCAAATTTACACTTGTGTGTGTGTGTGTGTATAAAGTATTTGTTAATAATGGTTAGAATTCTTTTTTTGTTGCGTCATTGTGGTATTTGCGATCGAGCTCGTGTTATGTCCATGTATAAAATACATTGCGAGAACGTTTAATAATCATAATACTAATGCAAGGTAGAGTAATTTACAGAGAAAAAGTAAAATCCTAATTTTATACTATAAATAAGTATTATGAAGGTGAATCACAAATTGTAATTACACAGGATGTTTTGCAAATATCATTTACATACGAAAGGGGGCATAATTTGGAATATTCCATGTGTGTAATTTTATGTAAACATAGGCGTATCGAAAAAAAATTCAATAGGGTTGTTAAAAATAACTTGTACATTTTCAATCTATGAACCTATTAAATAGTATCTATAAAGATTAATAAAATATATCGTTTAATGCATTACTCTTCCAAAGTAATAAATTATTGGATAAAAAGCGATTTTTAATTTTATTATATCCTTTAAGTAACTATTTTATACCACTGGCACCACTGGGCACCATATTCAAGTCACTTTATCTAGAAAAGGGCCGCCTATTGTTATACACCCTGTATACAGAGTGGCACTACTAATTAAATTTTGCAATTAAATTTTTTTGAGTTTTTATGATTTTTTGATTTTGATGGCGAACCGAGTATAGTCAATTAAATTTTATTTATCATTGATTAGAGGAATGACAGACGAACGGTATTTGTTCGTGTGCGGTTTGTGGTCAATTACCCGTTCACAAAAAAAAGAGAATAAAAAAATCTGCTCAATTCGTTGACCAAAATTGAGGTCGTTCATCTTTTATATATTGTCCTCGAATGTACTATGTACAATTCGTGCGACAAAACTCTTTTATACGTAATATAATAATAGGCGAAAAACGGGATTATGTGGTATATAGGATGTTATACAATATACAGGGTGTCCCAATGAAAAGTAGCCCTGTTAATGAGCTAATAATTTTTAAACGCCTAATCATAAAACATGTGATTTTCGCAGATATATTTTGTTTTGCTATAACTTTTTGTTACGGCGACACAAAAATTTTGTATCGCCTGTATATGGTCTTTCCCAGTGAATTTCAAATTCACAAGTTACTGTGAATTTAAAAGAATAGATTTTGATAGACCTCCCTGTATTGGTAATGCATAATTTTTGTATTACTGTATAACAAAACTTCTAATAAAATAAAAGAAAACCGCAAGTTTTTATGATTAGACGTTTTAAAATTATAAGCCTATTAAAGGGGCTACTTCTCATTGGGACACCCCTGTATAATAATAGGCGAAAAATGAGATTATATGGTATTGTAGGATGTTTAGCAATACATTTGTGTCATCGCAATTTCTATAATAAAAACGAAACGCCCGCTGTATTCAATTTAATTCCCTTTCGATTGTCGTTAAATGTGTACTACGTAGTACGTATAGGTCGATTCGTTTTCAACAAAACGTGGAAACCTCGCCCTTTCGTTTCCACATAAAAATCATGTAAATGAATCATTTTTCGACCCCTTTATTATTCCACCCCTTCACTTCCTGCTTGAATAACTAATTAGGGATATTAAATTTTCCGTTGCAGCGTACGAAAAAAAAACGGTTTTTCTACGGAATATTATACAGGACGGTTAAAACTGTAAACCCATATACAGGATGTCCCGTTTAAGAAAACTAAAAAGTCAGTTTTCTCGATTTTATATTGAGTGTTTATACTCAATTCGCCATCAGGAGATAGTATATTAAAATCTAATTTTTTTATATGCAAGAGATCATGAGTGACTCAACGAAAAAAAATCGTAAAATTCCAAATTTGTAAGGCTTCTACCATTGAGTAATAATAAAATAGTTATTTCACATTAGTAGTGACACTCCTGTATACAGGGTGTATATGTACAATAGTCGAACCTTTTCTATTACCAGATAAAGTGATCTGAAGATGGTGCACTTGAGTACCCAGTATAGTGCTTCTGGTATCAATTCTGGTAGTGGTATTAAATATACAGGGTGTCGCAAAAATGTTGGGACGAAAAGAAAATTTAGTCTTTCTCCTGGGATATTAAAAGAATTTAATATGATTAAAAATTGTTACTTGCATTAATACTTAAATCGGCACGGTTTTATTACAATAGTATGTCCTGATAGCGAATAAAGTATCTATATGTATGTATATAGTAGGTACTTTATTTTCATGTACTTTTAACAGACCGTCATCGCGTGACACTCTGTATATACGATATATCTAATTCCACCTTTGTCTCGATCGAATGTGGGTTAAACGTTTATGAACTAAAAAAAAGGAAAAACTTTTCAAAGAAAGCGGTTTTATGATAATTGTGAGAATTGAATAATCCACAAACCTACTTTATACATATACATACAGGGTGTCCAGAAAGTATATGTCAATTATTCGGGAGCATATTGTTGATACCAAATAATTTCATGTAAATTTTGTCCATATTAGAGCCCTTATCATCTCAATGAAAAAATTAAAATTTCTCTTAAACCGTTAATTTTATCGACTTCAAACAAGAGTACATTTTTGTTAGTTTATCAATTAAAGAATGTATTTACGATATGTTTGCCTTATACAGATTGTCCCTATAAAGGCTACGAATCGTTAATCACCGGGAACCCGTCGCCACAGTCTTCTAGGGAGTAGTGTAGGATTCATTTCATGACCAATTTGGGAACACCAGTGTAGATAAAAAACCACAAAAATTTGATATTGTTCCCATGTACAATTTGGAAATAAAACATAAAAATAAGTTTTATATTTTCAATTTTAAAGGTCTCTAGCTCAAATAAACAATATTTATTTATATGAAGTTGTATCCTTATTTTGATCTCATCAATACGCTCCCGAATATACCACTCTAGTACCTAGTATACATAGTATTGTACCTGTACCAGTTTCCAATGTTTCCCTATTGTAGAGGCTAATTTTTTTAATTAATTACACGACAATAAACTACAAAATTGATAGTAAATAACAGTGAAATACAATACCCTGTGCACGGAGTGATCGTGCTCTTGGTCGTGGTGCTGGTGCTGGGCGAAGACCGAAGAAGCGGCGAAAACCACCAGCAACAACGTCACCTTTTCCATTATTCTTTATTTTAATCTTTTTAAAACGAAATTTCGCAAGCGAAGATGCACTGAAATCGATGCACTTTGCGCGAATTTAACAAACAAAACTTCCGTTTTATTTTATGCAAATTTGTAAATAATAAATAGCGTTTAACTAACCAGTCCTTTCGATATTAAACGCTGGCCGGTAACTGTTAAAACGTAACGTACATTCGTAAAACGGATTTAATTGTGCGTTAAGTAGAAAGGAGAAGGAGAAACGGAACGGCCTCTCCTCTCTTGTACCTCGTACAATGTAGCTTGGCTGTTGAAAAATGCATTAGAGGCAAAAAAGGTGAAGAATTTACATACATTTGAATACAGTGGCGGCGAATAGGTAAATTTTTACCTGGTTTGTAATGTACTTGCGCGAAACGCGGTAATTTGCTAACGTTTGGAAAACAGGGGCGTACCGTTTTTTCTTCAAACATATTTAATTCAAACCCCGTACAAACGTCACTGGTAAAAATTAAAAAAAAAATTGCCTCAAAAAATGCACCTTAATAATTGAAAAGTGTGTACAAAATTCCACAAAAATATCTGGAGTAATAAGAAAATTATGATAGGAAAGAGATTAGTTTTTTCTAAAACTGTAACACCCTGTAGTTCGAAAACTAAGAGATTTAGGACATATAATGATATAATTTTTTCTTCTTAAAATCAACCGAATATTTCCATCCTGAAGTATCAATTAATTTATAACACCCTGTATTTCTTTATCAATGCAAGTGCCAAGCTAGATTTGGTGAGGTATGCTCGGTTCGTTAGCGCCCCTGGACGGTTGAAATCTTAACTTAACGGCTCGTTTTGTCCGCGGACAATCGCTAGAAGAGTAGGGAAGGGCGAAAGGGACGGCGTTTTTGCGCAAGCGCGACTTGAATATCGGGTCAGTGGAGAAGCGGACGAGGATGAGTAGACGAGAGATGAGAAGAGAAGGATGCTGAGAATCGATAAATCGTCCCGAAATGGAAATGTATATTTTTCTAAAAAAGGGTCAATAGGAAAATGTTTTAATCAACTATAACTATCATTTGAGCTCTCGGTACAATTCGCCCCCACCTGTTAAATTTACCAATGCGCATCCTACAACACAGAAATCCCAAGAGTTGAGCTGAATTTGCTGAGGTGTAACTAGTTTTAGTCAGTTCTAAAATGGCCCTAAATAATGCTGGACACTTATCCTGAAGTAGATTTATAATTGTAAGTTCAAAATGATCAAAACTATCTTAGAACTATTTAGTACTGTTCAAAATCACTTAGATAATTGTCCAGAATCATTTTGAACCATTTTTGAGTTGATTACTATTCCTTTAAAATAGTTCAAAACTATCTTAGAACTGTTCAGTACTGTTCAAAATCGCTTAGATAATTGTCCAGAATCTTTTTGAACCATATTAGAAATGAATTAGGGCCATTTGAAACAGCTCAGTGCGATCAAATTGTAAGAGCTACTCTACTCTAAGAACTACACTCTACCCTACTCTAACCTACTCTACTTCACTTTACTCCACTCTATTGTAAGGATACGAAACAAGAATTCATAAAATGTGATTTTTTTTCACATTTTTTACTTACTGTATAATATCCTGTGATAACTTTGTCACCACCACAAATTAACAACCGCAGTGCATTTTACATAAATAACACACCATTTTCCTTTCTCCTTAGGATGGAAAATTCTCTGAAAAAACTCCTTTTCTTTCGCTACATTTGGAATTCTTTGGACTAATGGCTTTCGAACAGCCGGGAAAAATTATTAATGAATAAAGTGGAAATTAAAACTACAATTATCAATAATACAAAAAAATGTTATTAGCACTTAATTATTTACAATTACAGTTATATAATATTTTTATATAATACTTATATACATTTATACATGTTCAAAAGTTAAAAGTCTTACGTTTAATAAAAATTTAACTGTGTATAATTTTTTGTCTTTATTGAAATAATTTGAGATCCTACCTACATCTTACTTTCCCATTTGCACCGTTCCCTTTTCTTTTTAGAGAGAATAAGTGAGAAACAGAGATGTAGGTAATAATACAGGGTGTTTCATAGAAAAAAAAAACGAAAAAAATAAATTTTAACCAACACCTTGTATATTTAGTAAAATATGAATATTTGGCGGTCCCCAACCTATCATTAAAATATTGACCATTCCTTATGAAACACCGTGTATAAAAATAACAATAACGTTAATCTAGATTATAATCTAGAATATAAATACGAGTATTAAAAAATGTCATTTCTTCACAGACAATCTAAATCACATTTTAACGGTTTTTTTTTCTAATTTTCTAATTTTTTAAGCAAAAAAATCCCCGGGAATTGTTTTATAAACATACTCCTCTAATCAATGGAGAAAAATTCGCTTGGTGAGTTATCTAATCAATTTTATAAATATTATTTATTCCAATCCATCCCGTTCTACTAGATATGTCCAGTAAGTATGTTCTGTTTGGCAATTTAAAAAAAATCATGTATATAGGTTGATGAATCTTTTCTTATAACCAAATGGTTTTGTAACCAACGATTATATATTCTTCTTAGAAATAAAAGGCATTGTCTTCAATATTCTAAACAGTTTTAAATGATTCTGGAGCGTTCTAAATGGTTCTCTAGACTGTTTTAGACAAAAAACTTAACCTCATCTTCATCTTGTTCAAATAAGATTGAAATAAGCAACGTTGCCATGTTTAAAATTTGGAAATATAGGTATAAACGTTGGTTATGCCATACAATTATAAAAAAAGACTTCTGAATACGGAAGGTTAGAATTGATTAATTTTCAAATCTTATGCACTTATAAACGCACTATAAATTACTCTCTGAAACCTTACTTAACTTCTGGACACACCTAGTAGTATATGTTTTGTTCTAATTATTATGTTAAATGGGCGCAACAATTCCCATTGGTTTGATTGCACTTGGGTTCGAATACGCTCATTATATGGACGTTACGCGAATGATCTTCGATCAAAAACGAATTGAAATCCTTGGAAGACCAAATGTTTTTCGCCTTGTCCTTTAACTTGATCACCGATAAAAGGCATCCTTCTAATGGTGTGCGATTGCACCAAATCGATATCGAATTGCTCTTCTTTCTAGAAACCAAAAAAATATATAAAAAATGATTATTATTATTACACTCTGATGCTCAGAACATATTCGGAACAAACCAACTGATATTTTTAGCGATCTTTAATAATTTACCTTAATTGTACGTCGAAATTATTTTTTTCATCGCGCATCCTCAAATTCCAAAAAGCGATTTCATCGGCCAAACTGATCAGAATCGGTTCATCGAATGGGGCAAACATCAATTGCTCTACTGGATATTCGTGGATGTTCAACAGGGCCAGTTGATGGTTCTTTATTAAATCGTGTACCTAAAATAAAATCAATTTTATTTGTGTTAATGGTACAATAATGTACTACTGAATAAGGGTGTTCAAATACTTACAGATGTCCCAATACTGCGGTAAAAGCTCATTTAATACCTAATCTAGTTATCAAAGTAACTAATTTTGCCGCACTATTGGGACACTCTGTAGATAGACATGGAAAAAAGCTCAAACTATATTAAAAACTAAACAATTTTCGATAATAATTTTCTATCCAATATCTTACACAATTTTTCTACAAAATAAACCATCTAACTCGATAAAAATTATTCGATAAAGAGATTTTACTTACTCGTATCAAACCGGTATTCGTCCCCACAGCCAATAAATCTCCTTTAGCAGAAAATTTCAGGCATCTTATTTTCTCATCGAACGTTCTAATGCGATTTCTTTCGATCGAAACGCTTTCATCGATATCCAATTCAAACACTTTACAATAACTCGCATTCTCCTTGTACGTACAAACTAACGATTGCCTTACGCAATAATCGCACAGTAAGAGCCTCTCCTCCTCGTCATCGTTCGAGTTTCTTCGCGAATCCTCGACATCCTTCGGTATCGCTCGCACGAAATCGCAGCTATCCACGTTCCAAACGTACACGTGGCCTTTTACGTCGATTACAACCAGCAAATTATCCCGATTGAAAGCCACCGGTTTCGAAATCTTTGCCGTGCAAATCGTCCCGTCGTTGTAAACGAACATGTTATCGTCGTCGAACGTTCCTACGATGACTCCGAGGTTAAAATCCTCGTCGATTCCTCGGTATATGTCGAAGCATTTCAACGAATTGATCGGAACTAATTGCGGTAGATCGAATAGATTCTTCGTGGTTTTGAGCCGTAGATCGAACGTACCGATTTGTCCGGTGCTCGAGCCGTATATGACGAAGTTGCCGTTCGACGAGAAGCACGTGCACGTGATTTCCGATGGAATGGATTCGCTTTCCGATATCAGACTGTAGCCGTTGCACACCTGGAAAAATTGCACAATAAAATTATACAGAGTGTTACTAAACATCGTGCACATGCGAAAGGGGATGATTTCTTGGCTTATTTCATGACTAAATAAAGGTTTATATAAACATACACACACTCAAAAATGTTTTGCTTATTATATATGAAGTTGAAATGCCACTGGCTATTTATTATTTGAAAAGTCTTTTGTTAAATTGTTTTTATCATATTATGATTTATCATGCATTGAAACACCTGTCTTCAAATTTTCACTTCTGTACGTACAAAATCTTTTAAACTACTTCAAATCATTTTTTATTTTAACTTTGATACTATGTATTCTTTTTTATTTTCAATATTTTACTAAAGCAAGTACTTAAACGCCCTGCAAATAGACCATGAAAACTCAGTTTAGTTTCATTTATTACTGTGTCTAGACATTATCGATTCCAAATTTCAAACTTCTATGTGCATTATTACCAGAGATATGATAGAAAAGGCATTCGACCGTTTTCTAAAACAAAATTTAATAACTCAAAAGTAGCGCATTTTTGACATATGGTTCTATTATCAAAGTTTAGTTAAAAAGGGTCACAGATTCCAAAAATGAATACAAAAATGGTACTATCCATTTGGAATAACGAAGTTGACATCTACTGGTTGAAAATATTTTAGAAAAACTCACAACATTGATTATCCGTTACTCCTAAATTTTCAGATTTCTAACTATTCGGGAATTTTTATAAGTTCTAATGGAGGGTTTCAACATCGCGGCTGTATAGTGTGTAGTTAGTTACCTTTAAAGTTCTTTCGTTGGTAACGGAAACCGTCAACGGGGATTTGCTGCGGAAAAACGGCGTAAAGGCCGGTATTTTACGCGAGTTTCTCGCGAAATATTCCGGCTGTATGTTGCATTGTTCGACGATCTTCTTATCGGATCCCACTAGGAGTATATGCACCGATTTGTCGTCGTTGTAGAACAAATCCAAAAATACGGCCTTACTAAAAATGAAAAAAAAAATCTACAGATTAATATGTATAAGAAACTAATTTGTAGTTTTTTATTACAAATTGTTAGAGATAAAGAGAGATTATAGCGATAAACAAAAGTCTAAAAAATTGTATCCTATAATATGCAATTTAACAGTAAAAAGTGCGCTGAATACAGGCCTGGGAAGTTACCGTAAGAATACATACAGTACAGGGTGTTTTTTAATAACATGCTAATACTGAAGGGGGTGTATCTTGGAGCCATTTTAAGAAAAAAAAACTTCGTATGGACATATGAAATATGACATATGACAAGAAATCGAATTTGTTCTAAATTGAATGGGGCCTCCAAAAATAATTTTTATTTCTTGAGAAAGTAGTGGCGTACCACTTTTACCCTCAAAAATATTTGGCCCGAGTCCAGTACGGACGCCACTGTTGGAAATTAAAAATATTTTTTAGGTAAAAAAATGTCCTTTAACGCATAAACGTCGTACACCAAATTTCATAAAAATATTAAGCGGCATGGAAATGACAGTAAAAAAATGTTTTTTTTTAAACTTTAACACCCTATATCTCAAATGTTAAGACGTTTAGGACATAGGTTCATATGAAGTTTTTTTCTTAAAGTGAGCCCGAGAATCATACCCCTTCAGTATTAGCACGTTATTAAAAAAAACCACCCTGTATATTAAATATACTTTACCCGTTACTGATGAACTCCCTCAAGATCTTGTCCTCTTCGAGATCGTAAATGTAAATGCTATTCTGATTCGTACTGACGACCAAATACTTTTCGTCTTCGGTCAAAACCGAACAAACGTTCTCTTTACCGTCGACGTCGTTCCGGAAAATCTCGCTTTTCACCTTGCGTTTCCATCGATTCACGTTCGTATCGGACACCGTGATGATTTTCTCGCCGCATTCGAACACCGATCTGCACGTTCTATCGTTGTGCAACTGATAGCGGTACTTGCAACCGGTGGCCGTCACGTAAAAGGCCAACACGCTGCTTTGGCAACTGAACATTATGGAATCCTTATCTGCGAAACGACAAATTTAAATTTATAACGATGGTATACAGGGTGTTCTTAAACATCGTGCACATCCGAAAGTGGGCAAATATTTTGTTCATTTCATGACTAAAAGTTCACATACACATACAGTTGGTGCAAAACAAAAGTTTTCTCAGAAATTACACTGTGTAGGTACTCTTTTAAGGGTCAATTGCACATTAAATTTTTTACTCGCACTTTCAAATATATTTGAGGTAATAAAGGAGTTTCTTGATTAATTATAGTGAGTCCTTGAATAAGTCCGCCGTTTAGAAACGTGAAACTGGTACCCATAATTTTCAATTTGTTCTCGTCATTTTGTCATTAGAAAATTCGTATATTATGTAAACTCTATAAAAGTTCGGCAACACTGCCTACTTGTGACATAGTAAATTATAGGTGACGTGCATTGACATTTGTTTTGCACCGACTGTATACAGATTGCTCTATTGTTCATTGCAACATAGGCTGGGGGTGCAACAAAGACAACTTCAATTAGAAACCTATAAAGGAAAAAGAAAGAATGATATTTTGTGTCACTGCAACTTTTCACTCTGACAACTGTTATTTTAATAATCTTTCTTTGTTCAACTAATAGAAATGCCCATGTTGCAATCGCGAATGAAGCACAGTGTATATTTATTTGCGATAAAATGAAACTTACGATAGGACAAACAGGAAGCCTCCGATCCCCTGGGTCCGGTGTTGCAAACGGTTTTGCCGGACTGTACGTCCCAAATCCAAACGTCACCTTTATCGGTTCCGGTAGCAATTCGATCGGTTTCGGGGAAATTCTTACAAAACACGGCCGACGTAATTTTCTCGTCGTTTTTCAAACGGAACGTCCTGTAGGGAAATTCGCATTTGTCCGACGTGTACATGTCTTTCCAATTCAATTGCATCAATTTCGAAGATTCTAAAAAATATTAAAAAAATGGATAAGGCGTAAAGCGTGCATTATATACAGAGTGGATAAGCCAAAAAATGCATATCGAGTATTACGAAAGATGTTTCCTTAGTTCTGGGAATTATGCTCTAATTAAACTACGCAGAACTTATACAGACAATGTTATTGGTGACAGATAAGTCTTGAGATGTTTATACAACTGTCCAGTACAACATTGTTCACTCTGTTTTAGGCGTTCGAATGAAATATACTTGTTTTTTATGCACTCTTTTTGAGGAACAACAAAAGGAAAATATTATTGCTAAACAACCCCACTTTATTCTGAATCTACTCTACTTTACTCTTCTCTTCTCTGAATATACTCTACTCTTGTCTTCTCTAAATCTACTCTACTCTTCTCTGAATCTACTCTTCGGTTCTCTGAATCTACCCTACTCTGCTCTGAATATGTTGCACCCGATAGTAGCAAAAACCTAAATTCTGCTTAATTGAATTAGAGCACAATTCCCTAAGTACTTTGGAAACGTCCCTCGTAAATTAGAATCAAATTTTGGTAATATATTATTATACTAACGTGGATCGTTGAAGCTCGCCCGCTTCTTTTTGTTCCCGACGGGCAAATTGAACAAATTCACCGTACCGTCTTCGGTTAGAGACAAAAATGCACTTCTGTTGGGGCTCACCGTCAGATTTTTCACCGGTTTCTCCTGTCGTTGGAAATTCGCCAGCACTTTTTGATCGTACAGCAGCTGAAACGAAATTCGAATTCAATCGGAAAATTATTTAAAAAAGTTAATACAAGGTAAAATTCTTGTCGACAATTAAGTGTTTTAATTTTATCCCTAATGCCAAATGGTTTCATAATGCATACTCAACTCTGCTCTACTCGACCCTACCCAACTCTGCTCTACCCTACCCAACTCTGCTCTACCCTATCCTACTCTGCTTCACGCTACTTAACTCTGCTCTACCCTACTCAAAAAATATTTTAAAGCGTTTGCTAAACTTGAAAAATGGTACAATTGAACTAATTTTGGTATATTAAAAAAAATTATGGCGTTTAAACTTATCTACGACCTTGTGATTTATAAGTTAAAAAACTGAAATTTCTCTTATAGTCAAAATATATCGCAAACTAAAATGAATCAAACGTACTTTTATCCTTCCATCTTCGGTACCGACGAGAATCGTCTCCGGCGAATCTACGAAACAAGCCGATGTGATATCATCGCCGATTCTAATTTTACAATAGTCCAATTCTCCGAAAGGTCTCCTAAAAAACAAAAATTATCTCGTACATACCGGGTGTCCCAACGAAAAGTAGCCCCATTTAATCGGCTCGCCTAATTATAAGAACATTGTAAGCCGATTAAACGGGCTACTTTTCATCGGGACTTGGCCCACCCTGTACTTACAACAGTTGAAAATAAAGGTGACTAGATTCGTTGGCCAATTTCAAGGCACTCCTGTATATTTGGCTCGTTTTCGATTCGCCCAAAGCGCACTGGACGATGCTCATTTTGTTGTATGTAAACAACATGGCGCCGCATCTTTGAATGAAGCTTTTGTATTCTTCGAGTTTCTGTTTGACGGACGTTTCCTACAAACAAAATTAAACACTCTAGTCTCTATAGATTCTATAGACTCTGTAGTCCATATGTATTTATGAAAATGAAGTGTCTACTTTGGAGTAAAAGGTAGAAGGAAAAGGTAAGTGGAAAAGGTTTCGTTTTGATCCGGATATCAGATCAGAAACTGATCCAAATTTAATCAGTTCTAAATGATTCTGGGGCGCTCTGGATTGATCTAGACAGTTCTAAATGAGTCTATACAGTTTTAAGATTATTTTGGAGCGTTTTGGATTGATCTAGACAGTTCTAAAAGATTCTGGGGCGATCTGGATTAATCTAGACAGTTCTAAATGACTCTAGACAGTTTTAAGATTATTTTGGAGCGTTTTGGATTAATCTAGACAGTTCTAAATGATTCTAAACGGTTTTAAATGATTCTGGAGCGTTCTAGATTGATCTATACAGTTTTAAAATATTCTAGACCGTTCTAAATGATTCTGGAACGTTCTAAATGGTTTAAGATGGTTCTAAATGATTCTGGAGCTTTCTAGATCGATCTAGCCAATTCCAAATGATTCTAGACAGTTCTAAATGATTCTGGAGTGTTTTGGAATTATGTAGACAGTTCTAAATGATTGTAGATAATTCTAGATGATACCGGAGCGTTCTAAATGGTTATCGAAAAGGTAATGAGGGATCAAAACTTAGAAGGAAGAAAAATTAACAACACTTACCCCTTTACATATGAACTCCTCGTATTCGGTCATGTCTCTGAGCACGTCCTCTTTGCCGACGGCTTTCAATTTCAATTCCAAAAATCCCAAATCGAAATAAACGTCGAATTTTTGGAATTCCTCCGCTTGGTACAAATGATGGCCGATGAATTGTAACGTGTAATTGTCGTTGGGTAATTCGGCGTAATTTTTATTCGTCAATCTATCGTAACCGGCTATCAGTTTCTTGTGTATGAACCTGATAGTATTGGCCGTTTTCCGTTTGAGATAGGCCAGGTAAATGTTGTGGATTCCTGTACAAAATAATACAAATATGTATACAGGGTGTTAATTAATTCAGTGCCGATACTTCAGGATGTAAATATTTAGATGATTTTAAGAAGAAAGGTTTATATCGATGATATGTCCTAAATCTGTTAGTTTTCGAGCTACAGAATGTTGCAGTTTTAGGAAAAACAAATAACTTTTCTATCATAATTTTCTCATTAAGACATTTAAGACAGTTCTAGATGATTCTGGGGCGTTCTAAATGGTTCTAATCAGTTCTAAATGACTTTAAGCCGTTCTAAATTGTTCTGGAAATTTGAAATGCCATAATGAAGAGTTCTGAATCATTCTAGAACGCTTGTTCAGAAAGCGTTCTGAACTGTTCTTAATGATTCTGGAACGTTACAAATGATTCTAGACAGTTCTAAATGGTTCTAGAGCTAGAGGGTTTTAAATGATTCTACACTGTTTTAAATGATTCTAGACACTTAAAACTTTTTTCTTCAAAAGGTTGTGGATAGTTTTTAAATGGTTCTGGAGCCTTCTAAATGATTCAAGACATTAAAGGATATACGTTTTCCCATTTAAAAATACCCCGAAGCGGCGCTCTTAAGTGATTATTAAACAAAACCAAATAATAGTAAATAAAAATCTGAATAATTTACCGTAGATGTAAGTTTTGATGTTTTCGTGGAAAAACCTAACGACCAGCGACTTTTCCGCCAACACGTTCATGATGTTCCGCACTTCGTTGAGATTCTTATCCCACAATATGGCCAATACTTGGGGCGGAATGTTGACATCCGTTTCGAATATGGCCAGATCGTGATAGAAATCCTTCATGTTACCGTTGTTGTCCGATAGCAAATTATCGACGCATTGCTCGATTATACCGATGACGTCCAGCGTATCGCAACTGTACTCGTTCAATCTACGGTAATATATCGATTATTAATTATCGTTTTAATTAGTCCGTATTTTTTATGAAAGAGAAGCGTTTACTTTGAGGTAAAAGGTAGAAGGAAAAGGTTTTGCTCTGTTCCATTTTCATAAACTCTTCGCCTTTTCCTTGCTAGGATAAATGGCACAGAGATGGTATTCTAAAGCGTTCTAAATGATTTTAGATAGTTATAGGTGATTCTAGTGCGTTCTAAATGGTTCTAGACAGTTCTAGGTGATTCTTGAGCGTTCTATTCTAAATGGTTTTAGAAAGTTCTAGAATAGATGATTCTGGAGCGTTCTGAATGTGAAAAGATGCGATGAACCTAGATTAAATTTTTACTTTTTCTGTTTTTTACTTTTTCCGTATTATTTCAACTTTTTTCATGTTTTGCGTTTTTCCATGTTTTTCGACGTTTTCCATGTTTTTTCCACTTTTTCAGGTTTTTCAATTTTTAGATTTTTTTTTTGACATTTTTCATTTTCTTGTCTTGTCTATTTTTTTCTTGTCATTCCACTTATGTTCTAGCGCTTTTTTCATGTTATTCAATTTTTTCATGTTTTTCGGCGTTTCCCTTGTTTTTTTAATATATTTTTCAATTCTGTCTATTCTTTCCATATTTTTAAATAATTAAGTTTAGAATAAGGAATTTCCAATTTTAGGAAATAAATCATCGGAAAATGCATAAAATACGCTAAATATGCAAATTGCATATTTGCCCTTTCATAACTTATGCTTCTTTCTATAAAATACGGGCTCATATCGATCTATCGACTGATTTATTAGCTCAGCGAATTATTTATTACCTGTAATTTCCGTTGGAAAACAAATCGATCATGTGCGTCCAAATGGCATTATCTCCGAAGGCGGTGGCGTTTTCATTCAAATAGGAACCGATCAGAGAAATGAGCAAAGGGTGCCCTTGGCAGATTTCGTGTATCACCGATGCCTCCGGCGGTAAATCGATATTATCGCCGGACATTCTCAGTGATTTTTTGAACAACGATAACGATTCGGACAGGTCGAAGCCGCTTTCCACCTATAAAAAATAACATTCATTACTGTAAGGAAGTGACAAATATGTGAATAAAATGACGAAACATGCGCATAAATATTCCGATAATAATACGTTAATAATATACAAGTAAAATAATTAAATGCATGCATCCTTGTTGGATGTTTTTTCACTTTTTTATAATTCCTCACATTTTCCAGGTTTTCCATTTTTTGCACGTTTTTTCCTTTTTCATGTTTTTTCACCTTTTCCATGTTTTTCCAATTTTTTCACGTTTTTCCAATGCTTTTCCAAACATGGAAAAAGTGAAAAATCATGAAAAAGAGAAAAAACATGCAAGAAATGGAAAACATGGAATAAGCGAGAAAACATTGGAAAAGTAGAAAAACATGAAAAAAGTGAAAAAAATATAGAAAAAAAATATTTTAATAAAAATGGGAAAACAGAAAAAAGTGGAAAAACGTAAATAAAACGGAAAACATGAAAAGTGAAAAAACGTTGATTTTATTTCCATATTTGCCTTTCTCTAATTACGATTATCCTTTAAACAAGAGCATTCATCCATCAGTATTAATCAGCCTACTAATTATTATAATATGTATTAATTGTACATACCTTTATGGGAATGATATCGTATCGATTGCAAATGGTCAAATCTTGCGTGGTAATAACAGTTCTGCATTTTAAATCGAACAGATCCAAAATGTGCCTGTTTCGAACGTCGTCTAAAACTATCAGTGCTTTGTTCAGTCTTTCATCGGTAAATAGAAGGGTCAGTTCGTGTTTTAATTCATCTAAATCGGACGGGTAATGAGAAACGGTCTTATCCAGTACCGAACCCACTCGTTTGAATAATCTACAAATAATTACAGAAAATAAATACAGAAAATATGCACTAAAAACCTTCTAATGGATTCCAGAGCGTTCTATAGGATTCTAGACAGTTCTATATCACTCTGGAGCATTCTAAATCGTTTTAGACAGTTCTAATTGATTATGGGAGCATTCTAAATTATTCCAGACTATTCTAAACGATTCTGAACGTGTTTTAACACTGCAGAAACTTTAAGAATAATCTAGAACCATTTATAACGATACATGATGATTTAGAACTGCTCCAGGGTCATTTAAAACAGTCTAAAACGATTTAGAACTGCTCCAGAGTAATTTAGAACTGTCTAAAAACCCATTTAGAACTGTCTAAACCCATTTAGAACGCTCCAGAATAATTTAGAACTGTCTAAACCCATTTAGAATGCTCCAGAATCATTTATAACTGTCTAAAACGATTTAACATAACATATAGAATGTGTTTCTCATTCAATGTACATTCTGGACAATTATCTAAATCTCTATCTTACTATATCTAATTCACTTACTTGCACATAAGAGGCTTAAGCAAATCCTCCTTTTTCGTATACTCTCCTAGATTAACCCAAAACACTTTGTTCTGGAACAGAGCCAAAATCTCCACGTCGTTGAGCACCCGATTGACGAGCGACGATTTCCCGTAACCCATCATACCGTGTATCACCAATTTTCTACCTTCTTCCAATCGTTGCAAATTCATCGACACTTCTTCAATCTACCCACGAAAATGATCATATTAAACATTATCCAAATATAATCGAGTGATATTTAATTACCAATTTATACCAGTCCTTTCGCACGGAGAGAGAAACAAAAAATTGTACGAAATTATCAATTAAATCGATTATATTCATACAGCAAAGTTTACTCTAAACTTACTGAAACTTACTCTAACTTACCAAAGATTTCCTGGTGACGTAATAAGGCGGCAACGACGGGAATTCCCCGACGACCAAAGTCCTGCGTAACCGTTCGTTATCCTCGATGGCCTTGTCATGATGGGGATGCAGCCTGCGCAGCTCGTCCAGCACGCCTTCTAGATTCTCCTTGCGGCGGATTTTGTAGTTCAAAGCTACAATGCGATCGCGTTGGCTCTGGAATGACGGAACGAATTAGTAGAAGTTATTCGAGCGATTCGAGTGGAAATAAACACCTTCGAATAGACCTCTTTGTAGTCGTTGGCATCGATGTATTTGCGCGAATAGAGGAAATCAACGAACGTGTCGAAATCCACGACGTCCCTGTATTGGTTTATTCGCGAATATAAAGAGTTTTCCGATGTATCGACGAGAGAAGGTTTCATGGTTATGGTGATGCAAAATGCGAACAAAGGATTTGTTATGGAGATTATTGATGATAAAGCGCCTTGATAGAATTCGTTAATGGTATAAAAAACAACAATAAATAAAGCATAATAGAATTAAAAAGAAATTACAGTATACAACACAAACGAAAACTAATCTAAACTTGTTTGAACCTATTCTTTATTAAATCATTTGTCATTTGTCACTTTTGACATTTGTGACGTCATATATGTCAAATTATTACTTCTGTTTTGGAGAGGCCTTTTACGGTGGTAAGTAAGAGCAACTTTTTTGTTAAATATGCCCAAAATGCAGTTTTCTTCATAGAAAAAAGATGAGATAAAAATTGATAAAAATATATCTTTTTATACACTGTGCTTCATTCCAGATCGTGTCATTGCTACTATTCTCTCTGATAACTGTTATTTTATTATTTTCTCTTTGTTCAACTCATAGAAACGACCTGTTACGGTCTGAATTGAAGCAATATGTATATATTCTTATTTATTTCTAATTTATCTTTTTTTTTTCTTATTCGCCCTTCATCACGAATAACAAACAAGCAAACTTTTAGGTTCTATTTAATTTATTTTAAGGGACTGAAAAACACAACAAAAATTATGCTTAGAACGTGTATTTAAAACCAACATTTTACTAATTCCTCTCACCAATCCTCTTATACATTACCTACGCTATTCAATCAATGATTCTACTCAATGATTGAACGAAATTCAAACAGTTGGCGTCAACTGATAGGACACCGCCAGACTAGCCGATTGCTCGCCCAAATGCGGCGCATCGTTAGTCACGTAAATCCCCGCAATGTGATGATGCTCCAGCTCGAACGACGACACCCACCCGCTCGACCAGTAGTTACTCCCGCACGACGTGTACCTCCCGCCCACGAACCTAAACTCGAACATGTCCAACGCGTTCCTACCCCACACCGTCAGGCTCTTCAAGTACTCGCCCTGGAAGTCGATGGTGGTCGTCTCCGACGACTCCAGCCCGCACAGGTGCGACTCCCCGTTCTCGTACCACACCACCAGCCCTTGGATCCGCTGCTTGTCCCCGCGCAGCATCTGCACGACTATCTTGGTGATGCGATTGCGCCTGCCGTTGATCAGCTTCGGTTGCAGGGGCACCGGAACGTCGTCGGCCAACAGTTGCATGGCTAGCATGGGGGTGGGTCTGGCGTAGTGCGTGGAGTACGATATGACGGAGTTGTAGGGTTTCTCGGCGGTGAGCGGGTCGGCGAGTATGGCGCGCCAGAAGTCGATGAATTCGAAGCCGTTGATGGCGCAGTACTGCCTCACCACGGCCAGCGAGTTGAAGATGGTGTCCGGGTGGCAGGTGTTGTACTCCAGGTCGAATTGGGTCCTGTATATCTTCGTGATGTAGGCCACTGCGCCGTCGGTTTCCTCTTCAATTAATCTCTTCAGGTAGGATTTTATTTCGTAGATGTTGTCGTCGCTGAGGTTCAGCTTTTTCTGGTTCACGATGCCGAATTGGTAGAAGAGCACCTTCATGTTGACCACGGAGGAGTACATCGGTAAGAGGAAGTAGTTGACGTTTAGATAATTGGAGCTGTGTTGGGCGGTGAAACTGAATTTCTTCTCGAAACCGATGAGGTCCTCGGCTATGTGCATGTAATGCGTGTTGGTGTCCTTCGAGTTGGGATCGTCCATGCTCAGTTTCAGCACCGTGATTTTTTCCTTGAACGATCTAAAAAGCATTTAATAGAGTATCCAATGAACTGTAGAAAGAATGTACACATAAAAAGGGAATTTTTTTTACATTAGTAGAGTAAGTGCGCCAAATATGGACCGGTCTTATAATATGGACCACCGCCATTAAAAAATCATGCTTTATATCGAATGATCATCACATACTAAGCATCACTCCTCCCTGACCCATCTGTCGCTTGCAGTGATTCAGGATAAACGCATATATTTACGACAGCCTTTTTTAGTTTTCTATAAAGCGTGATCTAATTTTCTAGCGAACTTTGGAAGTTTTTTAATCCAAAAAATACTATCTTATGTGAAAGTGGATAAGACCACGAGGAAGGTGTTGCATTAAAATTTAAAATTCGGCTTTTTATTGAGAAAAGTGCTTATGGTGGTCCATATAATAATGACGCACTTCCTCTACATATTATCAACAAATTCAACTGGAAATTGCTTGTCAAACTATACCTGATATCACCACCGAGTATACCCTGTATGGCGTCCATTATCTTGGCTTCGATCAGGTTCCTCACCTGGTCCTTGACTTGGTCCCAAACGGTCGGTTGGTCGTCGGGCCAAAAGAAGTCCACCAAATTGCCTATGGTACCGCCCACGTACGGGATTTTACCCACGCCGAAATCTACCAACTTCTTTCCCACCTTGTTGATGTCGATTTTCAAGGGCACGTTGTTACCATCGTCCCAGCTGCGATAGTAACCTCCGGCGATTGCACAATGGACCAAAGCGCGTACGTCGCCACTGTATCAAACGATTTTTGAGCTTTCTAAATGATTCTATACAGTTTAAATGGTGAAGTGTTCTAAATAGTTCTAGACAGTTCTAACTGATGCTGGAGCTTTCTAAATTGTTCTAGACAGTTCTAAATGATTCTGAAGCGTTCTAAATTGATGTAGTCAGTTCTAAATGAATCTAGATAGTTCTAAATGATACTGGAGCGTTCTAAATGATTCTGAAGGATTCTAAATGATTCTGGAGCATTCTAAATGATTCTAGACAGTTCTAAATTACTCTGGAGCATGCCGCTCTCGCGCTAAGTAACTCAATGCTCAATAATTGTGACGTGTATTTTTTTTACTGTTCGCTTTTCTTACTGATTGATGACCTTCTGTCCGGTCCAGTAATACATCCTGCCACCAGTGGGGACTATTCCCTTCTCTCCCGGACCGAATGAATTGGCCGCGATGACGCCGATCCAGCTGAACGAAGTACCGTAGATCACCTGACAGGTGATCTCGGTCTTGCCGATGTTGTGGAAATAATAATCCGGATGAGTCGACGGGAATATCCCGGAATCCGACGAGGTGCACACGCTGTTCCCTTTGGCGGGGACGCCGTAACACGCGAAACTGAACACCATCGTAACCAATTGGTTAAAAAGCTCCAAAATAATTATTGTACGTTCGAAATTCGAATGAAACCGTTCGGGCGTTTCCAGCGATTAAATAGTTTATTTCTATATCCTGTTTGTACGGTGATTAGTTCGATCGAGGGAAATAAAATTGTTTTCAACCACAAAAAGTACGTTCACCCCGTGTTACGTCCGGTTATTTTTTACCATAGGTACTTACTTATCTTAATCAAATCATGGATAAGAAATAAAACATGTTGTGAGCGAACACGATTAAAACAATATCTAGTAAATGATAGTATAATTAATTAAAACAAAAATTATTTGTTGCTTGCGATGGTTTGGTTGATCCAATCGACGAAATTGGACACCTTGGTGAAGACGTTAGGAGCGTTGGACTTGCCGCAAGGACGAACGTGCCAAGTGACGGTACCAACGAGTACCCCGTCTTGGGACAGAGGTCCACCGTCGTCGCCGTGGCAATTGTTGGAGCGCTCGTTCAAGGTGCAAATGTTGTTGGTTGGATTTAAAGAAGATCCTTCGAGACCCGCGAGCGAGACGAGGACCTTGTTGCATTCTGCAATAAATACTCCAATATAGGCAGGGTTGTTAAGGATACTTTCCACCAAAAAGTATTTTTAATTACAAATACAAATACTTCTGTAAAAACGTATTTAAATAATATCTTAAATATTGGTAAATAAAAAGTATTTAATTACAAAATCAAATACTTTTGTAAAGTATTTAAATACCTAATAACTATAGGTATGGAAAAAAACGTTTAAAATAAAAGGTAACTTTGGTTCCTTTAATTTTACTGCTCGAGCAGTTATATAGGGTGTTAATTAATTGAATGCCGATACTTCAGGATGTGAATATTTGATTGATTTTAAGAAGAAAAGTTTATATCAATGTATGTCCTAAACCTCTTAGTTATCAAGCTGCAGGGTGCCAAAATTTTACAAAAAAAAAATAACTTTTCTATCATAATTTTCTTATTCGAATAGGTACTTACCTTCGTACGTTACGATTTTACGTCCGCTAACGTAACCGAGAACGTTATTATTAGGTATCAAGGTGTGTCCGTAACCCGACACTACGGCTGTTCCGTTAAATTCCTGTCCTTGCTTCGGCAACTTAACGGGCTGGCAATTTTTACCGAACGGTATAGGTTCCGTTAATTTGATCAAACCGATATCAGGACTGTAAAAAAATAAAAAAAAAATCGGTTCCGGAATGTTCTAATTGGTGTTAGACAGTTCTAAATGATTCTGGAGCTTACTAAATGGTTCTCGACAGTTCTAAATGACTCTCGAACGTTCAACATTGTTGTAGACAGGTCTGATTGATTATGGAGAGTTCTAATTGGTTTTAAACAGTTCTAAATGATGTTGGAGCTTTCTAAATGGTTCTAGATAGTTCTAATTGTTCTAAATTGTTACCTATTGGCATTTCCTTTGTAAGCAACCTTGGCTTTGATGTAGAAATAGGCCAGATTGTCGTCCAAATCCACGGTAGCCACGACAATTCTATCGGCCTTGTCGAGGCAACTAGATGCGGTTAGAATCCAGTTGGCGTTGATTATTACGCCCCCGCAGACGTGCCTGCATAGGGTAAGAGGACAGGATTGCACGGAAGCTTGAAACGGAAATTGGCCTTTTGCCGCCACAGTGGCTCCTTCGAGTCCCAAATTAGGGACGCTCGAAGCAGCTGAAATGAGAAAAATTTAGTGAATTTTATTACCATTTTAATCCATACGTTTACCAGAAATGGTTACTGCCGTTGCTAGTAGAATTAAAGAGAGTTTACCGGTGAACATTTTCGTTAAATTAGCGTTACAAAAGAGCTATCGAAGTGAATGAATAGGTAAGCAGGTTTTTTTTTGATATTTTTGTAGGTATCTTACGAATGAGATTAGATATTAGTATCGTACAATTTGATTTGAATATTTAAATTAGGATGGTTCGAAGGTAAAAGACTTTTATCCACTTATGGTAGATTGCCAACAACGAGATAACAAAAAACAATCGTTTAATCAACGCAAAGATAACATTATCAATTCATCACCCTTTAGTGCGTAATTACATAATTAAATATGCGTGAATATCCACTCAGATCAGGATCCACTCATACCAGAATCCACTTATACCAGGATCTACTCTACCAGCATCTACCAGTAGCTACTTCGAAGGGAAAATTTTGTCGTGGGAAAACGCTACAGCTGTCCTTGTAGCAATGGAAATACCGAGCATACAATAGCGATACAAGGATTGGTATTAGTGCACTGTCTTACCAAAAAGAAGAGTAGCGCAGAGATGCACCAGAATTCTGGTAGAGATCATCTTTAATTACTAGAGTACTACCACAAACATTGCATTTACTACAAGTATGAAGCCGAGTCCCTCGATGAAGGCCGCAGTCTTAACATCGCATTCAAATCGAATCGATTCCGCAATTCCTGTTACAGTAGGTACTAATCAAACAATTTCAAGTGCTACACAAAACGCAATCAATTTATTGATATATACAGAAAGGTACTAATCCTTCATGTTATCGTTGATCCAATCCACGAAGCTGGCCACCTGGGTGAACACGTTGGGCGCGCCTTGGGCCCCGCAGGGCTGCACGAACCACGTGCCGAGACCTATGACAGTGCCGTTTTGCACGAGAGGGCCACCCCCGTCTCCGTTGCAGCTGCTAGATTCGGTGTTCAGCGTGCACAGGTTGCTGGTCTCGTCCAGCGGCGAGGTCGCTTTGATCACGCTTTCCAACGCTCGTTCGCACTCTAGAAACGATACAAAATCGTAGCAACTGCTAGCTGCTAGAAGGTACTAAGACTTGCCTTTGAAGTCGACGAGTTGGAGCCCGTCGATGTAGGTGAGTTTGTTGAAATCGGGCAGGGCGATGTCACCGTAACCGGAGAATACTGCGGTACCGTTAAACTGTTCACCTTGCTTGGGCAGTTTAACCGGCTGGATGTCTTCGTTGAATTGTATCGGCTCCTCCAGCTGTATCAAGCCTATATCGTTCGGACCGAGCCTACGAAAACGCATACATGTAATAAACTGTAGATGTAGTTATAACCTGCAGGATCTCACCCGGTGGTGGGAAAACCTTCGTGGGGGAGTTTAAACTTGACCTTCAGCTCGGTTTTGTTGTCGTGCAAGTTGGTGAGTCCGGCCAGGACGTTGGTGGCGCTGCCGGCGCATTGGGCTCCGGTTAGGATCCAGGTCTCGTTGATGATGGCGCCGCCGCAGATGTGCTCGCACAGGCCCAGCAGGCAGTACTGGACGGATACTTGGTAGGGGAATTGGCCCGGTTGGGCTGGGGTGCCTCCGGTTATTCCGTATTTGCCGCTGGAGACCTGGTGGTGGTTCGGAGCTCCTGTGGAAGGAACGTGCTGATGTTTTTTTTTTGGGGGGTTATAGGTGTGATTACGTACCGGAGCAGAGAGCGGCGAGTGCCAGGAAAATGACGGATTTAACAGGAAACATTTCGATTGTAGTTACTGTAAACAGTGAATGAATGGATTTATTGTATCTACTTTTATACGAAAAGTATTACACGTATTGTCATGTGATTGATTTGATACAAGATCGGATTATTGTGATTAAAATATCAATAAAGATTATCGTTTTGTTGATAACATAAGCGGTTTTTTTTTTTGGAAAATTAAAATTCGTTTCGTTAGATATACATATTGTGTCTGTACTTACATTTTTTTTATCTCGTTTCATTAACATTTGTGTTCCAATTGTATTTAAATGTACCTATTAAAAAAGTTCCTTGGGGTTTAATCAAAGGAAAAAGTGGAAAAAATAGGTGAAAAATCTCTGTTAAAAGAGGGAAAACAGTCAAAAGAGCCATGAAAATTTGTAATACACAGCAAAATCATTATCATTACATTCTTTTCGTTCATTTGCAAGACACAAGAGAAGAGGATTTCTAAAACACCCCTAAAAAATAAAGAAAATCGTTAGAATATGGTTCTTTCTAATATAAAAATTTAGAATCAGTTTCAGAACTCCTACTCATAACTCCTCTCTGATTCCGGAACGTTCTAAATGGTTCTGGAGCGTTATAAATCATACTAAATGTTTCTGGAGCGTTTTAAATTGCTCTAAACAGTTCAAAATGGTTCTCGACAATTCTGAATCGTCTTGAAGCGATCCAAATGATTCTGGACAGTTCTACATTATTACAGACAGTTCAAATTTGTTCAGAAGCGCTCTAAATCATTCTAGACAGTTCTAAATGGATCTCCACAATTCTGGTTCATCTTGAAGCGATCCAAATGATTGTGGACAGTTCTAAATTGTTCTTAAAAACACCCTGTAAATTTTAATAAAAGGGCTCATACATATTTGTGTTTCTTAATACTGCTTAAAATTTGCTTCATTTTCTCCCAATTTTTGGCACAGCGAAAAACTCGCTATACACAAAATCTCGACCACTTTTTAAGTCCTAAACAACATTTAATTTGCTCTAAAAGTTCCCTTTAAAATGGACGTTATACGCGTGAGTACAAATCGAAATTTACATATAATATGTACCTAATCTTTAATTACCTTTAATTATTTTTTTAGATAAATCTGTCCGACCCGCCTTCGTTAGACAGGTTCATTCGACCTACGCGATCCTTAAACCACCTAAATGCGAATTTAAATTCCCCAGAAGATGCTCTTCAATCGTTGTTGGACGGCAAAACTTTCACGAATGTCGCATTGAAAAGATACTACAGGAATAATTACAGGATCGAGTAAGCGCGGATCTAAACTGTCGTGTATAAACTGCAGTATGTAATTTGCGAATTTTTATTTTTATTATTATAGAATGAAGAAAGCCTTGTTTCCATCGCTTGCGAAAAGAGAAAACGACGTGATTCCATCTACGAACGATTGGCCTGTGAAACCCAGGAACAAGCCCCTTATGCCGGAACATCCCATTTTCACGTTCGACATTGAGGGTAAGTTTTCACAAAATTTATAATACAGGGTGTTTTTTAATAACATGCTAATACTGAAGAATGATTCTTGGGTCCATTTTAAGAAAAATACTTCATATGAACGTTCTAAACGTCTTAACTTTTGAAATATAGGGTGTTAAAGTTTTAAGAAAAAAATCAATTTTTTACTGTCATTTCCATACCACTTTAAATATTTTTATGAAATTTGGTGTACGGCGTTTATGCATTAAAAAGCTCTTTTTGGCCTAAAAACATTTTTTAATTTCCAACAGTGGCGTCCGTACTGGACTTAGGCCAACTATTTTGACGGTAAAATGGTACGCCACTGCTTTGTCTTGAAATAAAAATTATTTTTGGAGGCCCCGTTCAATTTAGAACCAACTTGATTTCTTGACTTTTTTTCGTACGACTCACCGTTTCGTATAAAAAAAATCAAATGCATTCATTTGTATGCTACCGCTGCATTAACCGTTGTGCAGAAATTTGTTAATAATAAATTTTAGGTTTAGGACATATGTTCGTATGAAGTTTTTTTCTTAAAATGAATCCAAGAAACACCCCTTACAGTATTGACATGTTATTAAAAACAGCCTGTTTATCTGCTCCTGCAATTGGTAGTTATAAATGATTTAGGTGCTGTTAATGTAGAATGCTCGAAACGCGGCGCGATAGCCGCCTATTGCAAGATCCACAAATCCATCATTTACATGGAGAATATTGAAAATGCAATGGAAATGCGCTTTATCATCCCCGTCAAACCGATCAACGGGTGCTTCAAATGGAACGAATCCGGGAACTTGCTCGCCGTACCGATTTCCAGAAGCCGATTCGTTGTGTTCAATATCGATACAGTAACTGCGTATCCTCTAGCAAAAAAAGTACCCGGAAATTTTGCTTTAAATTACCTGACACTTAATATTTTTAACTGTTTCAAGTTTCTGTATGTTGGTAACACAGTTCTTGATTAGCATGCAAAAAATTACCAAATTTTGCGTTTTTTTTCCAAATTTCCGGATACTTTTTTATCACAGCTAGTACGTGCAATTAATATTCCAACAAAAGTACCAGCACTTATAGGTTCTGTACCGTTGCTCCAATCACACGAGATCAGTTCTGAACATCGTTCTGAACCATATCCCGTGGTGTTTTTGTTGGAACTTAGAACTGTTGGAACAAACCTTGTTTATTTTAAAAAGCGTTTCAGAAAACCTCTAGTGAATCGGAGATTTGCCCTTGCGCGAGAATTTCATCTCAAACATCTTCTTACACTCCCTGTCAAATGGCATGTTTAATTTGGTCCGCGTCCGATGAAGTTGTAACCGGTTGTTCGAAGGGCGTCGTGACGCTCTATTCGAAGGAATTGAAGGTAAATCTCGTCTAATTGTTCCATTATTCGAGCATCAGGATTTGATTTTTCTATTGGAAGATTCAAAGATTCAAGACCACTAACAACACTCGGGGCAAAAGAAAAATCATCCACCTGTCGCTTTCTTGCTGCCAAACCACCATCGTCGTCTCCACCAGTAATAAGAGGTTATTTTTCCTGAAGTTTCCGAAGTTCAAAGTTATTTATTTGCTCGATTTGCCGATGTCAACGAAGGTAACGAAATTAAACCGGAATTAACATCGAGATATTCATCGATGATTGTTGTTATGTAGACTATTTCTTGGCATCCATGGGACAATAACCTACTGGTTATCGGTATAACATCTACGTTATTTTTAATGAACACGAGAAGTACGAAGGTTAAATATTCGATTATCGAAGGCACCGTAGACGATCTGCTCTTCAATCCGGAGTCTGCCGAGCTGTTGGTAAATATACACCGTGCTTCATTCCAGATCCCAACATAGGTTATATTGGCTTTAGGTGCGATAAAGACAACTTCCATTAGACACTTACAAAGGAAAAAGAAACAGTGACATTTGTGTTATTGCAACTTTACACTCTGGCAACTGTTATTTTATTAATCTTTCTTTGTTCAACTCGTAGAAACGGCCATGTTGCGGTCTGAATTGAAGCAATCAGTATAATAATCGGCGATTTTTTTGAAAATTCCCTAAAATATTCGATTTACTATTAATTGTTTACCCCAAACCGCGTTTTCTTATCCACATTTTTTGCGAACTTATAGGGAAACGAAAAGTAGTCGACCCGCGCGGGGATTCCCACCATTCCCCCAAAAGTGGGTTAAATTTCAAATTCGAGATTTAATTGTAATTTAATTTGTAGATCAGCAAATATGACGCTGACAACGAGACCAGCCATTTTGTAATAATGAGGGATCTTAGTGTGGTAGTGGATGAAATTGTATCCCAACGGATTAGAATGGGAAGATTGTTCTGGTACAAAAATGGCACTAAATTAGGTAAGAAGGTTAATAAAAAACAGGAACTTTATAAGGAATAATCTTATTATATAAAAAAGTTACCTGGAAAACTAATTAAGATAGAGAAACCAATATATCACCATTTTGTAGAGAATGTCTTTCTCTACAATTTTCATTTTTGATTTAGAATTAAAAAAAATTTTTGTCTAATATTTCAGGTGCGTTAAGTACAACATCTTACATTTGGAACTTTTTTGGGAAATCCACAGCCACCGTAGAAAAACAACGCGAGGATCACGCAAGACACCCATTCCTGCGTAGTGCAGCTGGTTCATTATTTAATTGATATTTTATTTTTTTATTTGCCGTTATTTTTTACATGTATTTGTTATCGTTTTACGCTTAATTTTTAAATGCTTATTGAAATGTTTAAATCGTTTATTAAAATACATTTAAAATATTGTATATTGGTTCTTTATTAGAATCAAATACTATTTTCAGTTAAAGGACTAAATTTGCCATAAAATTAATCAATTAAGTTTTATTATTATTTGAAAAAACTACAATATCCAGTATTATCCATTACAAGTTTAAAAAACTGCTTTCGAACTCGAGCGGTTTCCTTAACTTGTTAAGTAAAAGGCCACGGAATATTCATCTATCAATGTCCATTGTCTAAAATTGTTTCAATCAAATTTTGTAGCTATAATTCGCATATTAGTAATAACAGATGGTTCAAAATTTCAACAATATATAATTAAATTAATCGCAAAATGTGTACCCGTCAACTCGCTAAGTAAAAGGCCACCTATAATTCAACATAACTGTCACTGTCACTTGTCAAAATTTTTATAAGTCATTGCAAATTCATTGTTTTTTGTAATGTAATTCTAGATTCTAGTCGATTCTAGAATTACAGAAAAAGTGTATAAATATAATCAAATTAAGTCGCCAATTCATTCTCAATTTGATCTAGTTAACATTGTTAAGTGGGCTTTATTTTTTTAGCAAAAAGAAATCGGTGAAAAGTGATAAGAACGAACAGAAACCAGCAAAAAATATCAACAGAAAACTAGCGAAAAAAATCACCAGAAAATCAGCCTAATAATCACCAGAAAACCAGCGAAAAAGTCACCAGATAACCACAAAAAAAATATCCCTTTGAAAGAGAAAACCCTCCAAAATGGAATTGCCCCATCTGGGACAACATTGTTCGAAACCGGATTGCAGGAAATTGGATTTTCTTCCGGTCAAATGTCAAGCTTGCGGTTGTTTATTTTGCCCAGCCCACTTTGATTATTCTTCGCACGATTGTCCGGAGGTTTATAAATTGAATAACCGTGTTCCGGTTTGCCCGTTGTGCGAGCAACCGGTGCCCATTAAGCAAGGGGAGTTACCGGATTATGTTGTAGGTGAGTAGTTTGAGCAGAGAATTGTTTGTTGGGGAAAATGTGTGGGCTTTTGCTTGGCGTTTCTTCGGTTACTTTTGGAATTCTGGCGGGTTTCCAGGCTGTTAAGTAGAGTTTTTTCGAAAAGCAATTGAGGTAGAAACACCAAATTTTCATCATTTCGTACAGAAAATATTCCTCTACAATCTCCCAATTTGAACAATTTTGTAAAAAGCCCAACTTCCGAAATATTTCGAGTTCTTTCGAAAAAAATACACTTATCATTAGTACAACTCCGCAGAAAAGCCCAATTATCTCGAAAACCAATCGAGATAGAAACATCAAATTTTCACCATTTCGTACAGAAAACATTCCTCTACAATAACTCAAATCCAAAAAATAAAAAAAAAACCCAATTACAAAATATCTCTTTTTTCCAGGCCTCCACATAGACAACGACTGTCAATCCGATCCGGCCCGCAAGCGCAGGAAAATCTTCACGAACAAATGTCACTTTGACAGGTGCAAAACGAAGGAAATCGTCCCCGTCATTTGTCAACAATGCCTTAGGAATTACTGCTTGAAGCACCGACTGCCCGCCGATCACAGATGTCCCGGCTCTAACGCAGGAAATCCCGTCAAAGGCAAGGAAAATTCGATGAAAGGCGGCGAAAATTCGATAAGCGGGCCGCGTAATAGCAACGTAAAAGGCCGCCAAAGCCAACTGGACGAAGACGAAGATTTGGCGAGGGCCATTTCTCTGTCGTTGAATCATCAGGAGAACACTAGCAGAGGGAGATCCTCGGATCGGTGTGTTTTATCGTAGAATCCTTGCGAGGAATCCTTTTATACGAATCCTTTTTTTATCTATTTCGTGCCTAGAACAAGCTAAATCTTTTAAAGATTCTTTTTTTTATGCATTTCGTGCCTTTCTCTGTTGGAAATTGCTCGATTTTTGCACCGCAATTGGGCTGAATGATATAATATGTACAATTTACGAAACTGTCGATTTTTTATGTAAATACAATATATTTTTTAACTACTTTGTGGTTTTATTACCGTGAATAATAATTCTGAAAATCCGCCCGAAGAGAACGAAGAGTTTGCCGTTTAAACGCAAGGACGAGGCCAAGGGAACGTGTAGGAGAGGTAAGCAACATGTAGGAAGGAGTAGGAACGAGTAGAATTGAGTAGGAACGAGTGGGATGGAGTAGAACCGTGTAGGAAGGAACAGGAATGAATAGCAACGTGTAGGAAGGAACAGGAATGAATAGCAACGTCTAGAAAGGAGTAGGAACGCTTAGAAAGGAGTAGAATTGCGTAGGAACGAGCAGGAAGGAGTAGGATCGTGTAGGAACGAGCAAAACGGAGTAGGATCGTGTAGGAACGAGCAAAACGGAGTAGGATCGTGTAGGAAGGAGTAACGATGTGTAGAAATGAATAGGAAGGAGTAGGATCGTGTAGGAACGAGCAGAACGGAGTAGGAAGGTAGGAACGTGTAGGAAGGTAGGAACGTGTAGGAAGGAGTAGGAAGGAAGTAAGCAATTAAATGGAATAAAAACTTAAAACCTGCTTGGAGTAGAAGCAATTCAAATAATTCAGTTCTTATGTTAGTAAATTACTGTAACACTTATTTAAATAAAAAAAAACAAAAAATAAAACTAGACGTCATTATTATTATGGAATCCAATCGGCATCAACAGCATGATGTAACGTATAAACACGTCCGAGTTTCGCTAGATTTTCTATTTATATAAAATAAAATTGATAAAAACATATGTATGTTGACCCATACCGATAACGACCCCCATTGACTTTGAACTCTTATTCGAAGATAATTCCGCTGCTGTTGGACCATTGGGGGTCGTCGTGCATTATTTTATTATTTTTTTTATACATTCCTTTCGCAAAAATGCATTAGATTAATTTATTGCAATTTAATCGAAGGGGACACTGATGAAGCTAAATAACTTTTAAAAATTACTATTTCCTAAAAAGCGGATGGTCAAAAAATAAAAAAAAATACAAAATTATTTAAATTATATTAATAAAAATTAATTTTAAGAACACATTACCCTCTAGAGAAAATTATTTTTCCATAGAAATTAACTTATTAACTTATTTAACTAATTAAATTAATAGATTTAAAATGTAAAATTTAAATAAAGACCTAATATATCTCTCTAATGTCAATTTCAATAGCTTTTTGGTAACCTTGACAAAATAATTATTATATTAATATCAATTGACAATAACTATTAATATTAATAATAAATTATCTAAATTATATAAACTAAAGCAAATAATATTGACATAAACAATAATATAATAATATATAATATAATTACGTCATGTGTCAAACAATACATATAATTTTTGACATTATTGATATGCTAATATGTTGACCCTAATATGCTAACATGTTGATGTGCTGATATTCTGATATTATTAATATAATTGATTCATTACTCTGATTAAAAAAATCAGTTTTAAAAAGCACAATCAAAACGCAATATTAAATAAGTATATTAATTTACCAAGCTCAATTGGAAACGGCAATGGATAAATGCTACAATAATTTAAAAAATAATTAAAAATTATAGACTCCAATATACCTCTGAAAATTATGACAAAATATTATAATAATTTAAAACTTCACAAACTCACTCATCTTGCTTCACATTTTAGCATTTTTAACCAAACACCACCGATTTCCTCAGAAAAATCTGCTCTAAAACTCCCCTCAAAATCCAGCTCAAACTCTATTTATCCGCCAAGAAAAAATAATCAGAGCATGCGCGACAATTAAAATTTCGAAATAAATACAACATTGTTAATTGTTTTCAAGAATCGTACTACCTTTCGAAATCGAGATTTTCTTGTTGCCAAGTTGCACAAGAAGAAACAAAATCGAAGCGACGAAAACAAAAGATAAAAGGGGAAAATTGGACAATCGACGAGCGGCGGTTGCGCTTACTATGACGTCTGACGGACGATTAGCTACGGGAGTGGGGAAATTACACGTATAAAACGATCCAAGGACCGTTTTGTACGACGAATTTTCAATCAATGAACTAAGAATTAAAGTCGATTTTTTTACAGAATAAAGTATACTTACGAAGAAATATAAGTAAGTAACGGAATTATTATTTTTATTGTTTTTTTTAATTTTAAAAATTACTTAAACTCATTTGGGTTGTGGGACAATTAAATTTGGGGAGGGAGACAATTAAATTTGTTGCAAAATCTTCATTGTATGGATCATATTGGGGGGGGTTTATAATTTTTCTAATTTTTTGGGGGTCTTTTTTGGTTCAACCCTACCCTTGATTTCTGTACTAAAACTTTAATTACTTTAATTTTAATGCTACATTTTCAATTTCATTAACATTTCTTCGCATTGGCTGGTATGGCAATTTTCTAATTTTTTTGCGGGGACAATTTGGATAAACCCCACCCTTGATTTCTGTACCAAAACATATTTAAATAAATTTTAATGCGGCGTACGTTTTAATTTCACTAATATTTCGTCATCGGGTGGCATGGTAATTTTTTAACTTTCTTGGGGGGAGGGGGGCAAATTTTTATAAGAATTCTTCATTTTCACAAATATTTTTCTTTCACCAGCTCGACTTGTTTATGTAACTTTCCAAAGCCTTTGTAGAGATTCATCTGGTTTGAGCCCCCCATATTTTCGTTAATAAAACTCATTATTAAAACTTATTATAATACTTGATAACTTAATAAAACTTATAGCAACTCATATTTTTGTCAAATTTTAACACACACATGACATGAGTAGGGAAAATAAAAAAACGTAAATAACGCTAATAAAAAAATTCCCAAATTTCAGTGACAGAGAAAACCTCATTCTGTGGCTACAAGCACGAAACCGAAGCAGATGACTTGGCGTGCCAATTGGAGAGCGTTGGTTTGAGCAAACGGAAAGGCAGAGGCGGCGTTGATTCGGGTTTAACGCACGAGTGCGGAGTTTTCGGGGCGATAGGATGCGGAGAATGGCCGACGAATTTGGAAATTTCCCAGATCATTTGTTGGGGACTAGTGGCACTTCAACACAGGTAAATTTATTCTTATTATATATAATATTCGATGAAGTTTTAAAAAAAAATTTTTAAATATCAAGAAAGACCAAATAAGATCGTTTGTTTAGTAGTATTTGTTTTAGATATAGTTTGGTTAATAGTATTTAAAAACTAAAATAAACACATACATAGTATGTTAAACAAAGTAAATAGGGGGTAATTTAAATTTAATATTAATAGTAATTAATTAAAAAAACTCGAATTGCGAAGATACGAATTATAAATTCATTGGAAGCGATAAGAAGATCATTAACATTTATTTCTTGTTTTGTTTCATCATCTGAACGAAGATGATAAACGTCAATGTTGCATCATTCGGGCTACCGAGATTTTCACAATCGAGTTTATCTATCTTTTAAATATGTAAACGAGTTGAAAAAGTTTCCGTAATTCAACTCAAAAACAACAAAATCAAATTTTTACTTTCCCGGTGTTATTTAGTAGATATTACAAAGGGGTCAAATTTGTCGAAGATGCTTAAACTTTAAATTTTACAAAATAACGGAATTGTTTCCTTTTTTATCATAATATCGTTAGAAATAAACCGATAAATTTCATTAGGAATTAATGTATTGGACCATTGAACATAGAAACCCCAAATTCATACGTTCTTGAGTTCCTAAGTTTCCTGAATTTCCAAACACCCTGTATACTATAAATAAATATATTTTAAAATCATCTGTAGAGGTCAGGAATCGGCGGGCATAGTAACGAGCGAAGGCAGATGCTCGAAGTCCTTCAACGTCGTCAAAGGCATGGGAATGATCAGTAACATCTTCAACGACGAGGCGATCAGGAAATTAAAGGGCAGCATCGGCATCGGACACACCAGGTACTCCACCAGCGCCGCCTCCGAAGAGGTCAATTGTCAACCGTTCGTCGTTCACACGGCCCACGGGGCCCTGGCTGTCGCTCACAACGGCGAATTGGTCAATTGCGATAGTCTCCGGAGACAAGTAAGTTAATGGGGATGGAGATAAGGATAGAATCGACGGTGGGTAATTTATTTCGTGGAAAAAGGGACTGTTGTTGTTCTCAAGGTTAAGAAGGACCTTCCTAAGAAAACTTACTTAATTTACTTCTATGTACAGAGTTATTTCAGGGCTCTACAAGTTTGTTAGACACTTGTAGGCACCTGGTGATGAAAAAGTACCAGGAAATTCTGATTTAAATTACCTGCACTGAATATTTTTAACTGTTTTAAGTTTCTGTGTGTTGTTAACACTGTTCTAGATTAGCATGCAAAAAATTAGAGAGATTTTTCAATCGGTTTGGTTGTAGCAGCTGATTGAATCAGTTCATCTCAGTAGTGCTCTGCGAATTTTGCAAATGGACAAAAATAATGATGAAAGAAAATAAGTTTGTCTCATATTTTTGGTTTTGAAGGGACTTTCGTGGGACGAATCGATGCAAATGCTTAAAGTGACTCTGTTTTATCGATAACCCATGTTTAAGAATGGTACAAAACATTTAAAGACAGTCGGAAGATCGCTAAAGACTTGCTTTGTTCCGGATGGTCTTCGACCGACTTTTTTTTGTTTCCCAAACTCAAATTGCCACTTCCTGGATCCCGATTTGACTCCAGAAGGAACTAAAATCCGTATCAAAAAATGTTTCGATGATTATAAAAAGCCTCTAACTATGTGTATAGCTTCAAAAAGAGCATAATTTCCTCCAAATTTCCTGGCATCTACTTCTTTTTATCGCAGTATCTACTAAAACCATTCTTTTGCAGGTACTGGAACACGGAGTGGGCTTATCCACGCATTCGGACAGCGAGCTGATCACGCAGGCGCTGTGCCTGAATCCGCCGGAAGGAGAGCCGAATGGCGAGCCCGATTGGCCGGCCAGGATCAAGCACTTCATGGCTTTGGCGCCGTTGAGTTACTCGTTGGTTATCATGCTGAAGAATAAGATATACGCGGTGAGAGATCCCTACGGAAACAGGCCGCTCTGTTTGGGAAAAATTCTACCCGTCAACGAACGTAAGTATACCTACAATGAAATATTTGGTTTTGAAAACTTGGAAGGAAAATTGCTCAAATCGAAAGGAGTCTTTGAGGTCTTTAGAAACATTGAGAAAGCTCAAAAACAAATAAAGCTAGAGATCTTAATAAGCTTTCTATACAGTTGTAGATGATTCGGGAGCGTTCTAAATGACTATGGAACGTTCTAATTGGTTCTGAAGCGCTCTAATCGGTTCTGAAGCGCTCTAAATAGTTCTAGGCAATTCTAAATGATTCTGAAGCAATCTAAATGATTCTGGATCGTACTAAATGATTCTAGACATGTTCTAAATGACTATGGAGCGTTCCAATTGGTTATAGAGATATTCTAAATAATTCAGGAGCGTTCGAGATGACTATGGAGCGTTCTAATTGGTTCTGAAGTGCTCTAAATGGTTGTAGGCAGCTCTAAATGATTCTGAATCGTTCTAAACGATTCTGTGCATGTTCTAAATGAATCTGGATCGTTCTAAATGATTCTAGGCATGTTCTAAATGATTCTAGACATGTTCTAAATGATTCGGGAGCGTTATAATTGGTTCCAGACAGTTCTGAATGACAGTGCATATTTTCCAAGCTCTATTATCATTAGGAATATCGCATAAACATATTGCACGAACGTTATTGCAGCATTGGACGGTGACTGCGACGAAAGCAGAGAGGCCGAAGGCTGGGTGGTGTCCTCCGAATCGTGCGGTTTCCTCTCGATCGGCGCCCAATACGTGCGCGAAGTGTTCCCCGGCGAAATCATCGAAATGACGCGTCACGGCGTCCGCACCATCGACGTCGTCGCGAGGCCGGAGGACAAGCTGCAGCAGGCCTTCTGCATCTTCGAGTACGTCTACTTCGCGCGGGCGGACAGCATCTTCGAGGGCCAGATGGTGTACGCGGTGCGCATGCAATGCGGCAAGCAATTGGCCATCGAGCATCCCGTCGAGGCGGACATCGTCGGCGCCGTGCCGGAGTCGGGCAACGCGGCCGCTCACGGATTCTCCAGGCAGGTATGAATTCTGCACAGTCTGATTCATAGATCTACTAACTATGGACGCGGTGTGGACAAAGAGGTAGTGTTGTCGATGAATGAGAGCGATGCAGCTAGTTTGGGCATATGGCAATGAGAGATTGGACAATGCATTAGCCAATAGTAAGAAGGCAAAAGACCACGTGAGTTACGTTTGCAGAAATGCAAGGTTTCATAGATAAAGAACAACCTGTATATATCTTATATTTTTATTTGGTCCCGGCTACTTCTTGCCCTAACTAGCTCCATCTCTCAAGGACCTCTTTCTCTCTATCATTGGGAACGCTGAATAAGTTCAAAATACCGATAGTGCCGCGTCCATGATTAATAGGTCTATGGTCTGATTCTACTAAATTGTCCAAGTCAAAAGAGCCCATTGTCACAATAGTCCAATGACATAATTCTGGAGCATTCTAAATGACTATGGTGCGTTCTAATTGGTTCTGAAGTGCTTTAAATGGTTGTAGGCAGCTCTAAATAATTCTGAATCGTTCTAAACGATTCTGTGCATGTTCTAAATGAATCTGGATCGTTCAAATAGCAAGGTTTATAACAAGATGTCTTTACTAATGACAGATCATATTGTTTAAATTAAACGAACAGAATAGATTATTTCTTAGGACAATGCTAACATAACAATATCTTTACACAATAGCCAATAGCCATATTGCTATTTACAAATAGTATCGACCCGATTGTTTAAATAGCCAGGTTTATAACAAGATATCTTTACTAGTGCCATATCATATTGTTTAAATTACACGAACAGAATAGGCTATTTTTTAGGACATTGCTACGATAACAATATATTTACAAAATAGCCAATAACCATATTGCTATTTACAAACAGAATCGACCTGACTGTGGGGTTTCTTATTTTCAGAGCGGGATCAGATTCGCCGAGGTGCTGTGCAAAAACAGATACGTGGGACGTTCATTCATTCAACCCAGCAATCGCCTGAGGCAGCTCAGCATCGCCAAAAAATTCGGTAACTAATCAATTATTACTATTTAAATCCAATTCCAATAAAGGATTCGAATTTATTCTTCTACTACCTCAAGCAGCATTAAATGCCGAAAGACAACTAAAACTCTCTAAAATTTTGAGCTCATTTTAAACTATTTTTTTATTTTTATTTAGGTGCGTTGGCCGGTAGCGTTAAAGGAAAAAAAGTGGTACTGATAGACGATTCGATCGTACGAGGCAACACCATAGGACCGATAATCAAGCTGCTGAGGAACGCCGGAGCTAAAGAAGTCCATATTAGAGTGGCGAGTCCGCCATTAAAGTATCCCTGTTACATGGGCATCAATATACCGACCAGAGAGGAACTCATCGCGAACAAGATGAATTCGCACGAGCTGGCTCGACACGTGGGTAAGTCGAAAATCATTCTAGACAGTAAGAAATCATTCTAGACAGTTTGGAAATTATTCTAGACAGTTGGAAATCATTCTAGACAGTTAGAAATCATTCTGGGTATTTCTAAGTGATTCTAGAGAGTTGGAAATCATTCTAGACATTTGGAAATTGTTCTGGACAGTTGTAAATTGTTCTGGACAGTTCCAAATCATTCTAGACAGTTGGAAATCATTCTGGACATCTTTCGTTTGGGAGATATAGCCTTCGTAAGTTTTTAAATGGTCATATTGTATATATTTAATTGCATTTCAGGCGCTGACAGTTTGGAATATCTATCGCTGGAAGGATTGATCAAAGCTGTGAGATCCGATATAAAAACGAAAAACGCTCACACGAAAGTCGGTCATTGCACGGCTTGTTTGTCGGGCATTTATCCGGGCGGCGTTCCCAACACGAATTCCGATTTCGATTGGTGAAGAAGAAATTTTCTTTTTTCGAAAACTAAGTTTCGAATTTGTGTTTAAATTATTTATTAAGCAGCGTTAATGTCGTTTGTTGATACGTAATTTATTTAAAATTAAGTAATAGGTGTAAATTATACGAATTAGGTGATATAAATATTTATAATGTTAGCGTAAATAGAACTAAAAATAACTAGAAAAAATAATTCAATTATCGTGCATAAATTACTTAATTTAGTTTTTTATAATAACAAATTTTCTTGTTTACGAAATTTTCCATTTCTGTATAGTGCATAATAATCTTTTGATCAAATTGTTGATTAAACATAAATTAGTTAACTAAGTGATATGATACTTATCGATAATAATTTAAGAATATGTTTGTATTTTTTATTTTTGATAAATTAACAACAATATAATTTGTTTTATTTAATCAAATAATCATTTGGAACTGTCTATAAAACCATTTAAAACTGTCCAGTTACTATTTAGAACGCTCCAGAACCGTTCACAACACTTCAGAATTATGTAGAACGCTCTAGAATCATTTAGAACAGTCTGTAAACATTTAGAACTGTCTAGAACCATTTGGAATGCTTCAGAACCGTTCAGAACACTATAATTAAGAGATCCCAGAACGAGCATATTTACTGGAATAGTTTGTTGTTGGCTAAGCGCAGAATCTGGATAGATGGAAAATCTCCGTTTTCGCTCCTACGAGTTTACAAGTTCAGTAAGCGGAGCGATTTCGGCCGGTATATAGAGGAAAAGCGGTTTTCCCCGACATAAAATTCGCGCGCGTTTTCTCGCGAGGAAAACCCGGCGTTTTCCGCGCTTCTTTTGGGTTTTCCGTTATTCGAATTCGTCTGCTGGAAGTGCCATTTCTGGAGTGGTAAAGGAAAATAAATGTATTCATTATGGTAGGAAATGTTTAGATATAATTTATTTAAAAGTTTTCTCTTATGGATGGAGGGAATTTCATTTTTGGAAAATTGAAAAAAGATTTAGAAAATTAAATTACATAAGAAATCATAAGAAAATTATGATGAAAAATATATTTTTTTTCTAAAATTGTAACACTCTGTAGCTCGAAAACTAAGAGGTTTAGGACTAACTTAATTAACACCCTGTACCTATGTGCTTAATATGAATATGATACATTAACATTATAATAAGTCCGTGTCGTCATTCTATAAAAAATATATAGAAAATATTTTTTCTACCCTTATACAAAATCCACCGCTATTAAAAACTAATCTTATATACCCGTTAACGTTATCGAATATATACCAAGGATGGAAAAAGTATCTACCATATAAATACCACATTATGAAATTTCGAAAGTAAAGGATTGTCGAGTGTGGAATTCAAATGGCGCCAAATCGACATTCCGTTATCGGCCGGATGAATTTTCATATCTGCGCCAGTTCGGAAGCCATAAATTTTAACATAACTGGCTGTTTGCGAGCTCTGTCAAGGCTACGCACTATTATCTTTTCATTCCGGAATAGAGGAAGAACGATAAAAATGACGAGTGGATACCGAACCAAGGATTTTATGCCCGGAGGCATTTCTCACTTCAGTAGCTTTTACTCCTGTTTAAAACGAGATTATAACGTTTTAAGATGGGTTCGATGATACATATACATAAACAAACTGTCAAAATTGACGTTAATGACATTTCGCATAACAGAAGTTTAATAGAGGTGGGAATCGATTTTTTGGTATAGAGGTGCAGTAACGACCGTTACAAAATAAGTGTTATTTTTCAAATATCCTTCTCCTATTCTATTGTCGTCTGTTGTTTTTTAGAAAAACATGTACATATATTTAAATAGTGACAGGAAAACTATACCTAAGTCAATTAATAGAATTAGAGAGAAAAAACCCTCTTCCATTTTCCTCCAAAGAAGAATGAAAATAAAATAGGTCAAAGGCAGATAAATTTCTTGTTTTTCGTGCTTTATACGTACATGGGACCATCCAATGGATTTAGGTTAGATTATACAGGGTGATGTCATAGTTAATTTGATATTAGATAGAATTTGACATTGACAATGACAGAATTTGACAGTATTTAAACAATTGCGTCACGATGATAAATAAAATTAGTCGACTTGATATTTGACAAATTTTTATGCAACTGGGCCATGATGATGAATGATGTTAGTTTAAGTTAAGAATTTTTGACACGTTTTTGTACACTCGGGAAATGATGATGAACGATCATGTTTGGGAAACCAGCGAGTTTTCTCTGAGCATATTACAGAATAATTCGTTTATGTTTCAGATATATGAAATATATATTTGTTGCTACAGCAACACCTTATTCCATATTCCATAAATGGATTGCTAAACCGACCTGCGCGTAAATAAATGCCGAGAGAAATGAATAATTTACAATTCCAACGGAACCTAAAATTCCATTTAGAGTGTTTTGAATCTTTCATTAGGCGTCTTACACTTTTGCTCTTCTTCCCGGTTTTTGTTGCGAAACAATCCGAAAGAAACCTGAAATAACGATGGTGATGTTGATACAACTTTGGAACGAGCTAAATTTATTATTTTATGATTATTTGTCAATAATTTAATGAAACCATTGAAGATGATTGGAAAATTATTTTCGTAGAATAATTGAAAGTTTTCCTAAATGTTATCTATTACATGTGTTTGAATCTTAGTAATTTTAGGATGAAAAAGTGGATTTTCCAGCAAACCTTCTAAAAATTTTCTAAAAAGTAAATAAAATTGCAGTTACTCCAAGTATGTATAAGATAAGTGAAAAATCCTGTTGTGTGAAATATTATACAGATTATGGATAATAAAAAATCTACAAAATTAAATGAAGCGCGGGCGATTCCGAAGTTTTAAAACTTTTATAGTTATAACTTTCCCGTTTAGGAAGCCATTCGAAGACTCTATACAAGTGCATAAATTTTATACAAAATTTACGCGAATACAAAAGATTGCGAGTAAAATTGAAAACGGTAATTTACGACGTGAAAAACGCAATTTTCCGAACGTAATTTCCACCGAATTTCCCCGTATTATACAAATTAAAAAGCGAACACATAAGTCCGAATGATTTATATTTCCTTCTATCCGATTTAAATTAAAATTCTAAACGAATGGCGATTCATTCGAATCACGATCATTCCACTAAAATAGCGTTTGAGGTATCGCAATTTTCGCCCTTTATTTAACGTCGCATACGCAATCGAATTAAAACCTTATAGTTTTTAATAATCCAGGCGTATTGTTCGTAGATAATGGCGGATTTTCGAATCGATGTCTAAACCAGACGTTTAAATTTTAAGTTTCGTGTAAAAATCGTGAAAATCTTCTGGTGTATAAATTGCATCGTGGCGATTAGAAGCTAAAAAATCCTGAGTTTTCATTAATGACAAGCCGGTCGGAACATCATTAGTCTTTGTGGAACATTTGGGTTTTTCCATTCATTGCAGAGAGCTTTAAGTTTTAAGAATAATGGGTTTACATCAGCGTCTCACAGACCTCAGTTGGATCAGTAAAATGGAGCGTTACGTACAATAAATGATAAGGGTGTGATGTACAGTAGAGATTTTCGCTAGATAATAAAGTGATTATAATTCATAGTAGCTTAGACGATAATATTTCACATTTTGTAAGTATAAAAGGAAAAGAAAATATTTTAAAGATACGTATATTTATGGAATAGATTGGTAAATCAAAATCTGGCCTTTCTCTGGCTATATTCTATGGCAAAATCTGGCCCTAAATCTGGCCTTTGTATGTCAGATTAGGCCAGATTAAATCTTGGTAGCCAGATAAAAATAACTGGATATATTAATGGATATCCTGACTATTTTTGCAGGTTTTAATTTATAATAAGTGTCTTCTCCACAACTACAGTTCTCTAAAATCGGTTTGTTTGATAAATTTTGGCTTTGTTTCTTTCAAGCACGTGAATTATCGCACATTAATCAACTACTAGATAAAAATATACTAAATATACGAAAGCAGAAGATAAATGGACACGTAAATAATAAATAAACAAATATAGAAGATAAATGGACGAACAAAATATGGAATTTGCGAATGAAAGACAATGCAAAAATTTCCAAATGAAATTCCACCCAGCCCAGTTTAACTTTCGACAAGTTTAGTTGACATTGAGAAAGATGAATTATTTCGTATCGAAGTTTAGATTAATAATTCAAGCGAAAGTCTTTTCGATTTTTTATACGGCATGTCTAAGTAAGTTTGAACAATTTGGATTTTTTTTAATAATTATGAAGTGAAAACAGACTAAAGTTTGTACGTTTTAAAATGACAATGACGTCATTTTTAGTAATTTCCTCGCACTTGATTCTAAATGAGTCTAGACAATTCTAAATGATTCTAGAGCGTTCTAAACGATTCTAAACAGTTCTAAATGATTCTGGAGCGTCCTAAATGATTTTAGACGGTTCTAAGTGATTCTGGGCAGTTCAAATTGATTCTGGAGTGTTCTAAATAATTCTAGACAGTTTTTATTGATTCAGGACAGTTCAAATTGATTCTATCCCCTAGATATTTAGACATTTTAGAAAATTAATTTTGCTATTATTATTTAGAAGCCAACCTAACATCCCGAACGCGTTGTTATTTTCGTATAGCAAAAAAACGAGCAGGTTATAAACATAAATATTTTCTCAGTAGAAAATTTAACATTTCCGTTTTTTCCACGCATCATTTCCGGCAAGCTCGCGCGGGGATTTCGCCAATCCGAATCCCATTTATCCGGTGTCGGAATATTTTCTGGTTTTTGCGCCCGAGTTATATTCGCAAAGATTTTCTTTTATTTCGAACATGATTTACAGTTCCAGTTCGTTCGGGTTAAGAAATGTGGAACATTTACGAACTAGTAATTTACCGTTGCTTTCCCGAAGGATATGATCCTCTGACGCGCCCTTCAAGTTATTTTTACGAATTGTAAAATATGAATTTTAAAACTAGAACACTCTATATATTATACAGAGGGTTGCTTAATGATGTAAGGAAGTAATTAAACGACTTCTAAATGATTCTGGAGCGTTCTAAATGATTCTAGACCAGTTATAAATGATTCTGAAGCGTTCTAAATGATTGTAGACAGTTTAGAACGGTCCAGACTCACTTAGAACGCTCCAGAATCGTCTAGAACTTTCTAAACTGTCTAAACCTTATCTGTCTTAAACCTTAACTGTCTAAAACAATTTAGAACGCTCCAGACTAATTTAGAACGCTCCAGAATCATCTAGAACAATTTAGAACGCTCCAGACTCATTTAGAACGCTCCAGAATCATCTAGAACAATTTATTGTAGAACGCTCCAGACTCATTTAGAACGCTCCAGAATCATTTAGAACAATTTAGAACGCTCCAGAATCATTTAGAACAATTTAGAACGCTCCAGAATCACCTAGAACTGTCTAGAACAATTTGGAAGGCTCCAGACTCATTTAGAACGCTCCAGAATTGTAACAAAACGTCGAAAATCCTTAAAAGAACTTCACATTATTCATAAATAGGGATTATCTTAACACATTCGGCGACTTTTCCAAAAAAATACCAAATTTAATCTATTTAACGTCGAGACTTCCAGCCTTACCAATCTATTGGCATCCATTTTACATCCTTTAATCATCCTGTCACATCGTCTTAATATTATTCGTGGGAGATTCATCATAAAATAGTACAGTCAATTCTATTAAACCTGTTGCTTTTATTGAATTAAACAACCTTATTGCGTATCCTCCTCTGGTATCGTCAGCTATCGCTAACGCTCTGTACGTAATAATAACGTTTAGGTAAAGGTGCGCATTTATAATTCGCCGATATAAACTCGATTTTCTCGAAGGCCTCGGGCGCATTTTCCCGCATCATTTATTATGCCTACCTATACTCGAAAATGCTCGTCTTCGGGCGAATCCTTCGGTCGAGATAGTGATTGACAAAGTGATGAGGAGGGTGAAAAAAAAACGAGCCGAGATCAATGGAGTTCGAACGTGCGGGATTAAGAGGAGATTGTGGAAGGAAAAAATGGATGAAAACTGCAAATTACCGTTTTGTACATCGCCTTTTATTTTTTTTTATTCGTATATAAAGTGAAAAATACTGATAAATACCTAATGATACGAAAAGTAAACTACTTGCACTTATCCAGAATAGCTGTACTGGAAAATGTAATTTGGATTGGAAATACTACTACAGGATATCAGCCATTTACTATTATCTCAAAATTAATGCCTAAAAAATCTATTTTCAGATGTTACCAGATCACGTCCCGCTCATCATCACATTAGTCATCGCCTGTGTCATCACGACGTCATCGACAAATCACCCGGACGAAGCGAACGTGACGGATTTACCGGATGCAAATGCAACGGATTGCATTGGCAATTCCAGCGCCATCTACGATTTTAAATGCGGAACAACCTCCGTTATTTACGACGCGGAAACCGACTATAACGTTAACGTTAATATTACGGAATGGAATATGGCGGGCGAATCGAACGGTGAGTGAATATAATTTTTAGTAATTTCGGGTTAACTGGGGTTGGTCATTCGTCATGTCCTGGTGGGTTTGGTCCTGCGAGGATAAAACGGCGAATTTTAAAGGGTTGGTTTAGTTTCTGCCGATGGTTTTGCTCTTTAAGCGAAACGGGACAATGGAGAATTGGCTAATTAATCATAATTAAACATATTGAGAATGATAAATACTTGGGCCATACCTTCTGACGAAAAAGTAGCCGGAAATTCTGGTTTAAATTACCTGCGCTTAATATTTTTAACTGTTTCATGTTTCTGTATGTTGGTAACACTGTTCTTTATTCGCACGCAAAAAATTAGAGAGATTTCTTGATCGGTTTGGTTGTAGCAGCTGATTGAATCAGTTCATGTCAGTAAGTGCTTTGCGAATTTTGTAGTGGATAAAAATGAACAAAGAGTTTGTCTCATATTTTGGGTTTTCAAGGGAATTTCGTGGGACGAATCGATGCAAATGCTTTAGGTGACTCTGTTTTATCGAAAACCCATACTTATGAATGGTACATAACTTTTAAAGACACTCGGGAAATCGCTGAAGACTTGTCTCGTTCCGAACGGTCTTCAACCAATGATAAAGGCGGGAAAATAAAGGAAATTAAGTTCAAAAACCATCATGCTAGTAATAGAGAAGTAGCACTTGATCTCCATATCTCCCGTTAAACCGTTCGTTTGATCTTGCTCAATCGATTGAGCTGCACATTGAGCTCGACTCGTTTCGATAGAGCTCAACTGGTCGCTACATACAAGCTGATTCGTGTGAAGTACCATCGACCAGCCGCTTTACTCACCAAATTTAGCTTCGTGTGATTTTTTTTTGTTTTCCAAACTCAAATTGCCACTTTGGGGATCCCGTTTTGACTCCATAAATGCCATCAAGGAAAATTCGCAGAAGAAGCTAAAAAGGCTCTATAAAAATTGTTTCTATGATTGTATAAAGAGTCTGACTATGTTTTTCGCTTAAAAAGGAATATACTTTGAAGGACACTCAAGAAATAATAATGTAGATTAGGAATTTTGCGCTTTATTCCAAATCTCATTAACTTTCATAGCAAAAATTTATTGTTTTTAGTCAGCGCAAAACTTGCAAATTGCAATTACCTATACTATTTCTGATTTTCTGGCACGTTTGTCTGATCACCTACGATTTTCCACAATTTTCCACCATTCCACCAATATTAGCACGGTCTAGTTCTCGCACATATCCAGCCATTTTTCCCGTTTAACGCGCTCGTTACTATTCCACCGGCGTCCATCTTTTTACTAATTCTCTAATATGAACTCTCATTTTTACATTTCTGCCTTAGGGACGTTATATAAATCGCGTTTCATTATACCGCTCGTAACTGTAAAATGAAACGCCAGGCTGAATTCAAATTACATTCGTGCATCTGAGCAGATTTATTTATTATAAAACACAAGACTTTTATTACTTACTATATGGCATTGTGCAACAAAATGTTTACTTTTGCTTCATCTTCATCATCTGAATGGATAATAAATCTAAGCAAAAAATATTGTATATTTTCCTATTTTGAATTTTCAAAATGGATGTGCAACTGTGGAACTTCCATTACCGGGCTAGAACAAACATGTTCCGAATAGAATAAACAAAATAGAAATGAATTAACGAGATTCTGTAGAGATAAATGATTCGACTATACACAGGATCATTTGCACTCGTCCTGGATGTAAACTGGATACTCCAGTATAAATCTCGTATTTGGAAAGAGGGATGGAAATTTCATGTACATAAAATTAGGATTTATTAACTTGCAAAATATATTTCGATTTTACTATACGCCTTCTTCAGGTTTACTGATCTCCTCCCTATCTTAAGAAATGAATTTTATTTTATTTATATTTTATATTCTATTCTCAAAAATTCTCTGACTGATGAATTTAAATAATTATTTTCATTTTTATTCTTTTCTTTTGTTGCTTCAAACATCACTGGATAATACATATAAATTCATTAATAAAGCCAAACGTGTATAAAGCATATCTGGATAGAAATATTTTGGAACAGAAAGAATTAAGTCAGATTAATGAGCGTGATTTCGTACATTTTTCCATTCGGGCCACTTTTTGTGAAGTCCCGCGCGTTTTTATTTCGAAATCTCTCTTTCGATTCAAATAAAATCCCATTTTACGGGGCGCGTTCGGTGTTAATGAATTCGGAATTTTTAATTTCGGTTATGAATGATTCAAATCGCTGGATTTTTAATTAGGAAAACTCGTTTTCGTATACGAATAATTTTCGTATAGATTTCTCAGACTCTAGATGTTTTCATAAAAAATTAAGAAAAAAATACGTTTTCTTTATTAAAGTGTATGAAATGAAACTGACAATTAATTCAACATAAAATTTTATGGGTAATTGAACAAAAAATTGTGAGAATTTCCGTGCAAGTAACAGATTTTCTTGCGAACAAAAACCGTATACATTTTGCTACCATGCCAAAATCAATGTTTGTATCCTTTGTGTGGAAAGTGCATTTTCCGAAAGGTTTTCCGTGCCAAACCAAAAGGAGCGATACAAAACACAAATTTTCTGTGACAAAAATTGATAGCGAACGAAACTGAAGAATTGAATTAGCAAAACTAGTTGGATAAATTTCAAATTTAATTTATGTTCTATTCTACATGAAGCATATCTACATACAGGGTGACCCATTAAAATGGAAACAGAGGGATTATTTTAAAAGATCTAAATAAATCTGGAGCTTCCTAGAATATTTGTTAATTAACGTATTTAATTTCGTAATAAGTTATACGTTTTAATAACTATATTTTTAATAATACGAGTTTATAAGGGTAGCTAGATGTTTTTTTAGAAAGTATATAAATTGAAATGTTCGGAATCGAATCAAAAATAAATAGAAATCGTATTGGAAATTATCAAATGTCAAACCAACTTGTTTGATTTAATATAAATTTTACTGAAAACACACAAACCACAGTTATACCTGCGTTGCTGTCGATAAAATGTACACGTTACATTTTGGCGAGTTATTTAATAATGGTATTAGAGAATTCCCGAAATATTATTATGTATTCCAATACAGGGTGTCCCAATGAAAAGTAGCCCCTTTAATGAACTTATAATTTTTAAACGCCTAATCGTAAAAAACATTCGATTTTCTCAACTTTTATTTTATTACAAGTTTTGTTACAGGGATACAGAAATTATGCATTACCAATACAGGGTGTTTTATTAAAATCTCCTCTAAAATTCACAGTAACCATTTTTTTAAATGGAACACCTCGCATATACAGAGGTATTTTGAAAGATATAGTCTTCTTTTCTCTCTACTTTTCAAAAATGTATTAGTTGTACAAGTTATTCTACAAAAGAACATTTCCTATTTCATAAAATTTGGTTAGTGAATTTGAAAGAGGGATTTTTATGAAACACCCTGTATAGGCGATACAAAATTTTTGTGCCACCGTAACAAAAAGTTATAGCAAAATAAAAAATATTTGAGAAAACCGCTTGTTTTTATGATTATTAGGCGTTTAAAAATTATTAGCTAACTAAACGAACTACTTTTCATTGAGACACCCTGTTTTTTAACTTAATTTGTAATCGAATTCATTCCAAATTCCAATCTTGTAATAAGCTTCAAATTTGAAACAACATGGTCGTTAAAAAAATAAACCAGAAACCCCGAGAAAATACAGAAAATAAAACAAATTATACAATAAATATAAAAAAAAATTAATAAAACATTTAGAACGAAAATTTATTCACATTTTAAAAGGTTTGTGATTACGTCAATAGACGAGAAATTTATGTCCAGAAACAGTAGAAGATGGTAAATAAAAAAATAAATAAAAAAAATCCATTTTATTTTCCTATATGAAGCAACGTTTACTACAAATGGAATTATTTCAATCCGGAATTATTATCGGTATTGGGCGAGTGTGAAAATCCTCAATGTTAAAACCGATTCTCTCTAAACAGAGTAAATATTTGGTTCGCTTTTTTAACCCGGACAGAATAATGATAGAGTGGCGACTATTTCGGGTGAATCGGTTTGTTTTATTTGGAATTGCTGGATTAATTTTATAGTTCTAAATAATTCTGGAGCGTTCTAAATGGTTACGGCAGTTATTAATGATTCTGGAGCATTCTAAATGGTTGTAGACAGTTCTAAATGATTCTGGAGTGTTCTAAATGGCTCTAGACAGTTCTAAATAGTTTTGGAGCGTTCTAAATAGTGTCCTAGGACACTATTGTTGTATTAATAAGCGAAACCTATACTTACCCAAAATAATATAAAAAACAAAAAATTGTAGTTTCTTTTCATGCATTTTATAGGCAATAAACTCACCCTGTATATAAGGATAGTCTATAGCCCATACGAGTGTCCTTCAACGCCTATCCCCCCGTACCAATTCGAATTTTGATCAAGTTCCCTTCGATCGGCCTTAATGAAATTTCCCCAACTCATTGGGAACTTAATAAGTCCTTAAATCCGCAGAAAGGCGCTCTAAATTTTACTAAAACGAATACCTATACATACCTCTATTTGTATTTGCAGTAATTCGATTACTCGCGGAGAAAATTCGAGCGAAAGAAAAACTTCCCCGGAATCAAGGACTTTAGAATTTAATTGAAAAATCCAGACAATCGGGCTGATTGAAGGGAAAGGAAACTGCTCTATTTCAAACGAGTAACGATTCGTTGTGTGTGAGTTCAAGTGATATAAAGTAAAACTTAGTTCGAATGAAGTTTAAATTTCGTTGAATGAATTCTCGGAGTTTGTTAATTTTGTGTTAATAATTATCTTTTATGGACAGTTAACAAATGACTTAAGATGCTTCATTGTTAATTGAGTAATATGCCTGAAGATGGATAAATGAGCTGAAATAAGTACTAAAATATTGAACATTATTGTGTACAATATTTAAATATGATAGAAGTCAAATCAGAGCATTTAAAACCAAAATTTAATTTTCTATTAAATGCTATTTAACAGGATCTTGCAATACATTATTTTTTTCTCGTAAATTCTTAAGTTTTCGAAAAAGCTTAGATATAAAAATAGAGATAAAAAAGTTGGTAAATGAATTGAGGTTTTCAGCCATTTATTTTTTAAATAAATGTTCATCTAAAAAAGTTGTAAGAAAAAATGTCCATCGGAGTTGACTATTTCAACTCCTTCTAAGCATACTTTAGGATTGAAAAAATTTCAAAATGTGTAGTTTTACTGATAAATAATATTCTACAAGTTTCGTATCTTTAGCTTAATATACAGGGAAAATAAAGAAAAAAATCATTTTTCTTTTCAATCTTCGGATCACCGGCGGGGTATAACAAAATCACCCATTAAATTTTTTTCGGTGTTATTTACAACCACCCTGTATAATAACGAGCTTTCGAATAAGCTCTGTATAGATCCTAAATGCCGTTCATCCTTTAAACCGAAAGCTCCATTTGCATTATTATAAGTAGGTTTAAGTATTTAAAGCCGCAAAATCAGGCGGTTTAATTTATAAAGCCAATTATTTTAAGATTCAGGATACGGTACAATTCCAGACGGTTCAAGGATTTAATTGGTTTTAGGAGACTTTATTTACTAAACTTGTATCGCTACAGATGGAATCGTCCGGATTTTTCTATTTAGGGTAGTAAATTATTTTCTACAATTTTTGAAGTATGGAAATGATTGGTCAACCTTTTAATTCTCAAGTTATTTTTTAATGTTACAAGTATACTAATGAATTAAATTTGTTTTCTCTTTTCTAAACGAGCTTTTCCGGGAATGCGATTAAGAGAAATCATTCTGGAAAACATTTTAATCAAATTGAACATACTTCTTAATCAAAAGTCGTTTTCGAGAAAACTCGGGAAACCCGAAAAAATACAGTTTTTTCTAGCGAAAAACGACCAGAAGAATAATTTTCCGAGAATCCGAGACTTTTTCCTTCGTTTCGGGCAGTTTTCTTTCTTTTCCGGTGCAATTTAAGCGTATAAAAATACCCCACGAAAATCAATCAATCAATAAATCAATCAACGACCTCTGAAGTTTGTTATATTTTAATAATTTACCCTTAAATCAGCGCCTTTTGTTCGAACTATAACTAAAAGAATTGGTATAATTGACTATTTTTATTTGAGTGAAGCGAGTCAAAATTCAATTACCTACTCCGTAAAAGTCACTAATTGACTAACTGATTTACTAACTAGTTAACTCAATTAAAGAAAACTTCGTTGTTTCTACTGTTTTGTTTGGAAAAACCTCCTTGGGATACCTGGAAATTTTTTATCACATTGAATTGTAGATTTATATAACAAATAAGGGAAAAAATCCTTTAATCAACCGAATACGATGAAATAACGCTGAAACAACATGTTAATTTCTTCCAGAAAACTCGACCAAAATTCGAGCTCGCCTCATCAATTCTCCCTCTAAAGCTCAATTAGAGTTTGTGCTCGTGCATCTCCAGAGCTTTCGGATTCATCCATAAAGCCGCACTCTCGCTCCATTGTAAATTGAGCCTCTATAAGTATATACGAGAATTCTCTAACAATAACTACGCGTGCATGGTATTCCCTCAATACATTTCCATCTGTACACTCCGAGCCTTGTGGAAATAAGCAAATCTTATTTGGAATTTTTCCAATGACTTTTTTTTAAACTGCAGAATTCTGATCAATGTAAGTTGGTTTCATTCAATTATTGATTGTGTGTGGTTGCATTATTTTATCAAATTTACTAATCACCTGTTAAAAATGAAGAATATATCAACAAGACATTAACAATACACTCTGTATATTCGATTTCAGTTCATTATGATTACTGGTTTGAAGTGTTTGCATAAACTTTAATAACCCGGTGGGTTTCCTGTATAATAACCGAACGTTAATATCACCAAGAGAGATTAAATACACACCAAAAGGCCTCTCCAACGGCATTTCCATGGTTACGGTTAAATAATAATGCAATTTCGAAGCTGCGCTAACCGTAAGTTATTATTATTTAACTTTAGCCCGACTGCTTTTTAATCGGAATTGAATTAAAACGATGGGTTTTTGAAGTTAACCGACACTTGTGGACTTTTAACCCTGTTTACTTTGCCTACTTTATCTGCTCCACGCTGCGATGTCAATTTAACTGGCGTCTAGAAAACGGGGGAAAATATAGGGTGTCTCGATATTGTTAATAAGCTCGATGCACTTACAAATATTCCCTTATGTTCGATAAAACTATTAAAAGCATTTAGGGTTGTTTAAAATCATTTAGAACTGTCTAGAATCATAAAAAACGCTTCAGAATCATTTAGAACGATCGGGAATCATTTAGAACTGTCTAAAATTATTTAGAACGCTCCAGAATCGTTTAGAACTGTAGAAAACCAGTTAGAAAGCTTCAGATCCATTTAGACCGCTCTAGAATCATTTAGAACTGTCTCAAACCATTTAGAACGCGTCAGAATTGTTAGGACTGCCTAGAACCATTTAGAACGCTCCAGAATCATTAAAGAATTATACAACATATTTTTAATCTCCCCTACATGCTCCCTTGCTCTGTATAGGCTCTTATACGGGACACACTGTACAAAAAAATCGATTTTAAAAATGGAAGTTAAGAAGTTAAAAATTTATAGAAGTCTCAGATACATCCATTTCGACCAAAAAATCTTCTTCTCATAAATAACGCGTTATCAAAGTAAAATTGAGCACAGCCAACTTTCCGGAATCAATTTTTATAGTTGTTTCGGCTTGTTTATTGCAGTGTTTATTATACTGCTATACATGAGCGGGATATTTAGATGGAGAATTTATGAAGAAAGTATACTAAGTAAAAGAGTGGAAGTTTTGAACTTTTTTTTCTCTTTAAATATCTAATTGATTTATTCATTTTTGCAGCCTTATAATTCTGTATTTTGAAAACTGTGCATTTCCGGGCCCATGTTTATACAGGGTGTTAGTTAATTGAGTGCCGATACTTCGGGATGTGAATATTTGGGTGATTTTCCGAAGAAAAGTTTATAACAGTATATGTCCTGAACCTCTTAGTTTTGGAGTTACAGGGTGTTACAATTTTAGAACAATAAATATTTTTTCTACCCGTAATTTTGTTATTACTTCGGATATTTTTATGGGATTTTGTACAGACCTTTAAATTTTTAGACCCATAAATGTGTTTGAAGAAAAAATGGTACGCCACTGCTTTTTCTAAAATCCAAAATTATTTTTTAAATGCTCATTTATTTTGGAGCAAATTCGGTCCGAATACATACTTTCGTACGACGCACCAGTTTCGCGTAAAAAATTAAAAACCAAAACAATTTTTCCCAAGTTCATTTTGAGATGGCTTCTGATATTTTCTTGAAATTTCGTAGGATCCCACCTTGCATGAAAACACTTTTTTTGGATAAAAATTAATTTTCTACTATTACCAGTGACGTCCACGTCCGAAATTTCATAAAAATTATTGAAGTAATAAGAAAATTATGATAGAAAAGTTTTCTTTTTCTAAAATTTCTTCTTAAAATCATCCAAATATTCACATCCTGAAGTATCGGCATTCAATTAATTAGGTAACACCCTGCATAGAAACGTTTTTTCTTATTTGATCAAGTAATCCCCCTCTAAAATATCTTTTTTATGAACACCCTGTATAGTATTCTGTAACCCGATTAATTTAATAGGACCGTGTCTACATATAAAGGCCACACGAAAGTTATATTCCAAGTCGAAGAAATATAATCTCCAATTAATTTCCTTCGCTCCGTTTCTTATTCTCCGCGCGCGTTTATTATTTTTTTCGCCCGTTCGAATTTCGTTCATTAAGCGAACTAATTACATATCCGTCATGTTTGATCTGGAATCCGTTTTCTCGTCATCAAAGGCTCAAAATTAACGAGAAATCTGATTACGCTCGTTTTTTACGTGGCGATAATAGTGAAAAAAAAAACACAAACCAGGTTAGAAAGCAATTAATAAAAAAAATCATATACAGGGTAGCCCATTGAAATCGCTAAAAACGATCTTTTTATTTCACATCTCTTTTTTACCACCAGGTACTCTCCCAAAGGACATCGCGCTCTCCTCCGCGTCTAAAGACCCTCCATTTCCTCTAACAATAAAAACCAATTCCACCGCACTATCCCCATTCATATCCATTCAGGACCTACCCTCCCTCCATCTTATATCCCGCAACGGCCCCAAACCGGTCCAGCATCCCCATCCGGGCCACCACCCCGCCTGGCCGGTGAAGCGCGAGGCCATCGTCGAGGGCGACCTGGTGCTCGGCGGGCTGATGATGGTGCACGAGCGCGAGGAGACCGTCACCTGCGGGCCGATCATGCCGCAGGGCGGGATCCAGGCCTTGGAGGCGATGCTGTACACGATAGATCGGGTGAACGCGAACGGATTGCTCAACGTCACGTTGGGCGCGCACGTGCTGGACGATTGCGATAAGGATACGTACGGGTTGGAGATGGCCGTGGATTTTATTAAAGGTGAGTTTTGGATTTTTTTTGCATTTTCTGCTTTTTGTTTGCATTTTTTGCATATTTTTATCCCCATTATCCTAAGTTTTTTTCAGCCTTATTCACAGTCGCCTCCTTAAAATGATGTTAAAACCCCACTAGTTAGTGGCCACTAACATAATACTAACAAGCCACTAACGTTTCCTATTCATAGTCGTATATTTCTTTCCCACTAGTTAAAATAATGTTAGCAGAAAAATGAATGTGGCAACAATGAAAATAACTTAAAATTTTATTTTATATTGGAGATTTTGGTTATGTTATTGACGTTATTGTGTCAGACGCACGTGCTGAGATCAATTGAATGGGTGATGGGAAAAAGGAAAAAATTCCATTGAAAATTCCATACACTTTGACCAAGTACGTTTGATACTAAAGTTTGAACGGTTTATACCTCTTTGGTAACTAACTATTGGTATTTGAAAGTACAACGATTTTATACTTTTTCCTCTCAAAATACAAAAAATAGTTAAAAAAACTAAAAACTGGAAAACTATGGAAAGGTGCATAAAAGAAGCTGAAGAAGTAAAGATATCTCGAAAAATATTAATATGAATTCCAGTTAAAATTTAAATATTAGCAACGATTAGATACTTAGCAAAAGGGTAATAAAATACACATTAAAAAGGCAGAAAATACACAGTGAACGCTCGATTTCACGCACTAGACATTTGTTAACGATTTAAATTATGTTTAAAAGTAAGTTAAACACCCCTTGCCACGCCACTAACAAATTTAGTGGCTACTAACAAAAATAACATTTTAATATAGCCACTAAATGGAACTATGAATACGATTTTTTTAGTGGAATGTTAGTAGTGTGTTAGTAGCCACTAAACACGACTATAAATAAGGCTGTTTAAGATTAAATTTCTTCGAAAATTTCCATTTTTTTATTGCAGTTAATTTTCTATCAGTTCTTGACCCGCTTTTTAATAAACAAGTTGGAAATTCACCATGCGCGATTTTCCTGAATAATTTTTTTAAATTAAATTTCTGTCCCACGAAATTCAACTCATATTGTTACATTATGTAATCTATGATATGTACTCTGTTGTGTTAATAAACATAACTAAAGTACAAATAACTGGAAAAGCTAAAGCTACTCAAACAACAAGAAAATTTAAATGGCAACGGGCCAACTCTACATAGTTACACATGAAATCTCAAATGGCGTCGAATTCTAAACTTTAATCGTTTATTTAACATTTAGATCGATCCTTTCAAAAATCTATTTGTAACCGTTATCTGAACGATGAATAATACTTTTTTGAAAAGTCTTTCTTACTCAACTTTCATTGACGGGATCCTAGATTTCCATAGCCAAATTGATCTCATTTGAATCGATTCAGGATGAACCTGATAAATCTATAAATAATCTACCAGTTTTTACAATACTACAGCAACATTTAGGAACAATTCTAGCAAAGGATATAGAAATCAAAGCCTATAGGTTGGTTCCGGGATACAAATATCAAAGTAATGGAACGCATATACAGTGTATACCAATTTGATTTCAACCCTTAATAATAGTCTGAATTAACTGGCAGGTAATATTGTGGCGTAGGACCGTTGGGACATGTGCTTAGTAATTATTATTCAAAGGATATCCTCAGTCCTTCGATAATTACATTCGGAACCGAATTCGAATAGTTATATGCGCCCGAAACCGAACGGGATACACGTTAGATTCAAGTCCAGTTGCACCGTGGCCTCTTTCACTGTTTCAACTGGACCAAATTTGTTGTAAACAAAATGATTAATATTGATCTATGTTGAATAAAAAACAGTTATGAATAATTACGCATAATCAAAATAAATTAATATTTGCATATTTTGAACGAAAGGGTGTTCGATTTCAAAATCAAATACTTGCCTGATTGGATTAATTTTTCGATCATTATGCTAATTATGGAGCAACGTTACGTTAATGGCGTTACATTAACGAATTTTAATTAAAATTGATTGTAAAACTTTCGTATACTTTAATAAATCGATTTACCAAAAAAGCTCCACGGCAACGCGAGCTGATTTTATACGCTGTAATTTGAAGGGAAACAATCGTAATAAATTTAAAGATTTCCAAATGCACCACACCTGAGTCTAGTTTATAAATATTTGGATTTAATATTAAACTCTCAAAACAGGTGATTCTATTCAGAACTAAAGCAAATATGGATTAGGGCCGATTTTATTAAAAAGGTTAACGTTTCCTTTAAAATAAGAAAGCTAGAAGATAAAAGTGTCCTTTAACGTTATTTCTAGTATCAAATGGTTTCGTAATACATCTAAAAAACTGTCTGAAACCATTTAGAACGCTCCAGAATCATTTAGAACTGTCTGAAATCATTTAGAACGCTCCAGAATCATTTAGAATTATCTAGAACTATTTAGAACGCTCCATAATCATTTAGATCTGTCTGAAAACATTTAGAACGATCCCGAATTATTTAAAACTGCTTAGAGCCATTAAGAACGGCTCAGAACCGTTTTGAACTGTCTGAAACCATTTAGCACGCTCCAGAATTATTTAGAACTGCCTAGAGCCATTTAGAAAGCTCCAGTGTCATTTAGAACGCTCCAGAACTATTTATAACGCTCCAGAACGCTTTAGAAAAATATCCTTTATGTTTCTTTACGAAACGGCGATAAAATTTCGACTTTTGTCCAGCTAAAGCAGCAAATTTACTGATCGAATGTCGACTTGATTGGATGGATTAATTCGAGATAAAATGAGTAAACCCTTACTCGTAATTTATTATTTTGTGACCGGTGCAGACGTGATTAAATGGAAAATTGACATTTTAGAATTTTACACACTACTCGCAGGAATTCATTAAAAAATTTCGATTAGTTTAATCCAAATTTAAACACTCCAAAACCAGATTTTTTATTTAATCCTTAAGACCGTTCGCGCCTTGTCAAACGGCCTTTTACTTGGCTGGTGTCCAATACACAATTCACCCATTGCCCGAACTAAGTGCTCTCGAGGATTTTATTTAATTTTATGCAAAACTCCGAACGCTGCAATTTGTTTTTCCGGAAAAATACTCGTGCATTGTGCATTCGAAAGGATCAGTAAAACTTTGTTAGGATTACGAAAAGGAACAAAATCTCGTTATTACAAATGGCCGAAGTTCCTTCAGTGGATAAACGAATAATTTATAGTTATACACTTGTCGCAGGACTGAGTAATGAATATTTGAAATATCCTTATCTCATAATTTAATTCATTTTTAAACGACTGGAGTGAATACATAATATTTAAATACAGGGTGTCCCAATGAAAAGTAGATCAATTTTATTATAAAAACATGCGGTTATTGCATATATGTTTTTTTTGTTCTTTCGTCTCCAATGATAATAAAATTGATGAGGTGTTGTAATAATTAACGATTGCATATTCTCCACTGCATTTGTTTTTATCTTAATATGATATAGTGAGTAATAATTATATTCGTATAACATACATAATGATGATACGCGCGGTAAGTGGAAATTTATGCTAATTAGATCTGTTGTAACGGCAATTTGCTATTAATTTAATGCTGCATAAGGGATGAGCAATTAATATGCAAATGTTAGGCATGAAAAGGGTTTCGGATAATAATCAACGATTAGTGTTAATATTGTTAACATCACAATGTATAACAATCCATCTGGATGGGCTGGCAAGGAACTTTACCAAAATTTTATTGCAATTGCTCGATTTATAATGAGTATTTGAAATGTGTAAACGGGGGGTTAAAAAATTGAGTGCCAATACTTTAGGATGTGAATATTTGGGTGATTTAAGGAAAAAAAGTTGATATCAATATATGTCCTAAATCTCTTAGTTTTCGAGCTACAGGATGTTACACTTTTAGAAATACAAAGAAAAAATTTCTATTATCATTTTCTTATTACTCCAGATATTTTTATCAAATTTCGGACGTGGACGTCACTGGTAATATAAAAAAAAATTTTGTCTCCCTAAAAAAAGTGTTTCCATGTATTATGGACGCCTAATAAGTTTCAACAAAATATCAAAAGCAGTCTCAAATTGAACTTGGGAAAAATTATTTTGGCTTTTAATTTTTTACGCGAAAATGGTGCGTGGTACGAAAGTAAGTTTTCGGACCGAATTTGATCCAAAATAAATGAGAATTTCAAAAATAATTTGGATTTTTTAGAAAAAGCAGTTGAGTACCATTTTTTCTTTAAACATATTCAGTTCAAACCCCGTACGGACGTCACTGGTAAAAATTTAAAAAAATCTTTTGCTTCAAAAAGTAGTTATAAGAATTATGTAGAAAATTATGATAATAGAAAAAGTTATTTTTTTTCTAAAACTGTAACACCTTGTATAGCTCAGAAACTAAGAGATTTAGGACATACATACATATATTGATATAAACTTTTCTTCTTAAAATCACCCAAATATTCACATCCCGAAGTATCAGCATTCAATTAATAAACACCCTGTATAAGTAAACAAAAACAAAAAAAAAACCAATTTTGAAAATTTAATAAAAATAACCACCGATATATCGAAATCGCCGAGAGAACCAACACGGGCCCGCCCTTACGGCCTTCCATCCCGACAATTTAATAAAACTTCCGAAAAATTCAGCCCCCTTTTGCTTCGACAACGAACGGGCGGGCTCCAAGGCGACTCCACTGTTTCGTCATGACCCAAATATTCGGCTCTCTCCCGATGGGATAAATCATTCTGCGAAAAATCGGGATTCGATAGTCCATTCGCAATATTATTCGCTCCCCGGGGTCTGTGTATTAATATCTATTAATACACTGTTTTATATGGTTCTATCATTTATTTCGCCCTGTATATAATACTTGAAAACCTACTGACTCTAGTATGAGTAATGAGGGAAGGTGGTGAAAGTTTTTAATTGGCTTTGCGAATGGAGTATAAGATGTTTTTACAATTTTTTACCAATTAATTAATAAATAACTCGACCATATACTCTCTGGATAATTTGATGAAATATATATTTTCTAAACCGATTGTTTTTGACTTTAAGTAATTAAAACGACTCCTATAACAATGTGCGAATGTACTATAAGAAATTCTCTCCTGCTATA